AATTAAATAATGAAAAATCTTCATAAATGTATGTATTGTATTGCGAAAAAACAAAGATACCTAGATCCATCCAGTTTTGAATAGTGTACGTTTCACCCCCAAACATGGGCATCTCGAAGCGCAAATTTTGAATTTGTTTTATTATCTCTTTCATATTTTGTAAGATTATTATCTATTTCATATTTAGTAAAAGATGTCCATATTCAGTGGAAGATTACATTATTCAAAATTTTGTGGCTCTACGTACCGTTGTTTTATCACAATTCGAGAAACATACATACACTTATGCAGATTCTCCATTATTTAATTTCTTTAAATATAACACAGGGCTCTAATATTTGGTGGCAACAATTTGAAAAATTAACCGGCATTTATAGTGAACCAACGCAAAATGCCAAAACGAAATTAACAGTCCTTCGGGGCTAACGCCCTTTGGACTAATACTGATTTTAATAATTCCAGCTAATGTAAATTTTACAGGTCCAGCTAGTAATTAATAAGGATTAAAATGAATTTACGTTCATTAATTTTAAATCCTACTTTAGTTTGTTAATTTGTAACCTCAAGATACCTAGCAACAGAATTAATTTAAAAGAAAAATTAAGCATTGACGCTTTGCTGAATAACAACACGCTGTCGCGTAAGGCTGCTATCACACGTCGGTTTGTTTCGAAAAAACAACTGTTTGGAACAATTTTTCTGCTTTGTCAGAACAGCAAATCACCACAGCTCGCTTTGGGATTAACACAGGGAAAACTGGTTCTCCATTACAAACAAGCTAACAGCATTCGGCGCTGATAGCTGATTGGTTGAAAACGAACAACTTGCAACTTTTTTCGAAAGAAAGGAAAAAGTCGCACGTCTTTCTTTCAATAGTAAACCAGTCAGAAATATTGTCCGAAACAGTTGTTCGTGTGAAACAAACGCCGTGTGATATGGGCCTAAGTAACAAGACAAAACAAACAAACAAACAAACAACAAAAAAAAAAAAAAAAAAAAAAAAACCTTTTTGAATTCGGCCAGCAGGCAACACATTTTTCTGCTTAATTTTGAAATATTTTGCCTTTTGCCGAGTGGCAACACACTTCTTTTATACCTTTTAGTTTTCTGAAGAAATTCGAATCATAAGCATCTTACGTTAGTAACAACAAAAAGCTTTTATACTGCTGAGTTTTCAATCAAAAGTTGCTTAAATTTCCCAAAATGAGAAATAAATAAAAAAAAATTCAAATTTCGGGTTTTAAGAGGCACACGTCCAAGTGGAATACGACGGAGTGTTCCCAATTTGGTGTCTCTAGGTGCCGTCGTTTTTCCATAATGCGGCGAACATAGTACATACATACGTATAGATTCAGTGCAAAAATCAACTTGATGAGGCAAAGATCTTGTAGTATTCTAAATAATAGGTATACACCGCACTGTGTAAATAATCAGATTACACGCATGAACACAGTAAATATAAGTTATTGTTCTATTCTATTTTTTAAAACAGATCAAATGTTTCTTGGATTATATGATACTTTACAATGCTCTATAGTGAATTTTTAACATAACAGTTAAAGTGAATATGGACATCTTTTTTGGCATATAGATTTTCAATTTGTTTATTCACCAAAGCAATATTTGGAATCTCTTCATACGAGAAAATATAAATTAAGATTATGTTTTCATGGATAATTAACTTAATAGAGAATGATAATCGCCTTTAATTTTTGATTGATAATTTTAATTGATAATCGCCTTTAATAATCGGAAAATACAAATAAAATAGTTATTACCCCATATAGTAGTAGTAGTAGTAGTAGTAGTAACGGAAAACGTGGGCACCATTCCTCCTACCATTACGATTAATAGGTTCTGCCCACGTCCGCCCTCATCTAGTATTTATTAATAAATCAAAGGTTTTTACATTGCCATATAGTGCCATATAAAAAAATAAATAAAAATAAAAATCTTAAAGTAGTACTTAAAGTAGTACATGAAGTGTATCTTTGTAAGTAATTCTTTATAAAATGTCGAAATTTGTCCTTAGTAAAAAACGTTTGAAACTTATTCCTTCGTTCTTCTTCAAGAAGTTCTCTTCCGTTCTTCTTCTTTTCTTCGTTCTTCTCTTTCCTTTAATCTTCCTTTCATTTAATCTTCGTTAAATCATCCTTTCTTCTATCTTAATTTCTTTCCTCCATTTTACATGTATTTTCTTTCTATATATCCTTTATCTTTTTACTTAATATAGTGAATAAGAAATCCATCTTTATGAGTTACGTGTTAACTATTACCCCATATAAGCGTTAGCTCAGAAGGGCTATTAATCTCTAAACGGCATTTTGCGTCGAATCATTATAAATAGCTGTATCACTTTTCAAATTGTTGCCAGAAAATATTATCGCCCTGTATTATATTTAAAGAAACTAAATAAAGAAGAACCTTCATGAATGTATGTATGTTTCTCGCATTGTGAAAAAACATAGAGTCATCAAATTTTGAATAAGATAGTCCTCCACCCGAACATGGGCACCTGGAAATACGAATTTAGAATTTGTTTCATTGACTATTTCATATTTTGTAAAACATCAATGAATTTTTGATTAAAAAACTAACAGCTCCAAAGCGAACAGCGGCAGCACTGTAGGGAGTAAAACATTTTTATCTCCAGCGCACGAGACTAATTCTAAAGATGTGCTGTTTTTAAATATTTTTAACCTAATGTGGGATTAACCCAAATGCTCTGGAAACATGTATGCGTCTGTAAATGGAAAAAAAAAAAAAAAATTCGGCCGTTGTTTGGGGGTAATATAAAATCTGAAAACTTTCATTTTTTTCCCTATTTTACTATTTATTATAATATATATATGTGTGTGTGTGTGTGTGTGTGAGAGAGAGAGAGAGAGAGAGAGAAATTCTGAAAGCAAACCTCTAAATTTAATTAGCAATAGCCCCTTTCATTCTACATTTTATTTTGCGTATTTTTCTCGTCTGTCCTGAAAATTGTAACTATTTTTATAACATATCAATTTAAACAGGGTCATTTCAAAATTAATGCTTTTGATGAGATCTCCCGAAGTGCAGCCAATGCTGCAATACAGGCCGGAATAAAACAGCAGCGCAGACATTGCTTATCCAGTCACTCAATAAGAATATCTATTGAAACTAAAACTTTTTAGTCTCTGTCTGATGCTTCTCCTGAATGTGACTGCTCTTTCCGCTATTCTTTACTTCACATAAAAAGTCGTCGCTCTCTTCTCTGTAGCGTCCTCATCTATCAAGTACAGGGACTTACACGCTACTCTAAGCAATCAATTGCTTAACCATTTTTTGAGTACTTCAAATATCAACCTAAACGAATATTAATATTCAGTAATCCTTCTGGCATTCATGATATTGGATATGCGGTTACAAATAATGAACAACCATTTTTAATCTTCCAGCTACAAGCATATTTATAGCTGATCATTAAAGTCGGCACAATGTTCATCAAACGATAGGACAGCCAGAAATTACCGAAAAAACGGTCTTTTCTCGTTCAAAGGGTTAGCCCATCATTTTGTGAGCTCTGAAGGACGGTTAAGAATCCCTTCTCGTATGTAGTAATTTAGTCTATCATCGTGGAACACAGTCACATCGAAAGTCAATTGCATCTTCGGACATTAGCTTCCGGCACAGTCGTTTCGGGCGTTAGCTGCAGATAGCTTTGAATTACTAGAGTTAACTGAGTTTAATTTTGACATAGCTTGTAAATGGAAAAATTGTTTACTCCAACTAAAAGGGAGAAATAAATTTGAAAGGGGTGAAGAAAAATCCAAGTACACGGTTACTGTAATTAAAGTTCCACTTAAAAAAAAAAAAAAAAGGCTAAAGAGGAAAAAACTACCCGTTAGAATATCCTGCAATTTGCTCAGAATATAACCGGAAGAATGGGAAGAAGAAAAGGGTTCAAAATTTTATGTTTACTGATCATAATATGCCAGTAAAAAGACGTGAGGTGCATCCGATATCTGTCAAGGGCCTAAGGAAGATAATTCATAAATTCGAAGAGACCGGCTCATTTGACATGAGATCTAGAAGAGGGAGGAAATAATCGCTTAGACGTCAGAGAAAGATGTGGTTATAGAATTGTAAGAAGAGACCAGAAGTAGAGTGGGAATGCATAGTGCAAAGAGAATTCTTTAGAGATGCCTTAAGCACTGTTTGTAAAGCTTTACGAAACTCCTTACAATGTACATTCAAAGTTACACATGTTCAGGAGTTATGATCTGTTAGCACAACAAACTGTCACCCTATAATTTCTTGCTCGGATGGGAAGTGAACATTGCAAGCATTAGACCTGCAATGTTTACTTCCGCATCTCAATTCCGCATGTTTAATTAATGTCCGCATCTCAAATCAGTTAATGTCCGGGACTTCGTCACGATAATTGAAGCTCACTCTTCTTGTAGAAAAAGCTTCACAAGCAGAGCCCGATCCTTCATTGACAGAATGTGACAAGTAGAGCTATTAAAGATATAGTAGCCTTATTGATGAGCTTCTCAAAAGCTGAATAACAGTAACTTCATATACTCCGTATTTTAATTAAATCATATATGCGGTGCGTGTGCCATGTATTTTAATCAGCATATTATGACAAATACTACATCGTCTTCTATTGATAAATTTTTGAAGTAATTTTTTTTTTTTTTTCGTTTGCCAGAAAAATTCCCATTTTTGCGTATATCCGGGTCAAGTTTCAGATTATCCTGACTAGTGGTTCTTTTTCACAGCATTTTGAAAGTAGAACTTTAATTATAATTACCTTGTAGATTAGAAAAATAAAAAGGGTATACCTGCACGATAAAATTCAATGGATTATTGAAAATTAAATTTAGCGATTTAAATTTTGTTTGAAAGACTGTAAATTAGATACTTGTTATTTTGCATGCCGTTAGATGGCACTTTTGCAGACTGATGGACCACGAAACAAATTTTTGGACGCTTGCCAATTTCTGTAATCGTTCCTGACTTCCCTGAGGTTATATGCCGGTGTGACTACTTTGTATTCAGCGAGATCCCTGAAGCGTTTTTAAAGTATCTGTACACGTGTAGAATGCGATGTGGCCCCGTGAATAAGTTTGACTAGTTCGTCATCTCCGGCTTTTGAATCACCTTTTGCGATATTTCATATCTAAGGTACGGGCATTTAAATTTCTAGATTCATGAAATTTACTGTGAAAGAGACGTGTGGAAAGCCCATGGTCTGATCGTGGGGTGATGCAATTGCACAATAATTCTCTTTACCTTAGCAACGCGTTATATTGTGTCGTCTGCATTTAAGTTCTGTGTATGCCAGAAACATTCATTTTTAATTCCTATTTGTAAAACTTGCCATTTTCAGGAACTTATAACCTTATAAATCTTTTGAAGTTGTACAATAATTGAATTCCATTAGACTTATCGGGAAGTACAAAATTTTTCTTCCGTTTATTTAAGTGTTTTACATTTTGAAGTGTCATCTTTTAAATTAAATGTTTTAATGGTAGTTATATGAAAATTATTATAATAAAACTTCTTATTATATCCTCCTATTAAAATATGTAGCTAATTTTAAATTAAATTTTCTCAGTTATAACTGGGTTATTTACGTTAAATCTTTAAACTGTTATATTTAAATGTGGAATTATGCATTTAGCATTTCTACATTAGTGAGCTGTAGAATTCTTATTTCATAATTTTTTATCGTGTTTGTTATGAATTCTATATATGCTTCTTGTTAAACGGATTTTAAAATGTATTTCATTAAAATACTTAAATTTATAATTTATTTCAGTAGAAAAAATCTTTCTTGTACTTAGGCATTTAAATGAACTTAAAATGCATTTTCGTAATTGATAGTCTATTTAAAATTATTTTCTAAATAAGCAGATATTTAATTTTAATATTGTTGTTGAAATGATGTAACACATAAGTTTTCTTATGATTAAAAAAATTTTTTTTTGGCATTTTTGTTTTTATAATCATCTAGAAATGTTGTCATTAACAGCTTCTCCTTAAACATTTCGACTTTTCTTATATTATATTTCTGTTAATTTTTAGTTTTGTTTTTCTTTCAGTTTTACTTTGTGCTCTTGTTAGTTTGTTAATTACATTTCTGATTTAATTTTTATCTCTAGATGATTTAGTTTAATATAACAATGTACTGCTTAACTTAAATAATTAATAATCTTAATTTTGAAATTTCTAAACACAAACACTAATATTACTAATACAATATATCATCCATATAAAGTAAATTCAATTTTTATTTTATGTAAATTCAATTGCAAGCAAATAAAATGATTATTATTATTGCTGGGCACACACACACACATGCATACATATTTCTCCCTTCGTTTTCTAGTAAAGTAAATTTTGTAAACATTGAGTAGTTTTATGGCCATATATTTGCATGATAAATATATATAATAATTAAATTTTACTAATTTTGCAAACACTTTAAGAAATATGAAGATTATGAAAATTTTGTTGCAATTAAATTGTCCATACTTAAAATGATGTATAATTTTACAAAAGCAATTAAATGCCTATTCAAAATTGCACTTTTTTAATTATCTTTTCAAGAATTTCTAATATGATATATTATTTTATAGTAGTATTTAGATGCTTAATAAGAATATTTATGAGCTATTTTAATATACCAAGTACTTAGGTAATATCTATGGGTACCTATAAAATTGATTATTCCTTAAGTCATCATAATCTTTTCTGTAAATGTTTATAAAATTTATGACTGTATGTGAAATGCTCTTTTTTCTTCGTTGCTGTTTACTGAGCAGTTTTCGTTATGTTATATTTTGTCATAAATATTTCAGTTCCTTCCTGGAAGATGTCTGCAAAAGCTATTCGAGAAGCAACTGGAAAGGAGCTTTTAAACAGATTCTTATGTACAGGAGCTGTAGTTAAATGCCGATTTGCTGAAGTTAATGAAAACAGCGATTGGCAAAAAATTGTGGAAGACAACCCATGGCTTCTGAGGGAGGTAAATAATCTTAATAGTTTGTTATTTAAACATCTGCTTCAAATTAATTTCTGATCTTTTGTAAAAAGTTGTATGAATGTGGAAAGAAAGCGTAATCAGGGAACATTTCTTCTTGATCCTTTTCACTGAAAAATTTTTAAAAATTTAGTTTTTATTTATTATTCTTAGATGTGATATTTAAGGTATTATTTGTACATGTGGTATTTAAGGTAAATTTGAGATAAAATATGCTTATCAGGTGCAAGATGGCAATTTTTGCAACTTTTTAAAAAAATCAGTATTAATCATAAGTCGGCAAACATTATCAATATGTCAAAAGAAAACATACTTCTCCAATTTAAAATTCAATTTTGAATTATTAAAAATATATTGTTAAAAAATAAAACATTTTTCAAGAAATTTTTTTGTATTTTTTTTTCAGTTTTGGTTTCCATGTGTGCGTATGAGAAGATGAAACATGAGAAATATGTATGAGAGTAGCTCAAACTCAGCATCATATGCAGTTTTAGCATAGCACACCAGCACCCAAGAAAGTTTGAAACTTCTGCTTATGCTCCCAAAACACTCTTTGTAATGAAAATAAGAGGGGTTCTCTTTTCAGTCATAAAAAAGGGCTTTATTAAAAATAACAAATAGTAATCAACAACGGAAAACGTATATACAAGAGAGAAATATCCTACTGATTCAAGTAATCCTCTCGCTTCCCTCCAAAAAGGGTTACCAGAATAAAATCATGTAATTTGATGTCTTTCAATAATTCACTGTAGCTAATTTTTCTTTTCATTTAAATCTGAATCTTAAGAATTTCAAATTTAAAAAACAAGAAAGGGTATTTTTCTTGGAATTTTAACCAAGAACAGAAATGAGTTGGAAAAAATATTTGGCAATAATTTTTCTCGCATTAGCTGAATATTTTGCCTTTATTAACCTCTTGTGGATTGTGCTACATATGTTGCAGATGCCTATAAGGTGGGTGCCATGAGTACAATGGCAAAATACGTTTGCAGGTGTTTCTGTCACCAAAGTTACATCTATAAAACTTCCATCTTGTTCTCAAAAGGTTTACTGTCATTTCTGGGTGCTTTATTTGAAAGTAAAAGCTCCACATAATTCTAATGCATCCAAAAGAAATACACTTTATAACATAAAACTGTAGATCATTGATTATACATTTGGCAGCAAAGTTGCCTTATCAACACATTGCCTCAGTGAAATAATTATAAATACATTTAAAAGGATCATAACCTCAGAGTAAAGCCCCATTTTCATTAATGCAGTATGAATGCTCTGCATATGCGATTCTTCTCTCAGGAAATGAACTGATTTTGATATCTTTGATATGGTGACGAAAGACTGCATGGATTTAAACAACGTTCAACTTCTATCCATACGTTTACAGAAGTATTGGTGTCACATTGTAAAACAGAAGCAATCAGGCAATGAAAATAAAAAATAGCGGCAGAAAAAAGCAGTGGACTTTGAGGAAAGAATATTTTGTTAAAAATTACTTTTCTGAACTTAAAAAAAAATGTAGACATAGCAAAAAATCTAAATATTGAAAAAGACAGCAATCAACTGCATTTAGATAAAAAAAAAAAAAAAAAAAAAAAACCTACAGTGCTAGTTTACATAGAGCACAGTGATCAGTGTTAAGAACTTCAGGCATAAAATAGTATATAATTTAAGTTCATGAATTAATAAAATTTTTCCTGCCAGTTGCTTTTCTGTTCTAGTTCTGCATACATATTTACTTTTAGAGAAAATGAACTTCTGACAATCTTAAACCACTATAGCAAATGAAATATGGCATTTGCAGGTTTTGTTAGAAGGTAAAAAGTTAATAATGTTCTGTGGAAATTAAATTTGATACCTGATAAAATATTATATTGCATTAGTAAGTCTGCTAAATTTGTATTTTTGTATTAATACATTTCTCATTTTGCACATATTTATAAGCATATCATTAATTTTGAATATCACAAAAAGTTTTTATTAAAAAAAAATTGTTCAAAGTATTTTTGAGCAGTATGCTGCTGAAGATTGATAGAGTTATAGTGTAGACAAAAAGTAAAATTTAGAACCAATTCTACACAAAGACCAAAAAGGAGTGAAATTCAAATAAATTTCAAAAAATCTAATAAATACAAAATGAGAATTAAAGGATTATAAAATTAAAGCCTAAAAATAATATATACTTCAAAAAATAAAGAAAGAAAAGGAATGACTTCAATTAGATCTGATGTAACATTATCAAGAGGATACATCAGACCTAATTACAATCCTCTTCCTATTTGAAAACCTTTGCATTTCTGTATTCAAAATAAGCTAAACTGTTGTAAAGTTTTAAATCTGACAGTTCGTCCACAAAATTTTGAAGTCCTCCTCCATGCAAAGGAAAAAAGACCTTTTCATTGAATTTAAAATTGAAAGTAAAACAAAATAAATTGAGAATATGAATTTAAAACTTACTCAGATGGCGAAGCAAAGACATCTAATGGCAGTAAATACAATTGATCACCGAACTTCGGGAAGTGCAAACCCAACACAATAGTGTGAACGGTCATCCATTTTTCGAATGTGTTTCCTCATGAGACAGTATACGTTTGCACTGCACTAATGGAAATGGTCCTTAACTTGCAGAGTTTAATTTATATGATGTACTTTTTATTTTAGTTTTCTCTTTTATGACCTTGGGGGAACAAAAATTTGTTAAATATTTGATATGGGTTATATTTATTATTAAAAACTAATATTTCTTAAAATTCAGTGTATTACTTTTTATAATATATTTTTGATAACTAGAAAACATTTTTCAAGTGATTTAATCTGCAAGAGTATATTAGCTGTAATTGTATAGAAATTGTGTGATTTACACAGCTGGGATAGGAAAAAAAATTGTAACATTGCAGGGTTTAGTTTACATAATTTTATTTTAAAGTTTTAGTATTCAGTTTCATATCCTTGGATAACATAAACTTAAGAACGAAAATATCTTTGATTAAAGTTTGATTTTTGTAGTTCTTTTTTAACACTGAATAATCAGTAACATTGAATAATATATGGTTGGCAAGAAAGTAATTTTGTATTTTAGCGTGAAATAAAACTAAACTTTTTCTGTACAAAAAAATAACATTAATCTTCCATATTGTTTGATAACCTTTTGTCATCTTTCTGGTAACTTCATGCTTCCTCGCTGATAGAACTTCTGATCTTTATTGTTAAAAAATCTCAACCAAGTGTGATCTGAGGTCATTGTTATTACTGAAATGTTTTCCCATTTAAGAAGTTTTGTAAACTTCAAAATAAATGATAATCTGATGGTGCAAAGTCAGAGCTATGTGGGAGATACAACATCACTTCCCAACCAAGTTCCAGTAATTTCATACTTGTTGCTAAAGGCATGTAAAGCTTTGCATTGTTGTGGTGGAACACAATTCCTTTGTGATTTGCCAATTCTTGCCTTTTTCTTTTTGATTGACTCCTCAAATTTCAGAAGTTGTTTCTGTAGTAAACATCCGAGTTGCTTGTTTGGTTTACTTGGAAGTAGCTTAAAATATGCATCACCTTTGCACATCAGATTGACAGTGTAATCTTTTTCTGATGCAGTTTAGCTTTTGGTAAGATGTACTGATTCATCATGCCTGGATCATGATATTTTTCGATTACTATTGTACATGATTCATTTTTTATCACCAGTGATATTTTGTTTCAAAAAAAGGTCAATTGCATTACATTTAAAATGTGTATTGCAAATGTTGATTCATTGTGTTAAGTGAATTTCTTTAAATTCATGTGGAACCCAAATATCAAGCTTCTTAATGAATCCAAGACATCTTATTTTATGTTTAATTGTTGTATATGGCACATTTAATGTTTTTGCAGTCTCTTACACAGTTATATGATGATTTGCTTTAATTATGGCTTTAATTTTCTTCTCGTCAACTTCAGAAGGTCAGCCAGAACATTGTTCATCTTCAAGTAAAAAAATCTCCAGAACGAATATTTTGTTAAACCAGTTCTGATGCATGTTCTCGGGTCCCAGCTCCAGTATTAATTTCACCTGAAGCCTCTATGGTAACTAAATCATGACAGCTAGAACAAAACATGCGAAACACATGTTGCTTGCGGCATAAGTGGAACTGTTCTGACTGTGATGAATTGAATACCAGAAACGCTCATAGAAGTAATGTAAGCGGGTAGAGTAGACTTTAAGGTACCTCTTGTATTATGGTGAAGTTGTTGTTTGATTTATTGCCAAGTTGTTGTTTCATTAATGGTAGCCTGACTAGTTGAATGTTATGGAAACCCTATTGTGACGTAATCGGGTGCATGATTCTGGGAAATTTTGAATCATAGGATGTTTTGTAAGCGTTTTTGTGGTGTGCGTTAAAACTGTTTAGATGGATTTGAATGGGTTTGTAGGAAGAAAGGTTCAGATGTTGCTATGTGAAACGTTCGATCAGAAAGAGTACCTGGTTTGAAAAAAGTCATTTGAGTATGATTGATATTTTGATTTTTTACGTGGCTCTGGTGTACGAAGCGAACTCGAAAATCATGGTAGGTGAATATTTGCTTTTGGTAGTGCTTAAATGTATAACATGTTTTTCCTTTTTTATGTTATTTTATTGTTTGGTTTAAAATGTATTATATTGAGATTATGTATTTTTGTTTGCCTATATTGTAGACTTTGATGCTCCTTTGACTTTTTAAGTGAAAATATATCGATGTGTACATGGACAAATTAAAGGGAGTGCGCAATGCAAGTTTGTGCAATTATGGGATTTTTTTAAGTGAAAATAGGTCGACGTGTACATGGATAAAGTCAAAGGAGTGCGCAATGCCATTTTTGTGCAATTCTTTTTTTTTTTTTTTTTAAGTGAAAATAAGTCGATGTGTATATGGATACCGAGTTTGTGCAATTGTTTGAACTTGTTATTTTGGCTAGCAAAAACCGCCGCTTCGCAAGCCAAAATAACGAGTCAAAGAATTGTACAAAATCTGTATCCATGTACCGCCAAAAATCGCCAAGGGGTACCCTAAACTATACTTTTACCATGTAAGCATTCAACACCCTAAACTTAACCTATCTCTTCATGAGCCTCAGTGGCTTTCTTGCCTTTATGAAAATAAAAACTTAAAATATGTCAATTGTTTATTTTTTCAATTCATGTTAAAACTGACAGTAAACTAACAGTTGTAAACAAAAGTACATAGAATGTGTTTCTCTAGCAACCAAAAATTGTTCGCTGCCAAATCTCAAAATAACAAAAACGATAAGATTGACAGAAGAATAACAAAATGACCATAACATATGTATTAATGCAAACCGAAATTACTTTCTTGCTAACTGAATATCTTAATAATGATTAATCTTAAAACTTTTCGTCTGATGTAAATATGATGCAGCTTTTAATAAATATGATGCAGCATCATTAGCATTAAGTGTAATAGTATATGGAATGGCATTGTTTGTTCCAGAGTGATGTAATTATAATTGCATTATGTGATTTTTATCTATGATCCAATTATTAGATCTTTTGGTATATCCAAAAGTATATAAAGGAAATGTCAATTGACAGTCAGATAATTTTGGTGTAGCTTTAAATGTAATAAAAGTTAGATTTAATCCATTATAGATATAAATATCAGATATCCTAATTGTAATATGAAAGAGAAATATCAATTTGAAATTTAAAATTGGACAAAATACAGTTCCTGATCTGTACCGATTTTGCAGAAAATTTCTGCATTTTGAGAGAGATTGATATGGTTCTGTAAAATACATATTTTTTTTTTTTTTTTATAAAATCTGCATTTCAGTTTGAATATAATCTTTTATTTTGAGTCCCCCCCTTATTCATGTCATCTTGGCTTGTAGTGTCATGGTTGCTAAACTTAACATTATTTAGTATTTCTTCATTTCAGCTTTTACGTGTAATGTTATACATAACTAATTTAAAATTTTGAATTTTAGTAATAACTATGACTATTAGAAATGTAATTCTGTTTGAACATGAGTCCCTTTATTGATGTAATTTTAATTTTATTATTATAATATAAAATGTATTCATGAAAGCACACTAAGTCGGATTGTAAATAATAGAACAATAGTTAAGCTATCTTAATATTTTATACGTGTAATTGTTCATTAATCAGCAAATAAACGATTTCGTATGTTATGATTTGAGTTGGAATTTAGATGAATAAATGCAGCAGTGGTATAGATATTGCAAAAAGTTTTAATGTTCCAGGGAGATGTAATTGTATTAAGTATAAATTCACAAGTAGAGTTTTAACTTTTGTTTGACCTCCATATATTTTCTTCATACTTAGTTTCAGTATTTTTTTATTTCTATTTATTAATTGATGCAAATTGATATTTTTGATAGCATGAAATTGATTTGTCATGTATTATAAATTATTCTGCTTGCATTTTAGTAATTTTATTTTCATCATATAATAGCTGTGATGGGTGAATGAAATTTAAAATAAAAATTAATTGAAAAATAATATTTTCTATTGTCTATAATTTAAAACATCTAGTGTATTTTTTAATTGTGTTAAAGTGTGTAGTATCAGACTTTGCTAATAAACTCTTGGAGCAATCTCTGCTTAAATCTTTGATCAGTAGTTTCAATCATTAAAATTGACTCCTTTTATTCTTGTTTGCAGAAATTGGTTGTGAAGCCAGATCAGCTAATTAAACGCAGGGGTAAACTTGGATTGATAAAAGTCAATGCAGACCTTTCTGGTGTCAGAGCATGGATTGATGAACGAATGAATAAATATGTTAAGGTAATTAAAGTATTTTATAAATCCTTATACCTTATGTTTTATATTAAATTATTATACATTGTGAAGCTGTGTTCAATTGAAGTATTACCTGTAAAATGTTTCTTCCAGGGGAAATGACATAATATAATGAAATTGTTGTAGAATATAAAATTAATATACTGCTTTGTTAGCTTTTTATTTCTATCAGTTGTCTTCTGTATACATTTTAAAATAGCGTACTCCACATTTAAAATATACTTAATGGATAACTTACTGAGTATGATTAAACTCTGGGGTAACATTTTGAGGTGTGCATCTCTTAGTATATTCATTGTATTTTCTACACTTCAATTATCTAAGAGTAGCAAACTTTGTATTTTTTGACTTTCTTTCAAAACTTATCCTTTATTTCATGACGCAATGTTAGATTTGGAAACTATGTATGTCTAATTTTACATAAAATTCATTATTGCTCTTTAAAATTGCAATATCATGAAGGGAGCATCTGATAGACTTTACATTTACATGATGTACTCAACATGAGAGGGCAAACAAAAAGGTAGCAATGTATGTGTTCATCATGAATTTAATAATACCACCTAAAAAAGTCTAAATGAGTTGGTTATTTCCTACAGAAATTATGCTTGTTCATATAAGTTTTAAATATTCATAGCCAGTGTTACTTACTTGTTATCTAGCCAACTCTGAAAGTTGACTATCACTGAATCATTGAAGTTGGTAGAGATCTTGACAAAATTGGACCAATCATGCCTCTGGAATTCTAAGCCACACTTTTGTGCAGCTCATATAATAAAACATTCGTTAGGCTCTTACAATTCCTCGGCCACTTCTATGAAAAAATTTGACCTCCTTCATTTTCCACTAGTTCTCTTTAGAACACCGAGTACAAACTTCCTAAGGTGAATGTTCTAATTTAGTACTGTTTTGTTTGCCATAGCCAACTCTTTCTTCCCTGTTCAGCAAATGTCGGCTCTCTTTAACAGCTGTAAAGCGAACCAAAGTGCAATCACAAATGTCGTTTTGCATAACTCAAGCTCTTTTTATCTTTCCATACCCCCCCCCCAAAAAAGGAAGAAAAAATACAGCAATAACAGTTAATTTATATCTTTGTTCATTAAAAGCAAAAGGCATCTTACCAGAAATCAATTGGGGTTGCATCAAATGAAAGTTCAACACTCCTGAGTATGTTGTGATTTCATGCTGAATTGCATTGCTTGAAGACAGTTTCATCAGTTTTATGATCCACAGTATAATACATAAGTATCTTTTTAACACGTTGACTGCCGCACACATTTTGCGTGCTTTGCTCATGACGCCAACTTGAAATTTTTATTATGCGATGTATATTATGTTGAAATATTATCTACAGATGAGTTATATAATCGTGCTTAATGCATTTTTCGTGGTGCGGGTCACCAGAGACCCCCAAGGCAGTGTGGACCATTATTGTAATTTATAATTAAAATTTTTAGAATTTATTATTCTTCAAACCATTATAGCAACAATGGTACTATTTAAAAATTTATCAATATCGATATTTACTCTAATTGTGTATTTTACTATTAGTTGCGTCACCGGTCACCGGTGGCAACCACGGCGCTGTAGCCAAATCGAGTGCCAGTCACCGGTGACCCCCACGGCAGTCAACGTGTTAATAATAAATCCTACTAATAACCAAGTAGATGAGACTGTGGAACTCAAGTGAGAACAACATATGTACAAATTCAGATGAATGGGCTGATTGCGTAGCAGTTTTGATTGTTTTTCTTCCTTGCAACATGAATATGATCCAGTTTTTCGCATAAAGTTCTCCATGAAGGCATATTTCCACTTAGGTAGATAAATAACCTTCATATGACTTTTTGTAATGGATCAAGTAATAAAAACATTAAATGAAAATATATATTATATTGCTGAAAACTGCTCATTCCCTGCCAAAACAATATGAAAAATTGAATTGAAAAATCAATATGAAACTGATTTTATACTTTTTCTAGTCAGATAACATGTTTTTTGTTATGCAAAATTACATATTTTTTGTTGTGCAAAATTAAAAGTATAACTTTTCAAGCTTTAAAATGTTGTGAAAATTCCACATTATTACAACTCCTTATTCATGTTGTTTGAAAGTCTGTGAGACATTTCACATGCATTAAGAATTCATATGTGTTTTCTGTGGTTATTATCCTGTTTCCACAATGTGTACATCCTTTCTTTTCATCTTCAGAAATTTTCTCAATTATGTGGCCTTGCTTATCAGATTTAATGGCATTCAGAGTCTGCATTTGTATGTTAAGACATTGCTTTTATCCTCATTGTATAACGTGAATTTCCTGTTTTATATTTTTAAAGGATATAAGATTTCAAAAATGATATGGTAACCATTATCTGAAATTACTTAAGTGTAATTTTAGAATAAACTTGCAGTTCTGTTTTATATTTTTAAAGGATACATGATATCAAAAATAATACGGTAACCATTATCTGAAATTACTTAAGTGTAATTTTAGAATAAACTTGCAGTCCACTAAAGTTTTCTTTCCTTTATGAATGAAATGGACAAACAACAGTTATCACCACCATATGTTCATTCAATTCTCTAGATAGTAGTACTTTTTATTACCAGGGAGATTAACACTACCTAAATTTTTTAATATGCAGATACTAGCAAAACTTCCTTATCATAATTTTGCTTTAAGTAGTAGTAGTGGGATTATGAGATTATTCAGTTTCAAAACATTTAAGTAATCAGTTTATTTAAAAAAATGTTAGTAAATAAATCTGAAGTATGTCTGAACATGTAGTTTTATAGGAAACAATTGAAATATTTCAGTTTCAAGTTCTTTTTTATGACAGCATATGTGGTGCCATGTTTAAAAGTATTTTAAATTTCAGTTTGCAGATTTATTGATATATAAAAGATCTTTTTAAATGTAATCCTATTTCTCAATATAGTCTCAAGACTTTTTCAGCATATATTAAATTATAACAAATGATAAATTCATATAAAATATAGTGCAGGGGTTCTCAACCGGTGGTACTCGAGAGAAAAATAGGTGATATGCAAAGAAGCAAAGTATTTTTAACATTTAAATTCAAAAATTAAAGCCCAACATCCTGATTGAGTTTTTTCTCTAACATTCTTAAATTTTATGCAATCTGAACTTTGTTCAAGAGTGGTGGTACTAAAAGTTTTCAATTTTTGCTTAGATGGTTCGTGTTAGTCAAAAGGCTGATAACTGCTGATTTCACTATTTGTTTTTTATTATATGTTGCAAATATTCAAGATCAGTTATGAATAGATCAAGACAAATTTATTATCAAAATAATTGTTTTGATCTATTACTTGCCAGATCAGATAGATGATTTGAAAGATTTGGGGGTGGTGATTTTTAAGATATTTTGGAACATGCCAATATACCTTCATTATTGCTTTGATCCATGTACTGAATGACATAAATTAAATGTTTTGCTTCATTGTTAGCCCAAAGAGCGTTAGTCCAGAAGGGCTATTAATTTTGTTTTGGCATTTTGCGTTGAAAACTATAAATCTACATTTCACTTTTCAAATTGTTGCCACTAAATATTATTGCCCTGTGTTATATTTAAAGAACTTAAATAATGAAAAATCTACATAGATGTCTCGCATTATTGCAAAACAATGGTACCTAGAACCATCAATTTTTGAATAACATAATCCTCCACTGAATTTTGGGTATCTGGAAGCCTTAATTTGACAAATTTATTATCAAATAATTTTGTATAAATTTATTATAAAAATTATTGCCCTGTGTTATATTTAAAGAACTTAAATAATGAAAAATCTACATAGATGTCTCGCATTATTGCAAAACAATGGTACCTAGAACCATCAATTTTTGAATAACATAATCCTCCACTGAATTTTGGGTATCTGGAAGCCTTAATTTGGAATTTGTTTTATTATCGATTTCATATTTGTAACACTTGAACAAATTTTAGATTAACAAAGTCAACGATTTCAAAGCGAGCAATGGAAACAGTGTACAGGGAGGGGGACAATTTGTCTCCAGCATGCAAGACTGTGTATCGGAAATTCTAATGATATGCTCATTTTGAAATTATTTTGCAGTATTGCTGTTGAATTGAATTTTGTGGTTTTAGTGCAAAGAACATGATATTTAATAAATAATAGTAAATGCAAAATGTTACAAAAAAGTTGCCCTTTTGGACGTAATGTAATTTTTCTTTTGTCTTTCATATTTTCTTTCAAACATTTCAGAATGTACATCTTTATGTATGAGGAGGGTTTTATAGGAATCAACCAGAGCTTTAGTTTTATTAGCTTTTATGGCAATTGAAAACTAAAATTTGTTGAATTTGGGTTATATGTTTTAAAATTTGGTAAGTTTTCTGACGTCTTTCGTAGTGTATTCAGTGACTGGCTCATCGATGTCTGAAAGTTTATTTAGAAGTCTTTTTCTTGCAGTTATTGAGCATTGTTTCATAGACTGTAACATGAGAAACTGTATTGGCTGTTAAGAGCATGCACCTTAATCATTCTATTTTTAAGTGACATATTGTTAACATTGAAATTTATGGAGTGAACATGTATCAGTTTTAATCATTATTAAGTATAGGAAGAATGAAAAACTAATGTTAAGTACAAAAACAGTGAATTCTTATGAAAGAATGTCAGTGACCAAACTAAATATGTGTCATTACACTTTCTTTGGTGACCTGGCTGTGAATAGACAGTTTAGTTGAAAAGCTAAATATTACACTGGTGTGCAAAACTTAAGCAACGATATAAATGTTAATCATATAGCCATGAAATTGCAGAAAAGAAGTTCTTGCGATGAGTATAATGAACATGCAATTCAGTACAAAGTTCATACGTATGCAAATGTCAGGAACAAAACATCACAGGCAACGTGAGCGTACGCAAAACACGTGAGGTCGACGGGCTCAACTTAAGTCTACAATAAAAGGAAGGACTTAGACGCTATTAAAGACATTTACTGCAAGTGCAAGTGGGTCCTTTCGTGAAATATGGCTAGAAGAAATCACCTGGATGACTTCACACCTGGAAGAATGATCGAAAAGCTGCAGAAGGAGCGTAGTGTGACCAATGTAGTTGAAGAGTTTGGTATGAACAAAACTGTCGTTTCGCGCACTTGGAAAACCTTCCAAACCATAAGTACAGCTGTTAGAAAGGTTGGTGGTGGCTGTCCCAGAAAAACAACTGCAGTGGATGACCGATATATCATCTTGCAGGAAAAAAGAGCCCGAACCAGTCAACAGGCGCCATAGCTCAACAACTGTATACAGCAACGGGGCGACAAGTGTGGTTTATTGTGTCGAGACGCCCTCACAAAGGTAGCCTATTCGCCCGCCATCCTTAATGCTGCATCCCTTTGAAAGTTGGCCATCGACGACACCGTTTAGAATGGTGCAAGAAGCACGAAAGCTGTGCATCTCATCAATGGAGTAGTTCCTCTTTATGGATGAGTGCCACAAGCAGTTCTTAATGCTAACTGATTTGGAGAGAGGTCGGTTTCATCCCAGTAATGGTTTCATTCCAGTAACATCACGGAAAGAAACCGTTATGGTGGTCCTGGAGATTTTGTCTGGAGACACATTATGCTGAACGGGCTCACAGAGCTCCCTATTTACGACAGAGTGTCTGTAACCGGAGATCTTTATTGTCAGGAGGTTATCCTTTTCCATACGCGTCTGTTCTGTGGTGCAATTGGAGCAGACTGATTTTATGGATGACAATGCACAGCTGCACCAGGCTGATGCTGTTCAGAAGCTACTGAAAAGTGAAGATATGATTCGAAAGGATTGGCCAGCATACTCCCCTGATTTAAGTTTAATAAAACATGTGAGGGATGCTTTGGGGAGATGACTTGTGGCAAGATTACATTCTCCGGGAACACCGAACAACTGAAACAGATGGTGGTTGAGGAATGGGCACTCTTACCTCAAGATCTGTTGGATAGTCTGGTGCTGAGTATGGAGAGACGGTGCAAAGCAACCATTGCAGTAATGGGAGGGCATACCCCATGCTAAGGAATAGAATATCTGATTGTTGCTCTTCCTCTTGTACAGACAGTCGTGTAACGATACTGCGAGTTCAATAAAGCCTTTTTTGTTTGATTCCATACTGTTTGCATTGTATTCATTTTTGTGCACCCATGGTTTCGTCATAGTTTTAATACAAACTGCTGTCTCACATTTTTGAATTTCATGTCTCTCAGATGATTTCTCGTGGAGTTATGGCAAAAAGAATACCTGTTGCTTAAGTTTTGCACACCAGTGTAAGTATTTCACATTGTGAAACTGTCCGTGCAGAATCACTGTGCAACTTGTTCAGGTTTTACATCCCAACTAAGCATGGCCTATGTGACTAGTCTTTAGTATTAACCATTCAGTTAACCAATAAATATTATTTTGATGGGTGTCCAGAGTAAGTAAATTTTAGATTAGTAGTATCAGAATAAACAAGAACTTTGTTTATTTTGATACTACTAATCTGTATCTGTTTGGTTATTATAAGTTTATACTTCTAAATGATTATATAATTGTTTATCAACAGTCATGATTTGATATGAAAGCTTAAAAATGGAAGTTTAATAAATGTATCTATTGCAGATTTTTATAACTCTGTTTTGTTAACTGATGTAAAACTTTTTTTCCCGAATTGCCAGATTTTTGAAAAGTTTTTGTGTATCATTTAATCATTGTATTTGGAATCTGTTTGAGTTAAAAATTAAATTTATAAGTTATTTTTGTCTAAATAGAATGTTAATTTTTATTAATTTTGGCAATTTTGACTACAGGTTGAAAGGGCTTCTGGAAGATTACATAATTTCATTATTGAACCATTTGTACCTCATAAGCAAGTAAGTGAAACCTTTATGTAAATCTTCCAAAACAGAAAAATGCAACAGATGTAGAGAGAGTGTTTAGTTTTGTGAAAGGGAAATCATGAGAAACTGATGAATATGATTTGTGAAGTTCAATAGAAATGAATAAGGATAGTGTTAATGATATGGCAATTAAAAAGAGGATATTTAATTAATCGATACTAAAAATATAGAGGATAACTTCATTAGCAATTGATAAGTTTTTAAAATTGCTATTGCACCATTTCTTGAACTTCAACTTGAGTTCAAAGCACTTGAGTTCAAAGCTTTTTTTTTTTTCCAATTAAAAAAAAACATTACATTCTTATTATTTACTTGCAGGAATAACAGATTTCTCTCATCTGTTTTCTTCAGTTTAATAATAATGGTAAAATCTAATATGAAAAAATAGAAATTATTTCCTTTCAACAACATTGTATAAGTCCAATATGTACTGATGTGTTATCACAACAACCTTAGTAAAGTCATCAAATTTTCAGAACATGCGAAACTCTGGCAGCCGTGCTTGTAGTAGTTCTTTAGTCTTTAGTATTAACATTCAATGCTGCAATTTTTGTATTTTTATTTATTTATTTATTTATTTTTTTTTATTTTTTTAAGATACTTTTTTTTTTAAGATATTTTTATTTTTTTAAGAATACTGTGATATTCAAGGTTTTTATTCACTTGTAGTCCTGAAAAGCTATTTGTCATAATGTAATGAAATTTGTTGTAGACATGCATTAGTGTGTGTGAACTAGGATGATGCAGGAAATCTTACAATCTACTTCTTATTTGCTCATAAAATGTGTCTGGATGGTTCTACTAAGATGTATGCTTTCAACTTGCATACTTTTGTAACGTTCCGACACCTGTTGAACTGACTTTCCCCCCCCCCCAAAAAAAAAACTAGTCTGTGATCACAGCTTTATAACAAAATGGCATTTCATACTTCCAGAAGAAATTTTGTCTTTTTAAGATTATATCATTACCAAAGGACATCAGCAAGTAAAATCGCTCAATTATATCCCATTGGATTTCTTACTGTGGGGTATATTGAAAGGAAAAATCTATTGCAAAAAGCCATGAATGATGAGGACAATTCAAGATGCCATTCAATAGCAAATATATGCTGCAACATCTGGTATATTCGTGGCTTCGGTTCATAACATGGAGAGACGTGTTGAATCTAATGGTAACCGCTTCCTACACTTTGTTTGATATCACCATTCTTCTCATATATTAAAATATAACAACAGCAGATTATGTGATGACAAATAAAAAAACACTCTGCTTAATTTGATAGTTATGAAACAGTACTCTCAAAATGATTCAGTTAATTTGTGAATTGTTCAGTATAGTGGTAACTGTTAAATAATTAAATCTGAGTGAAAGGAAAAAATTGCAAATTTATTGACTAAGTTTGAATCTTATTTCACAAGCCTTGATTTATTCCTGATATTTGAGGATTTTGTTCCTACCAAGAGAAATCCTTCAAAATGTTTTGTTTTTGCTCATGTTCCTAAGCCATGTGTGTATAGAGCTGTACATAAATTTTTATCAAGTTGGACATGTCTACGAAACATTTGCGTACGGATAGATATTCACAAGGATCCAAATAGGCTTTTTTTAAACTTTTGATCAACCTCTTAACACAGTGACTGACCCGCATATTTTTATGTGGTTTGTCCATGGCGCCAACATGAATTTGTTATGCAATGTATGTTATGTTGAAATATTATCTACCGAAGATGAGGTGAGTTACATAATCGTGTTTAATGAAGTTTTCGTGGTAGGGGCACTGAGGACCACGAGGCATTGTAGATTATTGTTGCGATTTATTATTTAAATTTCTGCAATTTATTATTCTTCAAATCATTATAGTAACTGTGGTATTATTTAAAAATTTATTAGTATCAATATTTACTCTAATTATGTATTTTTACTATTGGTTTCATTACCAATCACCAGTGGCCCCTACAGTGCTGTAACCAATTCGAGGGCCGGCCACCGAATAACACCTATGGCAGTCAACATGTTAAAAATCAACTTTAAGCATTTTCTGTTTAAGAAAACAGAAAAACAAAATCTCTAACAAACAACATAATTTTATGATGTATCAGATTTATATTAGCACTTCTCAGTTGAATTTAATCCTGAAAATGACTTATTTTATGCCTAAAAATATATTTAGAATTTCATCACTAAAGTAACATACCTATAAGTTTAGAGGAAAAGTCAGTGAGAGATAAGTCACACAGATTAGTCAGTTATTAATTGCTGAAATCTTTTAGTGGCTATTAACAATAAAAATATTTTTAAAATTTAATTTCATTTTGTTTATAGCAATCATATAGGTAAATATGAACACTCTGCTGTGCTTTGAGCAACATTTTAGTGGAAAATATTTCCATTGTATTATTTGACAAATTTCAAAATGTCGATGTTTGTTTAACCATTTAATACTTTTGGTTCTTTCAAGCTACATTTGTATTTTAACTTGCTGCGAGGCATGATTGCTTTTATCTGGTCATGAGATTCATTACCTTATGGCTTTAAATATTTTCCTTAGTTATTTTGAAGCAATTCTAAATGATCCAAAGATGCAAAAACAAGATGTATAATCGACTGTTCAACTAGTTAATGTTTTCCAAAATAACATTTCATGAGTGAATTTAAGAAGCACAACCACTCAGAAGGTTAATATGAATTTATAATTATGTTAAAAAATTATCTGAAAAATGTTTTGGTCTTTATTTATAGGAGGAAGAAGCTTATGTATGCATTTATTCTCATCGCTATGCAGACACAATACTTTTTCACCATGAGGGGGGTGTTGATATTGGAGATGTTGATGCTAAGGTAATTATTATTTTTTTTTGTAATGTTACATAAATCAATAAACATTTACCAATTTTAAAGTAAATTAAAAATAAACAAATTTTAGAATTCATGTTTTTACCCTTTACCTTTTATAATCATAGATTAAGATTTATTCCATAACTAACATAGTCAAACTTCGATATATCACGCTTGAGGTTGACTATTAAGTGGTATATTGAGCAAAGTGATTTCTAAAAGCAAAGTTAAACTTAATTTGATGTGTTAATTGTTTATTAAATTTAAAATTTAATCTAGAGGGGGTAAAAATTTTTATTTATTGCTTATAATTTTTACTTTGCTTTCAAGTAGCTGTTGGTTGCTTGGAGACTTGGAAGCGTACAGTATGCATAGACTAAGATTGCATACTGTACACACTGCATATCACAGCACTATTTAAATATCCCAAAACATGCAGTTATATTATGTATTTTAGGGTATTAAGTAGTATTGTGATATGCAGAGCAATATATTTTTCAGGTGATACTGTAACAAGGTTTAGCTGTTTTAGTAAAAATTTCAGTAATTGTAAGTAAAAAATTCTTAAAATTTTGGAGACATGAAATTTTTTATAGGAAATCTAGGAATGTTTATAAAAAGGAAAAATATAAACTGTTCATTACTATATACTTATATTTTATAGTTTATTTTGCTTTCGGAAGTTTTAAAAATTGCTCATGTGTGTCATTAAATTTAACAGTTAATTTTGTACGTTTAAAATATAAATTGCAGATATTTATGTTTCTAACTTTTTTTTTCCTTATCTGTTTGCATTTAATTTATTACTATTTCTTATAAAGCAGATATTTTTTACATAGGCTCTAAAACTGGATATTCCCGTTGATTCAAAACCCTCTTTTGATGATGTAAAATTGAAATTAGTAAAGAATTTACCTGCTGAGAAGCAAGAGTATGTGCTCGTATTTCTTATACATACTTTTTTATATGCAAGTTCTAAATTATGATAAATTGAAGTGGAATTTTGGTTGTTCACTCTCTTATTAGAAGACTAAATGTTGAAAGTTGAAATAAAGTAATGCATTCTCTCATCTGCTGCCGATTCAAACTTCTGTATTGTATTTTTTGTATTTTACTGACCTCAACTTATTATATATTTATATTGAATTGCAGTAAAATTTCTTATAACTTATCTATTGGAAGATTCTGAAGTTTCTAAAGAAGTTTTTTAGCATAAATTTCAAACATTCTGATTCGGAAGATTTTAATTTTAGTTTTTGCAAAAGATTAAACCTGTAACAGTTTTGTGTAATGCAAGAAAACCTTCTATGTGGTAATTCTTGAAGTATGAATAGAGCTCACATTTTTTCATGCAGGTTATGTGATCACTGATATTTGTATCATAATATTTTATTAAATATTTTATCTGATAATAATGCTGTTTTAATAAGGGATTTAATTTATTGTTCTTGTGAAAAGTGATGATCTAATGCATTGTATTTTCATTTAACAGATGATAGCTAGTATTGCTTTTTCAGTGAAACATGATTGAAATTCATACTGAGTTTTTTCCTTTATAAAAAATTTATTTTTTGAAATCTGTAAAAATTTTTCCATTTTAAGATTGCATGCTTTTGTTAGATTTAATGAAAATTAAAGAAAAGTACCTGTTCTCATTAATTTTAATTTTTTTAATTTTTACAAGAGGACTTCAAATCAAGGACTTCTGATTTTTCAGAATAACATTACTTATGTAAATTGATTTAAATGACTTTCATTTATTGACTTCATTATCCCATTGTTGCATTTAGATATCCATGTAGAAAGATTTCTGAATGCATTCTTGTCAGGAATTTACTAGTTCATTTTCGTATCATTTCTGAAATGCAGATTTCTGAAGAACTCTTTTTGAATGGAAAAATAAATGAAAATTTCTTGGCTGTGACATCAGGGCTATAAGAGATATGTAGTAATAACTGCCAATCAGGTTCCTGTCAGATACAAGCTGTGTAGTGGATGGTAAAGTGGACGTGCATTATTTTGCTGAAAAAGAATGCATCTAATGATTAATCAGGCCTTTTTTCTGTAATGGTGTGAGTATTATATCCATCTTTGAAAAACAGACTGTAGTAATCCTGTTACTGGTATTTAACTGAATTTGGAAGAATGCACAAGGGTTTTCCACTGTTGCCAGTAATATCAATGTAGAAAAGTCATGTCACTTTTGTTCCAAAAAATATTGTCCATGGCACTGTTCTAGAAGCATGGTAGCCGAGAATTTTTAGGGATGTGGTGAATCCAAATGCTTTCTCTGTTGCACATTTCAGTTCTGGGAGGAAATGATTCATCTATTGTTTTGTCATAAATGACAGTATTATTGATGAAACACTGGGTTTCTATATAAATATGTTCAGCATGTTCATGTAATACATTGTAAATTTGCTGTATTTCCATGTTAAAGGCAAACTGTTCATCTTCTGGAAGTGTAAGTGCTTATGAAATTTTTTCATATTCTCAGTTCTTTTTCACTAATTGAAACGTGAATCTTTTTTGCGAACTGATAACATATTATATATTGATTTTTAAGAATAGGATGTTGCACTGAATATGCTTGGAAATAACTGCAGTGGGTTTTAACAGCCTAATTCAAGTTGGTTTTATGCTGATGTCTAAACCATTAGCAGTATGCTTTAGTCTAAAACTTTTATCACTGTACTGTGCTTTGTCTCCTCTAAATTTCACTTGAGATTTTTATCTTCATTCACAAGAAATTTCATTATGATATGCTATTTCACATTTTCAATCACTTGCTTAGATTGCCAATTTCGTAAACAAATGATCATAACTGATAGCATGCAGTAATAGCAGAATTTTTTTTCTTACTGTCATGAATAAGCACTGTATGCTAAATATCCTTGTCTTTTATATTTCCTATAAACTTTGCAAAATTATAATGTTTTTTGTTACTAACTGCAAAACAATCTGCACTCCATAATGAGATTGAGCGAGTTTAAGGCATTCTGTTAAGCAATGAATGTTTGGAAGGAGACTTAGAAGCTGCTGAGTATTTAATTGAAAACATTTAAAATTCTAGTAACACAGAAAATATCGATAATTAAATAAAAACATAAACTTGGATATTTAATGCTGGAAAACTTAGATTTTGTTGTAATTAATGATATATAATTGCAGTATCTCAGGTTATCAAAATTTTTGTTAAAATGACCTAACCAGGCAAAAAAACTATGATTTTTAGTATTGTTTGTATTATTTTTTAGTGTATTTAAGCTTTCATTGCGTTCTGATTCAGATTGTATTATTTCTTGGAATAAGTGTTTCTTTAAAATCTTAAATCCATTTTTTAGCTTTAAATTGCAATAAAGCCAAAAATATTTATGGTGTCCTCTAAGTCTTTTTTTATAATTTTATCATTTAAATTTATAGTTTAAATGCTTGATAAATTGCTATTTGCTTGATAAATTATTTTCAAATGCAATGATGTGTGATTTTCTTTCAGTTATGTTGCAGCTTTCATATGCTCTCTGTATGATGTATATGTTGATTTGTACTTCACATATTTAGAAATAAATCCTTTAGGTGAGACACTTTAAGATTTTACAGATTTTTTAATACTACATGGATTTAGTTCATGCTGTATTTTTGTATGAATGAATAATTTTAAATCAATTGTTACTGAGTTTTTTTTTATATGTACTGTGTAGTTTAAATTTTAAATAGAAAGAAGCAAAGTTTCATGTGTTATTTCTCCTGAATTTTAAGAAGCTGTTATGTTTAGATTGCATATTTGTATACAGTTTTTATAGTTATTGCTTAAAATTAATTTACATGGTTAATAAGCCTCACAATATACATATTTAATTTGGATCAAACTACCTAATAAACATGAATATTTCCTGTTGCATACATTTCTTAGAATAAACTACTAGGTTAATTTAACATATTTTAAAATACACTATAAAAGTTTTAAATGGATTGAAATTTTTCTAAGGCTTTTTTGCATTTTATTACAGGTTAGTAACATTAGCAATAGTTAATTCAAGCAGAAGTGTATTTCAAATACGTCTTTAACTATGCAAACTTTTTCAGTGTTAACTGAAGGAAAAGCTTATATACTTGACTTGGCTGCAAAATTAGATGCTACAGCGGATTTTCTGTGCAAGCAAAAGTGGGGAGAATTTGAATTTCCTCCTGCTTTTGGTCGAGATGCTTATCCAGAGGTATATTATTTGAATATTTGCAATTGATTTTTAGCACTAAGTGTAGGATCAGTTTATGTTAAATAAAAGGTAACTTGTCTTTTAATGTTGCAATGATATAATTTTCTATTAATAAAGACTCACAATTCTTTTAGCAGATACTCATAAATTCCACTTGAATATCTTTCTATGAAGATTCAAATTCTCTTTATTCTATATACTTCTTGCTGTAAATTAAAACATGAATGGTTCTTAATTTCTTTCAAGGTTACAATTGCTAAATGAGATGGGAGAGTTTTTTTTTTTTGGGGGGGGGGAACTGTTTAGGTTTGGCTATTCAACAAATCTCAAGCAACATGAAAAGTAATAGGTATGAAAGGAATCTTCATAATTTATATGTGACAGATGTTACTTGTTCTGAGTCTCTATCATGACTATAATACTGCAATACACTATTTATGGGTTAATCATTTTATTTAACATTAAAAAATGTGATTAGTCTTAATATTGAAATGCATCCTGAATTACTTATAATAAGCGTATACGATTTTAATTCACCTGCTTGTTTTCAGATAAAAATTATAAGAGAAAGGAAAAGTGCTGATCATCAGTTAAACAAGTGTTGAGAAACAATTGCATAATTACAGTTATAATGCAATTGTTTCCCAACACTTGTCTAACTTTTTTTAAGCCTCAGTAGACAAAGTTATACTTCTTATCCAAGTCTATCTTAGCTTTACGTAATGCCATTGATGTACAGTCAAAAGTCGTTAATCCGGACTCGTCGGGACTTCGGCGATTCCGGATTATAGATCGTCAGTTTAAATCTGGTAAGATGGCATGCAGAAATAATAAAATTAAAAATATGAAACCGTAATTTATGAAATAAAGAACAATTATGATCTAAAGGGTATCAAAATTTACAAAAAAAAAAAAAAAAAAAAAAAAAAAAAAAAAAGCTTAATATTTATTTACTTTATTAAACATTTCTTTCAATGTAAGTTGTTTAAGTTGCTTCGTTTTATGTGATAATACTTTCTCTTTAATTCTATAAACAGACATAATTTTTTCTTTAGTTACAAAGTTCTGCTGTTGAAGTCCTATAATTGCTGTGTCAAGAATACTGACTAATTTGTCAATCGAAATTTTTTCGTTTTCAATAACCTCTGTGTCACTTTCTTCACTATCAGAAGCAAATTATAATGACGAGGAATTTGATTTAAATCATATCAAAGGAGTACGTCGAGATGAAATACTACATTTAGTAAGGAATTATAAGCCAAATAAAATAAAAACATCTGCAATGAAGATAAGGATAGTGCTGACAGATCAACTTCCAATTCATTGCGCGCTGCGGCGTTTCCCCCCATCCCCGCCGCAGAGCAGCATGAAATTGATAAACAGATTTTGGAAGGGTTAGAGAAACGAAGGATGTGCCTTTATCCATTTTTTGCAGCAATTCTGATTTTTGTTTGATGGACATCGAAACATACTTTTGCTTTGTAGATCTCTTACGTATTAGTAAATATATATCGGAAATTCTATTTGACATAATCGAAAGTTCAAGCTTACTTTTATAAAATTGCTCTAACAGTGTGTAAAAAATAATAAGCCGGATCCAATTCGAAGATTAACCCTTTAACTGTCAAGTTATTTTGATGATTTGAGTACACAAATTGTGAAATTTTTTTATTGCAAAAACCAAATGTTTAGTACAAAATAAAATATACTTAAGTAGTTAAAAATTGATATTTTGACGTACATGGCGTAATTTTTAAAGTTTAGCCACTGCATATTTTTTTTTTGAGGCGGCTGTCACTCAACATGGCAGTTGCAAAGTTCATTTCTATTGGAGCATTATTTTCTATAAATGAAAAAAATTAACTATTTTCTAAAACATAAATAAATATAAGTGAATACCTATTAGTAGTCCAGTAATTCAGTCTTGTGTGGTACAACTGGAAACACTTTTCCAAGCACAAACCAACTCCACAATCACTACACCAGAATCGTGATTCCTTCCTTATCTTTTCTCCATTTTTATCCTTTTTCGAACAACACACTTTGCACTGTCTTGTAGGCTCACGTTTCGCAGGAATAGGAGGAAAATGGGATATAAAATGTCGTTCAGTAAGACGGGCAGGGTTATCTATTGTAGGTGGTCTGCCAACATTCTTTTGTTCAGAAGCTGCATCATCATATTTATGTAAAAGCTCTTCTACAACTTGGATTCGAAATTCTAAAAATGTAATACGTTTCCCAACTACATTTTTATAGAGCAAATATGAGTTCCAGAGTACCTTGTCTAGTAAATGTAAAAATATCTTTTTATAATATTTTTTCTGATGTTTTCGGATTGTTGGATGAAAGGATATTTCCTGATCACAGTGATCTACACCACCCATAGTTAGACCGTAATTAGAAACAATCTTCGGCTTGAGTATATCGCCATTTTTTATTTTTGAGGTAGACCATGGAAGTATCATGAATACTGCTCATCAAACACACATCCTTCATCTTCGGTTGAAGAATCTAAATCATCTATATAACGTTTCAAAGAACTGGATGCTATTTTACAACAAAAAGATCCCATGCACCTTGAACCAAATAACCTCTAACCTTTGAAATCTTCAGTAAAGTGCTGTCATCTATTGAACTGAGCGCACGTTAACTTTTCCTGAAATACAGTCGGGTTTGACAAAGAGATGAAGCCGAAATAAACATCTCCCGATATATATTCGGGTATAACAATAGGATGCACTAAAAAAAAATTACCCCGATTAATACTCGGGCGTGACATTTTCGAACACCAGCGCTGTGCCCGAGATTATCTCAGGCATGACAGTTAAAAGGTTAAGGAACAATGCAATCTGCAACATTAACTGAATTAGATAATTTTAGCTTAGCTTATACCGTCCGTTATACATTAAACGCGCAAGTGTAAACGTATTATGCGCACACGCATATTCGCAGCCATAAAGGTCTTACGCGCATGCGTCGACGCATGCACAGAAAGTTTGTAGCTTTGAGGTCCGGATTATAGATCATTCTGGATTATGGGTGTCCGAATTAACGACTTTTGACTGTATAAGTATTGAGCACCTGCAAAGTTGAAATATGCTGAATATATGCTACTGTGAGATAAACTTATAAAATTTTTCATGTATTCCATGAGAAAGAGAATTGCATAATATTTATACTTTTTTCATTGTGGATACTTGTATTAGTTCTTGATTCTGACTTCATTTTAGTGTGTGATATCAAGCATTTTCAAGTACAATATTAATAATTGATCTAAAATAATGTCCTGAGAGAACACGATAAATATGAAATTGGATCTACTGATAATAGATTATCTAAAAATTTGTCAAAAATAGGATCTTTCTGTTTCTGTCGACAAAAATATGAAAACAACGAAATAAAAACATACTTGACTAATATGGTGTAGGAAAATCTTTGGCATTCAAGATAGCTTGCAGTCTTCTAACAATAGATAGAGGTATGCTTTGCAAGGGAATCTTATACCATTCCTCCTGTAAAATGTTGGCAAGTTCAGTTAACAACAATGATGGTGGTAGATAGCACTTATGTAGATTTATCTCCAAAATAGCCCACAAAGGCTCAATAATAGCGATATATTGCATCTGTGGTGGCCATAGTAGATGTGATAGTTCACCCTCATGTTCGGAAAACCAGTCCTGGGCGATATGAGCTGTGTTTTCTTGGAATATGGCATCACCATAAAGGAACAAAATTTGTACTACAAAATCTTAGGACTAATTTTCAACACATTTCTACAAATCGGTCTAACAAATTTCTGCTTGCCAAATGTTAATTGATAACATTTACTATTATGACATCTCAAGTTGTTTTTCCTAAAATATCATCCTATATGCAGTTGATTAGCTTTGATCCAGCAACATCAGCTACTCAAAAGCTGATTGGAGCTTTAGTCAAAACCTTTAATCCAGTAACTTAGCTACTCAAAAGTTGGATTCAAAAGCTGAACGAAGAATAACAAAGTGGAAGAAAAAAACAGGCTATAAAGATATATAAATTGTGCAAAGCATACAGGGGCAAGCAATAACATGATCCTGTGTTTTTCATTGATGACGACAATTTTGGAATGGTCATATTAACGTTAAATTCAGCCTTTGTAATCTCGAATGTGTGAGAATATCTGAAGTATGACAATTATTGATGAAAAATCATCACTGTATTTAACTCATAAGCTGAACTTCATAAAGATATTATTCACAGAATTATCATGGAATACTTGGAAAAAATTTTTCTTAGATCAGATTTTTCCATGTCATGATTTAATTGAAATAGCAAATGTTAATATTTTCAAACCAAATGTGATTGGAGAGGAAAAATGAGGCTTTGCTTATGATCTTGAAACAAAATGGAAGTCATCTGCTTGATCAGAGAAGCTTTACTTATGGCAGAACTTCAGTTTGAGGAATCTCAAGTAAAGTCCATGTTGATGAACTTTTGAAAAGTGATAATTCACAGAATATCTCTTAGATGGATCTCACTAGTGGCTGAGCTGTCACTAGTGACTGATTGAATAATGATAACTCATCCATAGTTCGAACCCAGGCGAACAGGCTGTCTGCATGATAGATTTACTTGGTTTGTCCATGTCTAACATGAATACAAGCTGAAAGAAAAGGAAAGAAAGGATCTTTTATGGCTTCTATAAAAGCATCCCTCATTAGGCAGATAACCTGAGGGGGTATGCTTTGTGCACTTTGCCATATTTAAATAATCAACCAATCAATTATTCTGAAAGACAGAGGGTCAGCATCATGTTTTTTTGAAGACTTAATTGACAGATTGCTGAAAGGACATGAGCATGTTAGGTTTGAAAAAGATCATTCAAGATAACCAATTTCCACTGTACAGTAGTGTGGCATCACGCAATACCATTTTTGTTAAGCAGTTTCTAGTGAAAAAAAGTCACAGCTCTTAACCACTTCTCTTATTCACCAGATTTCGCATTTGCAAACTAGATTCTTTTCTGTAAAGTGAAAACTTTCAAGAAAGCTGCAGTCAGAGATGAACATGCAAACATTATATAAAATTACAAAGATTTTTTTTTATTGAAGGTTAAGAATTAAGAATGTTTTTTTTTTTTTTTTTTTTTTTTTTTTTTTTTTACAAATTATGTAAGTACACCTAGAATTTTTAGATGCATTGCATTTGAATAGTTTTACATTTTGTTTTAAAATTTCAAAGGAAGATAATAAAGATAGGTATTTTATATTTCCTTAGGAAGCATATATTGCAGATCTGGACGCTAAAAGTGGAGCATCATTAAAGCTTACCATTTTAAATAAAAAAGGTCGTATTTGGACCATGGTAGCAGGTGGTGGTGCTTCTGTAATATACAGGTATAATTTCAAAAATATTCATTTAGTATGCTTTTAAGTACCTTAAATTATTAAATTATTCAGCATTTTAAGTTTAAAAAATTTTCCAATGAATTTTGACATGTAGCAGTGCTGTCATGGTGTACTTTATTCATATAATTTTATGCTTAATGATTATAATATATTTTGACACTGATATTATTGAAGTTCATTAAAATCTATAAATAATTGAATGGCATGAAAAAAATGTTGATAATGATTAATGAATTGCATAGTTTTTTTAAGACTGTTTTTTATTAAATCTAAATTCTGTTTAATGTTTATACATTTAAGACCATGGGATCTCAAATATGTGCATACTAAATTGGATGGTGGTCTGCATACTGGTTATCGCTGCAAATTGTATTAAGTAAAATATCTAGTTTGAATAGCTCTGTATGTGAAATTGTATGTTTTACATGTCCATTTACTAATACTGTAAAAGAAAGGGTGAATAATTATTCACTTTTTATTATTATTGTGTGAGAGCATTTTTTCTGGAAACTTAAATGTTTAAATAATTATTTCTTGGTAGTGTTAAAAGTTACAAGATAAATTGATGTTAGTACTGCTTTCAGGGATATTCATGTCTTGTGTTTTATGTGTGACAGTATCTTGAAGAACCTTGGGAATAATAATTCACCTAGTAAAATGATGATGTAAAAGATTATTAGTGATGTTTAGGTAAATGACATCAGAAAGTCTAAGGCATTCATTTAGTTACAACTTTAGTCAGTATGACATTAATAATTTATGAACAGCCATGTATAAAAATCGCATCTCACGAGTGGATTAGGTTAATTGACTAAGATAAAACATACAAGGGCTATCTACATAAAGAGAGAAATGCCTTTGTAAAAGACTTTTTAAGGGGAAATGACTAGCCCTCGTACATACAGCATAAGAGAAGACAGCAAAACATCCATACAGCCAGTCCATTTGCCAGGAATTAAACCATTGTCAAAATACCAGTGTTTAGCAGTGTTTATCCGGTTGACCACATGTTACCATTGTGGGTATATTATTTGTAGTGGTAGTTTGGTGATACAGATTGTAAAATTGTAAGTATGAAATGTAGATTATGTTTAACTGCTGTAATTAGAACATTTTTACAACCAGTGGCAAAATTCTGGCTTCCCACCCTCTTTGGTGTTTAAATTTTAATTTGTTTAGATTTAAATTTCATTCCTTGCAGCAATGGCACAAAGAATTATGTAATTAAATTTGTATTTAAATTTATTTAAATTAAATTAATTTAATTTAATTTAATTTATTCTTAGAAGTTTATATACATATATTATTCCGGATGTCAAAAGGCAACCAAGATAAGCTTATATTTGCCACATTTTCTACTAAGAACATTTTTCAGTTCAGCATCAAAAGTGGATTAGATGGTGGATTTCACTGTATGAGTGATCTGGGAGAACTCTGAAACTATGTTGTAGATTGTTTCTACTGCACTTAAGTAGTAAAAATAATTAGTTTTAAGGGGAAAACGCATATGCAGTAACTTCACATCAGTTCTTTAGCCAGGCCATGTCCACATGAGATTTTTCCTGTGTCGCAGCCATCTGCAAATTGCAAAGATAAAAGGATTTGATTGGTTCAAACATTCCAAAAACTTGTATGAAATGAGTTTTTAAAATGTTCTTCATCACTTAGAAAACTGAGAGGGCCGAGCGGTAACGTCGCTGAACACTGTTAGTTCGGTCCGAGGTTCAAATCCTGCAAACGGCCTGACTGCATGGGTGTTTTCGTGGTTTTCTTCATGTGTAACGTGTATATGAGCCAGTTTCCCTTAAAAAGTCCTCCATGAAGGCATCCCTCCCTTAAGGCAGATAGCCCTCGAGTGCTTTGCCGTAATCTAATAAATCAAACCAAACCTTAGCAAACTAAACACAGTTGTCATTCATTCCATCCTCAGTGGTATTTTCCATCAAAATTGGGATGGAAATTTTGTTTTCTCGCACATGTAATCTGGTTGCTGCTTCCTTGGTGTGCCTCCTGGGTAACTTTCTTGGTGGTACTGTGTAAAAATTTCGGTACTTTTCCGTTTCGCCGGCGCAAATCTCGCCAAGCAGACTTTATTGGCGACAACATACAGTATACACATAAAAAATATTTAAAAAATTTTAGTTCTAAGAATTTTTTATTTTGAAGGCATAAACATTTTAATATCGCTTAAAATTTTATAAAAAGCCAATAAATAAAGACAATACATTTATAAAAAGACACTAATTTAAGAATTTACTATGCTTTCATGGTTCAACATCCTGATTCGCCGGTTCATATCACGTGACCCCAAGCGATCTCATATCACGCAAACTATTCTACAAAAATCTAATGCTCTCTGTAATTATCTACATTAATTTCAAGTTAAATCTTAATTTGGAACACAAGTTTAAATGCAAGAAATATTTTAATTCGTACGAATAGCTTACTCAGAAAATTTGGACAACTGCAGTGCTTTACTTCGCTAATGCATTCTCGTTAGAATGGATGAATTTAACCCTTGACTTTACCTTTTCTATATTTTCGGCTTCGGGTAAGCGCTGTGATTGCATCCTAATTGACTTAATTACCGAAAATGGCCTTAGACATAAAACTGAACTATCTGATAAAAATTCTATGTAATTATATGTCAGTATTGAAAGAAACAATCAATCTGATAAGAAAAAGCTGCGACTTGTTTTAAAAATGAGGCGTAAGAGGTTACCAGCGAGAATATTTCGTTTGGCATCGGTTGTACCATTATTGGCGACTTTATCGCTTGCGCCGGCAAAACGGAAAAGTACCAAAATTTCTCATAAATACAAAAGCTGAAAATTGTAAGGTGATGAAAGATTTTTCAAAAATTAAACTTCTGCATGTCTTTAAAACTGCATTTTCTGCAAGTCCTGTGATGTCTATCAAGAGATCTATCTGATGAATAATATAAATAGAAAACTTTACTGACATGGCACATGAATACATTTTAATCCGTTTTGTGCTTGTAAAATATAAATTGTGTATAATGCAACAGCTGCAAATATATTGATATACACATAATATTATATTGCAATTTATAAAAAGAAATCAATTGTTTGCCTAAAGTTAAGAACTGACTAAATATTAGTTTAATCATTTTTATAGACTGTGTGACTCTCACTGACATAGTAGTTTTAAGTGTAATAAATGATATTTCTGAAAATGCAAAAATAATGTACAAGAAAATAAGAGCTTAAAATAAATATTGTTTATATTGTAATGAATTACTATGATTTGCACTATTTGTAAAATATCAGCATGTTCTATTTTGTTAGTGATAACTTATTAACTAAAAATTTATTCCAGTTAACTAAGTTTTCTTTGATTAAATAACTATTTTTTAAAAAAATCTTTCTTTTTTGGTTGATAATATTATAGTTTGTGAGTATAAGTAATTCTTTCAAAAAATGTTATTAATGTTATAGTACTTAAATAATCGATTTTACCACATGTTTATTTCAGTAGTTGATTTTTATGTTTTAAGAATATTGTTGCCATATAATGAATAAAAGTTGTCTTTTTCACATAATAAATATAGCATCTGCTAGCTGTGTCATATAGTTCTACTTATCATAGTATAAAGAATTAAGCGAATGTAAAATTAGACTTGCTTGAAAACCCTAAGAGTAATGTAAAAGCTGCTACATACAGATCCTTATGAAGATATCACGTTTTAAAGTTACAAATGAAATAAGAATAGAATTTGTTCTCTTATTACTATTTCATTATATTAGAACATTTCATTGCAGTCTTCCATTATGATGTAATAACCATGTGAATGATAAATGAGAAAAATAGTTACTTTTCCAAATAAGTGTAGCATTTGCTTCTGCTGTTAAAAATTCATTGTTTGAAATAGTTTTGTCCTTTTGGGGAGGGGTGTTGAGGGTACCACAGAAATTCAGGATACTTGATGTATTATCTGCTTTGATACAGCCATTTTCTGTTTGTATACAAAATGTTCAGTTAACCATTTGGTATTTACGTGCTTGAGCAAAACCTTAGAAATCTAACTTTTCTACATGAAGTGGATATTGACTTATAATAAGCAATTTATAGCTGATTCAACATATAATTAGAATATTAAATGTAAATTCTTATCTAAAACTGTATGTAAACTGAGTGCTAAAATTTTATTTTTAAGGCATAATTTAATTTTTAAATTAATAAGAGTTTAATTTTTCTTAAGTGATACAATATGTGAATTGGGTGGAGCTTCTGAATTAGCCAATTATGGAGAGTATTCTGGAGCTCCTACAGAAATGCAGACATATGAATATGCCAAAACTATTTTGAGCTTAATGACTCAAGAAAGGCATCCAGATGGTATGTTTTATTTGAAAAAAAAAAAAAAAAAATGTTTTGATGTGAAGTCAATATTCGTATTTATAATGATTTTTAAATATTGTTCATGTTTTATATTTTCTTCATTTTATTAGAAACTATTTTTGATTTAAAAAAAAATACATCTTTGAGTAATGTTTATGGAATTGCAAAAATTGTATTTGGAGAATTTTCATGAAAATAAGATTTTTATATAGACGTTCTGAAAGGCGTAGTTCCTTAATATTTTATGTCTAGTGATTGAAGAATTAAATTTTGTAGTTTGGAAGTATTTTTATTAATTATATATATATATATTTCAGGTAAAATTTTGCTTATTGGAGGAGGCATAGCAAATTTCACAAATGTTGCCGCTACATTTAAAGTAAGTTTCTAATACTGCTGCTGTTAACAAAAGTCTGAAGTTAAAAGTATTAAAGTGTCATTATTTTTCTTTACTTCAGGCTTCTATCACTGATATTAAGAGCTCTATAATGTAAGAGTAGTATAGTATTTCTTCCTAAAGTTATAAAAATTATGACAGTTTGGAGAATATTAAACTCTTGCTGTGTTAAGTAATTGTGTATTGTTATGACATATTTCAAATATGCATATATTTTAGTTAAAATATACATTTTTTTTGTAAAGGTTTTTTTCCCCTACTGTAGAATTAGATCATAAAAAAAGGTTGTCGGAAAATTGAAGAATAATGATATAAAAAGCAAAATTTTGAAAAGTTAATCTTGCTTAATTTATGATTTATTTTATGGAATACAAAGGTAAAATGTATATTAATGACAATATGTAAAATACTTAAAAATATTTATTAGACATAAAGTTTAATATGATAAACTTTGAAACAAGGCACGAGGAAAAGTCCTATCTCACAATTTTTGCACCAAATTTGCATTTCTGTGTGAATTTTTTGCCAGTTTTCGTTTTTTAGCAACAAACAGCACACTTTCTATGAAGCTCTTTCTTGATGGTATTGGGGATTAAATGGCTAGCAAAAGGTCAAGCAGTTGTCTCATGAGACTGAGAGTTGAACTATATCTGCCAGGGTAAATACTGGCATTTCCATCTGAATATTTCTGAATGCTTAGCTCAATAATTTGCAAACGGAACTCTGGAAGCATTATTTTTGCAATGGGTTCTTTTTTATAAAGAATGTAAGCATTCCACTGTGATTGCCAAGGCAAAGAAAATGAAACAGGAGCTGGTGGAATATTTTGCACCACTTTCGAATGTTTTGAATAGAAAATGAATCTTTAGATTCATAACTATCTGCAGAAGAATCTGAGAAACTCTCATCAGTTTTGCTATAACTATCTGTAATATACTTGAAGTCAGAACTGCTATCAGTGGCAGAAATATTGTCAGGAATATAGGTTATATTGCTCACAAAACGCTTCTTGCCAGACATTTTGAGCTTTGAAAAGAGCTTGCAAAATGGTGCAAAACATACTTATATATTTCGCAGAAATATGGACATGTAATGCCATTTGTTAACCTAGATCTGAATAAACAGTTAAACATCATAGAAAAGCAGAAATGAAACCATGAACGGGGGGCGGGGGGAGGACAGGTTGCACAGTTGAATAGACTGGAAAAATGCATTCTCGCGGAAATCACGGGTTGCGCAAATTTTGCTACTTTGCCTGTGGAAATAGTGAGATACGTAGCCAGAGGGTTAAGTGTCAGCATCTTTCTATAAGAACATAAGTAAACATAGATCATGTTTCTACTGAAAATTTAGATTCTCAATGCTTAAAGTAATAAAATAATAAATCATTCATCTGATCACCACCCTAAACAGTATAGGGGTTAGCAGTGCTGGTTGCCATATTGTTAGCTCAGGTTTGAATCTTAGAGGAGGCTTGGAAATTTGTAAGTGTATGTGTCTGCAGCATGAGGGCATTTGTAGTTGTAGGTACATTCTATTTTGTTCTTTAAATAGTGTCAAACTTGGAAGTGAAGTTCAAGTCATTCTAACACTGAATTTTACATCTTAAGTTCAGCGTAGTGGGCATCTGTAACTTAAACTTAGACTCTATCATTAACATGTTCTTAACTTGTATCTAAATACAATGCTCTATGTCATTGAAAGTCACCTGAGGGAAATAATAAGGCCATGCTTGTAGCACTAACTAAACATGATTGCATTATTTCATTGAGATGCATTGTTTCCTAGAATGGTGTTTATCTATCCACCCATAACCATCGGTAATCAAGAGTTTGTAAGGTGATAAGAATGACCAGACGGGCCATTTCCAATGCCAGGCTTAACATCTGGGCTGAAACATTCTGGCAAGTCTTCATTTGACCTTTAACATACTTGGAAAATACCAGAGCAAAAAAGAATGCAACATGTCTTGTTACTTATAACTGTTATATCTAATTGTGTCTGGACTCTGTTAGCGTGTTTTAGGTTAAATGATCTGCTGATCAGCATTTTTGTCAGCTATATTAAGAACTTAACTTATTCCTGTGCATAAATTTGCTTTCTGAATGTTTTGGCAATATGTAAATAGCTTTGGCATTGTGTTTCATTCTTGCATAACATTTTGATTAGTTATCTGTGTAGTGACTTTTCTTTAAGTATACATGCATAAAGGCAACCTTAAGAAATCTACTTACTGAAAGGAAATCAAGCATATGTGATGTATCGAAAGTGTATTTTGTTACATTAGGCAGATGTTCAGGAGCTTTTTGCCAAATAGCATGGGCCATAGATATTGGAGTTACATAGTGAAAACACAGTTCTTTCATAAATACATTTCTTTTCTCAATACAGTTTTAAAATACTTATTTTCTGAAGTGATGAACATAACTTGGCATTCACTGTAAATTTTTATGTGTTATGGAATTGCCTGCTTTGCTCAGATTAGCTTCCACTTAATAATAGTAATTATGAAAATAAATAAAAAATAAAGCAATAATAAATAAAAACAAAAATAATCAAATGTTATAAATCTACATTCCATAATCTGTACAATATAGATTTACCATTTAGTGAGTAAAGTAAGTGCTATTTTTAGGATACCTTTAGAATTATTAAATCATTTTATACATCTCTGTGGAAGTATTGTAATCATAGAAAATTTTGGGTATCATATTTCAATGAAAATATCTATTTTGACAGCTATCGAATGCAATTTAACGATCTTTTTGCACGATATCTGTACATAAGGACAGAATAAGTCTTCTTTTCCCTAAATGAATTATAAGATTGATTTAAAATCAATTCAGACGAGGTTTTTTTTCATGATGTGTTACATACATATGTATCTTGCATAACTCAAAAACAAGTAGCAATGTTAAAATTTTGTATATAGAACTGCTATAACATGTAGTTGTACACCACCTTTTTTGTTTGAAATCGGCCACACCAAATGTAAATATATATATATACACGCACCCATTCTGTTACTCAGCTCGGTAAGTTTTTTCTTTTTTAAGTTCAGTTTTTTTTTTTAATTTTATTTTTACATGTTGATAAATTATGCATTTTTTGCTTTAAATGTGATTGAATTATGTTGTCATGTTTTCGTTAAGATTTTTATGCCGTTTTATGCCTTATGATTTTTTCTGCAATATTTATAGAATTATCAACAAATTAAAAGTTTAAGCCACAAGTTAAGCCTAATGAACCGCCATTTGTACATTTGAAACTCTGTAGAATAGTGAATTAAGTCAGTTTCTGCACCTTCAATGTCATTTTGCAAAATGGGACCAAAAGTAAATTTCAGTTTTGTGCACTGAAAAATCTGCCTTCTTGCCTGCTAGCTGATTTGTTTGTTTTGCATAGAAACTCTTAATTTTAATTTTAAAAATTGTTTTAACTTTATTTATATATTTTTCAATCCTTTTCAATATTTAATGAAAATATTTCAAGATTTTATGTAATTTTGCCTTGCCACGAAGAGATCTGAATTAATAAAATGAGAAATCTATCTCTAATGAAATTTGAGGAAATAAGTTTAAATAAAATGCAGCAAAAATTGTGTTTAATTTAATATTCCATGCAAGGAAGTCGTGATGTGTGATTTTTAATGAATTTGAAAGGAGGTTTGTAAGTTGTAATAAAATTTTTAAAAGCTTGAATGTTTTTAATTCTGTAAATAGTGTTCTTAAATTATTTTATCCGGATTGTCCTTACATATTTACAGATTCTATACTGTAGTTTCTGTATGGACTTACCTATGTACTCATAGTTTCTCTTTTTCCTTAAAACTTGATTGGTATTGAAATAATTTTGTTTCCATTTTGTTTTGTCAAGCTTTGTTGTTTCATTAAAGATGATTATATTCAAGTAAAACTGTGCAGCTGAATGAATAGGATTGCTATAAAATTTATTAATGAATTTTAAGATAACATTATTCTGTAAACATCACCTGAATATTTTATATGTCAAAGTAAATTAGTTTGCTTTTCTTGAAATAAATGTTCAAATTCGATATCAAATATGAGGCTCCATTAATTGTTGAATGGTTAAGACCAGTCAATACTACCTGCTGGTAATCTTGATGCAAGCGAACAGGCCGAATTGCATGATTGACTTTCTTGGTTTTCCTCATGTGATTGTGAGCAAGGTTTATTTAAAAAGTCAAACCTTCCTTTAGGCAGGGTATTCCTTGTGTTCTTTGCCATTTTTAAATAACCTGTATCAAGTATATATAGCTGTGATACTTCTTTGGCAATATGAAGCACCTCGAATGATGGAACACAGAAAAACTTTATTTAACACTCAAAATGGTGACATACAAAACAAAAAGAAAAAAGAATTATAACATTTTAAAATAAAATATATTCTTCGTGCGAGAGTCGCACGTGGCACCGAACCTGGTTTCAAACATTGCCATTCATATACCTTAATGTTCATCTAATTAAATTATTTATTTTAAACTACAAGACTTTAATAAAGCTGTTACATAGCTCGAAATTTATCTTAGATTTATACTATTTGCTGATTGCTTTGTGATAGAACTTTATTTAACTCTCTAAATGCCACAGTATTTTGGATTATTTATTCTAGTTTGTTGTCATAAACTTTTATTCTTTAAGCTGATATTTACATCAATTAAGCAAGTAAGAAAATTAAATAAATTTTAAACCTGGTATAGACGAAGGGGGAAAACAATGTTTCATGATCATGTAAAGGTCTCAAAGACCCTTGAAATCATGCCACTTGTGTATGGGGGAGAGGGTATATGAAATTGTATACCACTTTTCCTCTGTAATCAATGTGAGTTTGTAGCAAAACGTCTGTATAAAATGTGTATTGTAGCATACCAATTACTTTATGATTTTAATTATTGTAAACCATTTTAGTAATAAAACAAAATTTTTTAATTGATGTTGTGTAGTTTCAAGTATTATATGTATTTTTATGCTATAACTGTTGGGTTTGTGCATTTGAAAGAGCCAATTTCATGTAATGTTTGAAATGACCTATGAAGACGCGTGGAAAGTAGCATCGATACCATGTTGATGACATTATATGCTTAAGAGAGATATAAGTGGCAAAAACTTCATTGGTCACTTGTCTGAGAATTGAATTTTTTTAAAGAGTTCAAACTAGGTCATTCTGCAGCAAGTACTGTAAAGAGTTTGGTTTATATATTAGCTAGTAAATGCATCATTCAATATTGATTTGCCAAGTTTCATTTAGGCAAGAAAGATGCATCACTTTCTTAAACTATATTCTGAAGCAAATTATGAAAATTGCCACCTAATAAAATGCCATATGGACTTACCCAGGCTGAGAAATAATAGGGGAAAGATTTTGCATCAAATTTTTAAAAAGGGTCTGGCATAACAATTGTCATATTTATTGGATGATTTAATGCATACAAACATCCAGGCCATATCTCAAAGCCTCTCTCCATTCTCAAAAGATGCTCATGCTTATATCATGGCATGTAGCTGGTATTATTCATTGTGTCTCTTAGCCAAAGTAAAATCATTCATTTGGATTACTGTCACATTAAACCGTGCAAAATAAAATAACATTAAATTACACATATGAGGACATTGACTATTTCAAATGCATCCCTAGTTATCACTCTGTCTACACATTCATTCAGAAGATATCCAAATTTATAATAATGTATTTGTTTTAGGGTATAGTAAAGGCATTACTGGAATTTCAGACAAAATTAGTAGATCATAATGTTTCGATATTTGTTAGAAGAGCTGGCCCTAACTATCAGGAAGGCTTAAGAGTAATGAGGGAAGTAGGTAAGTACCTTTTTGCTGATAATATTATAAAAATAAAAATGCTTCAATACATTTTTGCTTTTAAATCCTGCATCATGGAAGGAAGTTTGAAAGTTGTAATAAAATTTTTAAAAACTTGAATGTTCTTAATTCTGTAAGTAGTTTTCCTAATTTTTTTAAATCCAGATTGTCCTTACATATTTATAGATTTTGTTATATAAAAAATTTATGCACTTACCTAACTGCATTATGTAGCATGAAGGAATTTCATGAATTATGACTTAATATAATATTTTATTATCCATGGTTATCTGTCTAGTAGCAGCAGAAAATATGGATAAATCTCAAATGGGTCAGCAGGTAGTATTTCCATTCTGGTATGTATCAGAGGTAGCCCAAAATAAAACATTTGTCATGGAAAAAATTAATGAGGACTATACACCACATATTCAAGATTCCAGTCAAATCATATTGAATAATCTTGTTATCTTTTTTTCCCAACAACCTATTAATAATACTGAATTAAGGGGAAAATTGTACAGATCCTCTTTAAAATATATATAGGAAAATAACATGGAAGGTTAATGTTTGTAATTAAGTTATATTCTGATGCAGAGCACATTGAAATAAAAGCTTGACAATTAGTTGCCAGATAAATTAAAATGCAGGATACCTTAACATATTTACTTGTCATTCATCTTAAGGCTTATTCGTCATTCTTATAGGGTGTTCTTAAATGTATTGAGAAATGCCTTTGAGCACTAGCAAATAGCTTGAATTTTGGGATAACTTATAACAGCTGTAGAAATTTAAATTAGTATGTCTTTGATTCTTATAAAAGTCTGCCGTATGTTGAATCTAAAATTTCTGCTCTGTATATCCAATAGACAGTTGCATTCAGGTAAAGTTCTGTAAATTAAATTATTTTCCTCTATTTTTATTAATTCTCAATTATGATGAATTAAATTTTCAATTTGATTTTTACTTTCTTGTATGAAGTAAAGGAAGTACTGAAATCACTAAAAATTTTGGGTGTTATTTCGGCAAAAATATTCATTTTCACCATTTCTGAATCCATCTGGATCCTCCCCTTTTTTTCAATTTCAAAACCATTGTTAAAATTTTTTTCTGTGATGTCTGTACATACATAATGCATTTCACATAACTAAAAGCTGTAGGATGTTGGAATCTTGTATGTGGGACTGCTATAACATCTAATTGTGCACCTCTCTTTTTTATTGCAGTCGGCAGTACCAAACATATATATATATATATACATCTCCTTACCTGGCTTAAAAGTCCTTATCCGGCCTTTATTTTCTCAATCGTTGGTTGTAGTCATATACATCTAATCACAGATATGTTTTGAATGGTGAAAATATTCATGTTTTGGCAATATCAAATTTAAAAAAAAATTCATTTTGACAAATAACGAAATCTAAATTTTAATGCAATCTCTTGGTTCTCATATTTATGTTTGGAAAAGTTTTATACTCGTTTTGAAAAAAAATTAATTTATAAGAAGTTTGGCTCCTATATGACCAAAAATTGACGTGGATATTTTATTTTAAAATTTGCAATTTTTGATGTCATTTTCAACTTGCCTTGAGGGATTAGTTAAGTTAGAATAATTCAAGGAAATATGTTTAGATGAAGGGCAGCAAAAAAATATGTAATTTCATAAGCCATACAAGGAAGTCGCAGTGTCTGCATCAGATTTTTTTTTTTTTTTGTTTATATCTATGTACGTAAACTCTTGACTTTTAGCAGTGTTTAAATTAATAAAATATTTTATAGGGGGAACATTAGGAGTTCCAATTCATGTATTTGGGCCTGAAACGCACATGACAGCCATCGTTGCAATGGCAATGGGTAAGAAATCTTTACCAGCCATGCCAGAACCTACATTGACTACAGCAAATTTTCTTTTACCTGGAGGAATGATGGTAATTATTTTTTGGCAACTTTTATGCATTTTTTATTTTTCGTATTTGCTGTCTGTTGTATCATAGTGCAATTATATAGGTACATGTTATAAAAGTTTACAAATCTAATTTCTTCATTTGCAGCAATCCGCGCCACCAAGCAAATTACCTAGAACAGATTCGGGTAATGGATTTAGTTCTTCCATGGAGTATTCTCGAGCGTCTTCTGTTTCCTCAGTAAATGGGTCTGGTGTAAAACCGTTATTCTCTCAAGTAATTTTATGTGCTTTATTTTCCCCTTTATTACTTCCTAGATAGAATGTTTAAAAAAGAAATATATTGCATAATCATGTATGAAGTTGAGTTGTCCTACCTACTTTCTCCTGTTCTTTTGCTGTTTGTTTATATTTAAGGGATTAAAGTGACTTGGTAGGTTTTTGCCATTAGGAACTTTAAAAGCTATTTTATCATTTTTTATGCTACACATTAATAAAATAATGTACAATTTATATCATATCTATTATATTTGCATGCAAAATTATACGAGGTCTGTTCAATAAGTAATAAGACTAAAATTATATAAAATACAGAATGCCTTCAATCATCATCATTTACGTGGTCTTTTTCAAAATAACTATTGAGGCACGCAATGCATTTATTCCAAAGTTCTGTCCACTTCTGAAAAACATGTAAAAATCAGTTTTTTTGAGAGCTTTTTCAAAACTGCCTCCGCAGGCTTTACACATTCGTTGTTGCTTTCAAAATGTTTGCCTCGTAATGGTTTTTTAATTTCAGAAAACAGCCAGAAATCGCATGGAGCTAGATCAGGACTGTATGGAGGGTGCGGTAAAATCTGTATGTTGTTCTGCTGAAAAACATCCTGTGCGCAACAAGCAATATGTGGTCGGGCGTTATCGCGATGCAGTTTGGAAGCCATTTCGGAAGCAATGGACGTTTCTTTTGGATGTGCTATACCATTGTTCATAGGACATTCGTGTAGTACGAGCTGTTTATGGTATTATCGGGTTCGACAGCGTATTGATACATAACTTCTTCATAATAAAAAAAATTATGGTCATAACTTTACCAGCCGATTTCACAGTTTTTGCTTTCTTGGGAGTAGGGGAAGACGTATGCTTCCATTCACTACTTTATTTGTTGTTTCATGGTTGGGCCGTAGTGATACAACCAAGCGTTGTCTGCTGTGATGATGTGTTTTAAGAAATTGTCACCTTCTTGTTCCAGTCTTTCTTTCCATTCTATGCTGCATTTGCACAGGTGTCAACAATTTCAGAATCCATTTTTGGATTCAAACCACCAAACATGTTTCAGTTTGAAATGTTCTGCCATGTTTGAGTGAACACTTCCTACAGAAATATTCAAGAGAGCATGCAGCTGACGTACTGTAATTCTGCGGTGATAACCGCAGCTGTGTTAATCATTGTCTCTGTGATTGATGTTAAAGGTTGTCCCTCACGTTCTGTATCTTCCACATTTTGCCTGCTTTCCTTAAAAGCTTTATGCCAGCAAAAAACACTTGCCCTTGCTAATGCTTCATCGTTGAAAGCTCCACGTATCATGTCAAAGGTCTCGATGCTGATTTTTGCAGACTAACACAAAATTTAATCGCATAACGTTGTTCCGTCGATGCTTCTATTTCAAGAACTGGCCACGTCTCATAGGCGCCTGCAAACATGCTTCAGTTCAATCATGTGATACTCAGGAATATCAATCAGCCTGTGCACGTTATCTATCGGTAACTTTTGTTAATACAAACCACAACAGCCTACGCATATTTTGCTTCTTAATATCAGTTAATTAGAAATTTGATTATTATGGAAACCTTCAGTGTGTGGCAACCATCTGATAAGTTAATGTAGGGGGAAAACTGGCTTAAATTTTAAAAAGATTTCAATAAAATAAAAATTAATGTTTATATATATATATATATGCAGCTTTGTTATAATACAGTTTAAGAGATGAAACAGTGGTATAGAAAAGCTTGACTATCCAGAATTCTTAAGAAATGCCAAATTTCAGATATGTGAAATTTGAACATATATAAAATGCAATTCACTTAGAAACACCATATAAACGGAAAAAGAAACTTCCAAGTCTAAAATTGTAAAAATTCTCATCTTATTTTTATCCATTTGAATACCAAAAGCCTACAATTAAAATAATGCAGGATTTCTAAAAAAAAATATGTAATCTGTACATAAAATTATATTTTTAAACTTTCAGCATATGAAAATAAAGCATCCGAGTATAAAATGTTGTAACAACCATGAGAATTGGCAGAAATGCTGCCAGACTTGTGGCAGACATTCTGGTAGGGGCTTAAAGTGAATAAATAGATCATTCTTTATTTAATTAGAATCATATGATTCAAGTTACAGGTGTAGCATATAAAAACTTATATTGCATATCATAATTTTGCACTTTGCATCGCTATTGTTCATTCATTTTCGAATAAAGTTGTTTGCAATGGCCATTAAGGCACATTTTCATTATCACCACTAACTTTGAAAATGCTTTGTGCTGTTCCTAGAATACAGACATCAAATTTTAATATTTTTTCCAACTTTCGAATTGTGGCATGGAGCCAAATCATGTTGAAATGCCCTGCAAAAGTTTTCAAGAATGGCACAATCCTATGTTGTTAAAAATTTCTGTATGTTTCAAAAATTCATCATTCTGTGAATAGAAACTAAATTTTGAATGCCATCTACAGTGAATAAACCTCAAAACATTTGTTTTTGAGATTATTTTGCAGTTTGTTGGATATGCTGAGGTCTTGCTGATTCACTCTTGTTTCGTCTAACAACGTTAAATGTATAACCATAAATAAATAAGCCTCATTCCTGTGACTTCTTTACTTCATTAATTCATTTATGGGTCAAGATTTGCATTTCTTTGTCTACAATAGCCATTTTTACTTCATGTGGAGTGTCAAAAGCTGTTTTTTAACCCTTTCGCGCCAACTGCCACGTCTATGTGCCAGCAACGAACACACTCACCTCCCGGCCGACACACAGGCGTGCCAGAGCATTTTCCCGCTGAGCGCCGACTGTCGTGTATTTGTGCCAGTCTCCTGGAACGTTTTTAAAACTATAATTTCTGCCACAAAATGGCACTGTATGTCCATATGGTTTCAGATACATGTACATTAGAAGAGAAACATGACTCACATACACGTTTTTTTGATTATATAAACAAACGGGGAAATAAATGTTTCCGAATGCCGTGATTTATGACGTCTCTTTAAATCGCACTTTATTCGCACGTGGTAGTCGTTTATTGTAAGTAGAGAAGTTTTATTTTCACTAAAGCGTTGGGTATTTCGGTTTGCAGTTCAGTTTAGAAAATAAAACTTTAATAAGAAAAGAAATCAGAGAAGAAGAAAGCTGAAGAAATTTAGAAAATAATTAGATTAGAAAATAATTAGATCTTGTTAGACGTGAATTCTTTCTGTTTTTACCGTTGCAATGTCGAAGCGTCGAAAATGTTTAACAGAGCATGAAATAGCAGAAATGATGCAAAATATTTCAGATATTGATTCTGAAATTCTGATATTGATTCTGAAAGATTAACTGAAAGATATTTTCCAAAACTTTGTTCAGAAGAGACTGATAAGAAAATGAGGCGACGATGCTTCGTTTGTTCACATTCCCGGAAAAATCCTCCAAAACGGCAAATGAGTTATTACAAGTGCAAGGAATGTAACGTAGGACTGTGTGTAGATCCCTGTTTTTAATTTTTCATACGAAAAGAGAATTTTAAGTAATATATTTAGTTTTCAGATGTTAAAAGTCATAAAATGGTGAGTAATGAAAATAAAATGTGTAAAATATGCATTTAAACAAGAAATAAGGTAATTAAAGTATATAGTATAAAAATATCTATAAAGCATAAGCCGTTTAAATACTCTATAGAGCATTATTAAACAATGCGTTGATACTTCGGAAATTTCATGGAATTAGGCTTAGTAGCAAAAAAGCCCCCAGCCCTGGACAGATGCTCGCGTAAGACACTGCCGGCCTCCGCGATAAGCGCCCGTTTGCGCTACCCGGCGCGAAGGGTTTAATTGTCTTTTTTTGCCTTCCCCCATAGCAGTGAGAAGTCTTTTGCACATTTGAAGGAGAAATATAAATATTGATAAACAGATCTCTTTTAAGGTTTTCGCTAGTTTTTGTTGGATTAAAAATGCCATTTCGGAGTAGGAATTGATCAGATTTTGGAGTTGTTTCCCTTTTTCTTCCACATTTGCCCTTTGAGAAAATTATCCAATTCCATTGTCTCTCCTCAGATTTTAAGAAATATTCAATTTTCCGGTACTGATCTCTAAAGCAGCATTTCTTACACTCATGAATGTGTAACTGTTAAGTGTGACAATCTTTGCTCTCTTTCTAGGCATTATATCCATTTTTAGTATACTAAAATGAACAATGCAAAAATGTATTTAAAAGGTATGCAAAAGTAATTTCATCTTCTCAGAGAAATAAGCTTAAAAATGATATAATAATCCTAACTTATTGTCAAAACCAATTCTAAGTATTCGAAAGCATAGATTCAGAGGACATTAAGGCTGATAAAATTGCTTTGTGAGACCTGCCGGAACCAGTTGGCAAACAACTTAAAATTCTATGCAAAAATCACTTTGTCCCAATTAATTTTCACACTGTAGTAATGGCATATGAAGAGTTAAAATTTGTAAAACTATGTTTGTACTGTATAATTTTGTGTCAAAAATGTTTGTTTTAGAATACAAAGGCAATTGTTTGGGGCATGCAAACAAGGGCAGTCCAAGGTATGCTGGATTTTGATTATGTATGTTCTCGTAAGGAATGTTCTGTTGTAGCAATGGTTTATCCTTTCACTGGAGATCACAAACAAAAGTTCTACTGGGGTCACAAAGAAATTCTTATTCCTGGTTAGTAGAAAAAGTTATTTAAAATAAAGTTAAATGAATCGAAACAAATTTTTTATGTATGTTTTCATGAAATTAATCTTTGTTTTTTAGTATATAAAAATATGTCTGATGCAATGAAACGGCATAAGGAAGCTGATGTTATGATCAGTTTTGCATCTCTTCGATCTGCTTATGAAAGTACAATGGAAACAATGGAATATCCACAGGTGAGAAATATATTTAAGTATTTGGAATTGCTAATTGGAAGTTTCTATCAATGTTCACTAGTTATCTTTTTTAAAATTTTATTTTACATTCTTGTGACAGATCAAAGTGATAGCAATAATAGCTGAAGGCATACCTGAAAACATGACTCGGAAAATGATAAAAATAGCTGATCAGAAAGGTGTGACTATAATTGGTCCAGCTACGGTAAGTATTTTGTTCAAATAAGCTATAAAAATACAAGTTAATTAAAATGTGTGTTTCTGTAAAAATTTGTAGGATATTTTTTTACTTCATATATATTGATTTTTTAAATTAAAAAGTTGGGGGAAAATAAATTGCTTAAAAATGCTGTCTTCAATAAACCAACTTCATGTAACCAAAAGATTATTATTTTTGAACTCCATTAAAGGGATAGTAATCTTTAGCTTTCTGCTAACTTACAGCATAGTTATTGGGTTCATAATGTTGCTGTTTTGCAACAGGGGATTTTTTGCTGTACATTTATAAGGTGGTCTGCTGTTACAAATCAAAGTAATAGCCTCATAAAGTACTGACACATTATGTATACCAGTTATTGTGTACATCAATGAAGAATATTATTGAATATTTTAACCCACTTCTTTTGGTTACTAAAAGAATTTTAAAAAAAAATACTGACATATTTTTTATATAAAATTCCAATTTCAAGGGTAACTAGCATTCTTCAGAAGTAGATGGACATGCGTTTCCCAAATTTATAATTTCCTGTAAGATCTATGCCTATTTTAAGTTCTCTTTTTAGCCTAACTTCATATTTTGCACTTGCGTGTGTGTTTCAGATATGCCTTTCAATGAACATTTTATAATTCTAATTACGGACTTTTATGGCTTTATACAAGATCTACTGGAAAGTTCTGTCCGACAGTGTGATTAAAGCACGTACACTTGTGTTCATTTGCATCACGTCTTTCTCATTGCATTTATACAAATATGCTCTACTAAATAAACTGAAACAAAATTATTTCATGTCATTATTGAGATGTGATCATGTAAACATGTCTACGAATAAAAGTTCATTTACAACACTATTTTGTGTGAATTTCAACAAAGAAGAAATACTGGAGAAGCCTGTCAACATTTAGTGAAAATTTTGTATGGAGATGCAGTTTGATAGAACGTGCAGGAGATGGTTTGAAAAATTTGAAGCCTGCTCTTTCAATCTTAACGATAAATCACGCTTTGGGCAGCCACTTTTGATTGATGGAGATATTGTCAAGACCGTGATGGAACAAGATCATTTGTGGACAACACTATTGATTGTGGAAAAGCTCAACAACCATTTCAGACCATATTTGGAAACCAGTATTAGTCTATATATATTTCATACGCGTGCTTCATCATTAGAGAAAAATTTGCATTTTCAGATTGTCATGCACATCTCTGTTTGGAACAAAAAGAACCCTTCTTGGACAGGATAACAGGTGGTGAAAAGTGGATTATGTATGAAAGCACTAAAAAAAAGAGCACACTGTCAGCCTAAATAAGAGAATGCTACAGATATGGTGGGACATCCAAGGGCCTATATATTAGTCTTTTGGAAAACTCTATTCAGAGAGATAATCACAGAAAATGGATGATTTAAACAAAGGAAAGAGGCCGGGAATGTTTGATAGGAAGCACACCATTCTACATCCTAATAATGCCAGATTACACGCTGCTTTGATGACTTGTCCAAATCACAGAACTTTGTTGGGAAAATCTGGTGCATACACTATTCTCGTCCTCCGATTATCACTTGTTTCTCTTCTTGCAAAATTTTTTTAAGGAGAAAAAATTCAAAACTTGGCAGAAGGCAGCCAAGCACTACTTCCGTTCTTTGTCTCTAAGGAGCAGACATTTATCAAAAATGGTATTTACAAAAGACCACCATACAGTCAAAAGATCATAAGTAATGATGGAAAATATACAATAAATATTAAGCAACTATTGTAGGTGTATTTTTTAGTGTATTTAATTTGGCAAAGCACACGAGGGCTATCTGTCTAAGGGAAGGGATGCCTTCGTGGAGGACTTTCTAAGGGAAACTGGCTCGTATACACATTACACATGGAGAAAACCACAACTATTGTAGGAGGTAATGGTTAGAAATAACCACAACTTCTTACAGACATATTTTGCTATTCCAATTTGACATCTCTTCTGGTCAGATTCTTCCATATACTAATTTTTTTTTTTAAGAAAAATGTGTGTAAAACTTTCTTGTGGTATTCTAAGACTTGCATAATTTGACTAACTTTGTTACATATCATCAGAATACTTCATATATATATATATAAATTTATGATGAATATAATTAATATATTATATTTTAAATATGTAAAAATATTTAGTTTTAAAATGTTCCTTATGGATTTCAAATTAAGAGGTACATTTTATTTAACTATACTAATTTGTAAATCTTTTTTATGATTATCAGCTTTTAAAGAAGTGTATAAATGTTAAATTGAATAGTTAAATCATAAGGAGGAAGGTAATGATATTTTTTATTTCATTAATTTAGCATTTAAGGATTCTGTGCCTATCTGTCTGGCATTTTCATACTCACTTCAATCACTTCAATCCGAGCTAATATAAATTTTTGCACCTTTTAGTAGATTTAAAATCCCTAAGTATTGAAGTATTTTAATTTTTCAAAAATTAGATTTTTTATGTAATGCAGTAAAATTCTTTCTATAAGTGAGAATATAAAAATGGTTCTCAAATACACATTAAATTTCCTTGCATTATCAAACTGCAAAATGTATCCAACAGAAACATACAAATTAATAGGAAATACAGTCAAAAGTCTTCCGGACTTGTCGGGACTTCGGCGATTCTGGATTATCGGTTTTTCCGGATTATAGATCATCAGTTTAAATCTGGTAAAATAGCATGCAGAAATTATAAAATTAAAAATATGAAACCGTAATTTATGAAATAAAGAGCAATTATGATCTAAATGGTATCAAAATTTACAAAAAAATTTATTTGTTTACTTTATTAAACATTTCTTTCAACGTGCGCATGCGTAAAGCATGCATTGTGCATAATCGAAATTAGAAAATTGCAACCAGAGAACTATTTGATGTGTATTCGTGATATTTATAATGATGAGGAATCTATTTAAATCATATCAAAGACGGAGTACATCGAGATGAAATACTATATTTTGTAAGGAATTATAAGCTGAATAAAATAAAAACATCTGCCTTGAAGATAAGGATAGTGCTAACAGATCAACTTCCAGTTCATTGTGTGCTGCGATGTCCCTCCCCCCCGCCTAGTGATGGGCAACTTTGGTACTTTCTTGTACCCGGTACGAGAGTAACAAGTACAGACAAGTACCTGGTACAAAATACCCATTACTCAAGTAACCGTTACTTTGAAAAGTACCAAAAACCGATTTCAAGTACCGAGTACCTAAGTAATGATTTGGAGTACCGAAGTAACAAAATACCGGAGTAACGGTTTGCTGTACCAGAGTACCCTAGTAACAATTTGGAGTACCGAAGTGCCCTAGTAATGATTTGGAGTACCAAAATACGCAGCTAACGATTTTGCGCACTGAAGGAACTCTGCCACGTCACCACGTGTTTGTTTGATTTTATCTGCACGGAGTAGATTTTGAATATCAAAAAACATGTCAACTACGGAAGTGTCTGAGGAGCAGGCCATTCATGGACACAAGAAGCGCATATCACCATTTCGCAAATACAACCAGATAATACTGTCCTTGTACCAAAACCGAAGTGAGCTGAACCTCATCGATCCTCCAGTAACGAATACCGAAATACTGAGAAGAGACGCATATTTTCGTTACAAAAGAGTGAATACCGAAAAGCACTCGTTTCGGTACAGAAGTAACGAATACCGAAAAGTACCCGTTTCGGTACAGAAGTAATGAATACCGAAAAGTGCCCGTTTCAGTACAGAAGTAACGAATACCGAAAAGTACCCGTTTCGGTACAGAAGTAATGAATACCGAAAAGTGCCCGTTTCAGTACAGAAGTAACGAATACCGAAAAGTGCCCATTTTGGTACAGAAGTAACAAATACCGAAAAGTACCCGTTTCGGTACAGAAGTAACAAATACCGAAAAGTACCCGTTTCGGTACAGAAGTAACGAATACCGAAAAGTACCGATTTCGGTACTGAAGTAACGGGTACTTGGATGTACCGATTTTCAGTACCCGTTACAAAATACCCGGTTCGGTAGTACCGACTCATCACTACCCCCGCGAGAGCAGCGTGAAATTGATAAACAGATTTCGGAATGGTTAGATAAGCAAAGGATATGCCTTTATCCATTTTCTGCAGCAATTCAACTTTTTGTTTGATGGACATCGAAACATGCTTTCGCTTTGTAGATCCTTTGGCAGCTCCAGAATCGGAAATTCTTTTTGACATAATTTCAAGCTTACTTTTAATAAGCTTGAATAATAAGTTTAAGCTTTTAATAAGCTTGAATAATAAGCAAGAATTTTAATAATAAGTTCAAGCTTACTTTTATAAAATTGCTCTAACAGTCTGCAAAAAATAATAAGCCGGATCCAATTAGAAGATTAAGGAACGCATATGCGCATGCGCAAAGGTATTATGCGCATTTCTGCGCAAATCCATTTATGCATGTCCAGAAAGTTGGTAGGTCCGGATTATGGACACCTGGATTAAAGACTTTTGACTGTATATTGTTTTAATCCATGTGTGGGCATTTATGGACAATTTTTATATGTTATAATTCTGTACATTCTAAGTGAAATTAGTATACTGGTATTTGAGAAATATAAAAATAGCAATTTAATTCTTTTGTGCTTTTTATATATCAGTGTACTGATTTCTGTTAGAATGCTTAGGATTATTCATGCATGTCCAGAAAGTTGGTAGCTTTGAGGTCCGGATTATGGACGCCTGGATTAAAGACTTTTGACTGTATATTGTTTTAATCCATGTGTGGCATTTATGGACAGTTTTTATATGTTATAATTCTGTACATTCTAAGTGAAATTAGTATACTGGTATTTGAGAAATATAACAATAGCAATTTAATTCATTTGTGCTTTATATCAGTATTCTGATTTCTGTTAGAATGCTTAGGATTATTCATTTAATTATGCGAGTGAATTCATATCTCCATATTTAGTTTACATGTTTTCCGTAGATTTTAGGTATACATATATTTTTTATATTATATTTATACATAATTTGCTTAAAGATTTCTCATAGGTTTTAGAGAGATCTTTAAACTAGTTGTGCACCCTGTAATTTTGAAGTGTGTTAAAAATACAGATAAGGAACAAGTACAATCAGTTATTTTACTTATTAGACTTTGATTTATATTGCAAGACAGAGCAGTTATGTAGACAGTATTATATATTATAAGAATAATATAATGGTGAGGGCAAAGTTGTCTTTTTTTGATTGGGGGGGGGAAAGGTTGACTGCTACTTATAAAGGACAATACTGCTTTTATAGCAGTAGCTTATTTCAAATATATTATCTGTTTATTTCATTTTGATTTATTTGATTCCTCTCCTTGTGTTTCACATTTAGTCGGATAAATTTTTAATGCTGAATATGTAGACTTGCACTGTATTTTAGAATCACAGTGATATTGTTTAAAAGTATTAGAGAGCTGCTTTTGTAAACAACGTATTTGTAATATTTAGGGTTGTAGAATGATGTATCATTGACTGAAATATTCATGAAAACCATCATTTAATATGTACTTTTAAGGTGGACTAACTAGTGATTTCAGTTAATTTAATTACTAGTAAAAAATTTGCCATTTTCTACATATTTGGATACTTGGCATAATGTCATGCAATGTTAAGTATTAAATATTGATGGACTCTTAGTATAATTTTGTCCCTACCCCCGAAAAAATTTCAAAGAATTTTAGAAAATGATTGGTTTTTAATTAAATTTATATTTTGCATTAAGTATTTATATCAGTTCACTTTTCAAAATGGTTAAATACATGTTCAATATATAAAATTATGTACAAAATACTGTGCTGAAATGATATTGCCAGCATTTTAACTTAGCAGGCATTACTCATGGAGTTAGATCGTGTGATATGTTTAAATGAAACCCCTCAGTATTTTGAAAATGTAAAAAACTAGTATATTTCGGTGTTATTTAAGGAATCCACTTTATAAATAAGACAAAGTGCTGTTAAATGCTGCTGTTTGAAATATTAATACTTTCTTTTGAAATAATAGTAAATTTATATTATAATTTATGTATAATTGATGATTTAATCTGTTGCAGTCGTCTGAATTTTTTTAATGTAACTTTTTATATAATGTGCATTGGTTTTACTTAAATCAAATCTTACTTTTATTTGCTAATACTAGTTACCATTTTATGGTAAGTACAATTGTGTGCTGATTCATACACTGTACTGTAGTTTTCTATCGTATGTAAAGTTATTTTTAAATTTATTTTAGATATTTAAATTAATATTTGCATGTATATACATTTAACAGTTAAAAACATATAAAAGCTGATTTCATTAAGAATGCATAAAACCTGATTGCATGAATAAGTATGTAGAAATATAAAAAATAGGCTTTGATGCAAAGTAGTATCACTATATATTGTAGCTGATTTTGTAAAACCTGTTTGAATAAGCCTTTTTTGCACTTTTTAATGCTCATATTAACTGTTTATTTTGCCTTTGATCTGTAATAACGAATATTGTGTGATGAGTTTTTACCAAGTGAATGAGAAAGACAATTTATTAACTAATATAAATGAATATTGTCTAATATTATTAACAAATCATTCAATGCTGATGTTTAAAAACATTATTTTTCACTATTTTAAATATAGCCTACTGTGTGTTTACAGCCATACTGCGGTATAAGAATCTTTAAATAAATTCAATTTATTGTGGCAAATTAAGAATTTTTAAGCTTTGATAAAGCATTAATTTACTCAAGTAAAACTGTGTTTTTAAGTAATATATTAGTTTTGCCTGAAGTAATCAATAAATCTTGACATTCACAGTTATCTCTCGGTAAAAACTTTACAGTAACAGATATAACTCGCACAGATTTTGATCTCTCAGCACATATCAGTTCATTTAATTTTTTGTACACATACACAAACCAAAAAAAGGGGGCTTTGCAAGCTGTCTGTAGTCATGTATAGTAAATAAATTAATGACCTTTTGTAATGATCTAAGTTTTAAAGATTAGTTTCAGGTAATTATTATCTTATGTTTATACATTCAAGTTTTATTAGAAAAATGTCTTCCTGGTTTATCCTGCTTATTATATTGTTATATTATTATATTTTAATATAATAATATTAAAACATTCATTTTATAAAGCATGTTATTATTGTATAATAAATTATTTTATTACCGCAGGTTGGTGGCATTAAACCTGGATGTTTCAAAATTGGAAATACAGGTGGAATGATGGATAATATTTTGGCTTCCAAACTTCATCGACCAGGATGGTATGTTTTGCACTAAATATTTGAAAAGTTTTAAAAAAGTTTTTAATATTCTAAATTTTGAAATTATTAAAAGCATGGGTATCATTGTTTTTCATGATCTTTTTATGTAGTTGAATATTTTTTCCAATTTTTTGATTTTTTTTAATAGTGCAAAATTAAATAAGTAGGAAAATTTTCAAGCTGTTAATTTGATTCTGTTTTCTTCTTAAGTGTGTGATATTGCATATATCAAATATGTTTATCCTACATGCTTTTTCAAGCTATAAAAAATGCACTTTTTATTTTAGTGTTGCATATGTATCACGCTCTGGAGGTATGTCGAATGAGCTGAACAATATAATATCTCGTGCGACAAATGGTGTCTATGAAGGTGTGGCCATAGGTGGTGACAGGTAAATTTCTTCAAAAATATATTTGTGTAGCTATTGCTAGAATAGTTTTTTGCATCAAAGTATTCAGGAGAATTAAAGTATAAATTAGTTAAACCATTTTTTAGGGATTGTTCTTGTTGTTTCCTGCATGTGTAAAATTTAATTTAATGGCTTATAAAGTTTATAATTGTCAGACACAGATTTTATTGCAAAAGAAAATAAATTCTTCTATTTTTTAATATGAAGTAATTTTGCTGCTGGATGCTGATTATCTTATTGGAGTGTACTCATATATTGCCACATAAACTACAATACTGTTAAAAAATAAAATGAATTGTCAAGTGCTTTTATGCAGATTGTCTATGAATAGTTAAGATTAGTCAATTTAAAACTAGGATAGATTAGGCTTTTTCAGGTTTTAATTTTCAATAATTAGAAATATACACCATGTACACAAGTCCTTAGCTGGCCTTTATTTTTTCAACTTTTGGTCATAGATATGTACTTCCGGATACAGAAGTATTTTAAATGAAGCAAAGATTCTTGTTTTGCATTTTTAAATGTAAAAAATAAATTAAAAAAAGAAATGTAACATTTTGTACATTTTTCTGGTCCTTATAGTCAGGAAAATTTGATAGTCATTATGAAAAATAAAACATGAAAGGTTTGAACTCTTATGACAAAATTGACCAAGATATTTGATGTTAAAAGTAAAGCATTATATTCAGGGACATACACAAATCAAGCGAAATGTTTGTATTTGTACATAACTAAAAATAAAATATCGGTTCAGAAAAATGTTTTGAGAGATTAAGATTTATTTGCATTGAATTATTAGTTGTCATATAAAACATTTTCTTTTTCCTCCATCGAAACATGCTTTCGCTTTGTAGATCCTTTGGCAGCTCCAGAATCGGAAATTCTTTTTGACATAATCGAAAGTTCAAGCTTTTATAAAATTGCTCTAATAGTCTGCAAAAAATAATAAGCTGGATTCAGTTAGAAGATTAAGGAACAATGCAATCTGCAACATTAACTGAAATAGATAGTTAGATAATTTTAGCTTAGCTTATACCGTCCGTTATACATTAAACACACATGTGTAAACGCATATGCACATGCATAAAGGTATTATGCGCATTTCTGCGCATGCGTAACCGCATTATGTGTTTACGCATGCCCAGAAAGTTGGTAGCTTTGAGGTCCGGATTATGGATGCCCGGATTAAAGACTTTTGACTGTATATTGTTTTAATCCATGTGTGGCATTTATGGACAATTTTTATATATTATAATTCTGTACATTCTAAATGAAATTAGTATACTGGTATTTGAGAAATATTAAAATAGCAATTTAATTATTTTGTGCTTTTTATATATCAGTATACTGATTTCTGTTAGAATGCTTAGGATTATTCATTTAATTATGCGAGTGAATTCATATCTCTATATTTAGTTTACATGTTTTTTGTAGATTTTAGGTATACATATATTTTTTATATTGTATTTATACATAATTTGCTTAAAGATTTCTCATAGGTTTTAGAGAGATCTCTAACCCTCATAAACCACATAAAATTGCCACATAAACTACAATACTGTTAAAAAATAAAATGAATTGTCAAGTGTTTTTATGCAGATTGTCTATGAATAGTTAAGATTAGTCAATTTAAAACTAGGACAGATTAGGCTTTTTCAGGTTTTAATTTTCAATAATTAGAAATATACACCATGTACACAAGCTGGCCTTTATTTTTTCATATGTACTTCCGGATACAGAAGTATTTTAAATGAAGCAAAGATTCTTGTTTTGCATTTTTAAATGTAAAAAATAAATTTAAAAAAATAAGAAATGTAACATTTTGTACATTTTTCTGGTCTTTATAGTCAGGAAAATTTGATAGTCATTATGAAAAATAAAACATGAAAGGTTTGAACTCTTATGACAAAATTGACCAAGATATTTGATGTTAAAAGTAAAGCATTATATTCAGGGACCATACACAAATCAAGTGAAATGTTTGTATTTGTACATAACTAAAAATAAAATATCGGTTCAGAAAAATGTTTTAAGAGATTAAGATTTATTTGCATTGAATTATTATCGGGTTGGAGGGAAAGGGAAAGTTCTGTCCTATTTTAAATAGGCAGGTGATTTTTCTTGTAAATAAAATAAAATTTAAAAAAAAAAAAAAAAAAAAAAAAAATCTGGTTAGTGAGTCAATCTTTTTTTTTTTTTTTTAGCTGCTGTATAATATAAAAGGTGCCCTTTTTTACCATTCATCATTTACTTGTAATATTTAAAGGGAAAAACATGTCGGTAGATAAAGTGCATTTACCACACTGCATTTTATATGAATTCCAAAAAGGAAGCAACACATCTGTTGGCATGTAAAATTTATGTGCAGTATTTGGAAAAGATATTGTAAATGTTCGTACTTGTCAAAGATGGTTTAGCAAATTTCGTTCCGGGGACCTGAGCCTCAAAGGAAGTGTTCGATCTGGACGACCATCCAAGATCGATAATGATGTTTTGCGATCCATGTTGGAAAATAATCCACATTTAACAAGTCGAGAAATTGCAGAAGAGTTTGGCATTCATCATACAACTGTTGGAGATCACATTAAATCTCTTGGGTTTGTGTTAAAGCAAAGTGTTTGGGTTCCACATGAATTAACGGAAAAGAATTTGATTGTGTAAGAATATGTTCATCACATCTGATTAGACACAATGTGGAGCCGTTTTTGGACAGGCTGGTTACTGGAGATGAAAAGTGGATTCTTTACGAGAATATTAAAAGGAAAAAATCTTACTGCAAACCAGGAACATCATCAGCAACAGTTCCAAAACCAAGTATCCATCAACGAAAAGTACTGCTTTGTTTGTGGTGGGACAGGAAAGGTCCAGTGTATTACGAGTTGCTGAAACAGGGAAAAATATCAACGCGGATCTGTACTGCAATCATCTGGATAAATTGAATGCAGCTATCAAAGAAAAAAGGCCAGCATTAGCGTCCAGAAAAGGAATAGTGTTCCATCACGATAATGCTTGCCCGCATACTGCAGTGGTGACACTACAAAAACTGAATGCGTTAGGATGGGAAATCCTTAGTCACCTCCCGTATTCACCTGACATTGCACCCTCTGATTATTACCTGTTCAGATCTCTGCAAAATTATAACGGGAAAAAAATTCAAGTCTTTTGAAAGTGTTTCTAAGGCAGTTGCTGACTATTTTAACTCCATGGATGAGAACTTCTACAAAACAGGAATTTACAGGTTACCTGGAAGATGGCAACAGGTTGTAACAAATAACGGAGCATATATAATTGATTAATATTAAACACATATTTTTATAAATGAATTCAAATATTTTCTTTAAAATACGACAGAACTTTCCCTCCAACCCAATAGTTGTCATATAAAGCATTTTCTTTTCCCTCTCTCTCTTTTAATTGATAATTTGCTTAGCATTGATTATTATTCTACATGCAAATTAAGATTTTTGAGTTTTTTATGTTCAGATAGAATATCGTTCTAAATATAGGTTATTCGTAATTTGTAGAAAATTAGTATGTTAATATGATTTCCTCTTTATAGATATCCTGGTACAACTTTCATGGATCATCTTTTACGTTATCAACAAGAATCTGAAGTGAAAATGCTGGTTTTACTTGGAGAGGTTTAAAATTAATATATTCTTATTTAATTTAGAATCTTTAATAGTTTGAAAGTAATTAAAAGTAGATTGTGCTTCTAGAAATTTAATTTAAAAAATATATTCAAACTGAGTTAATATGTTAGTTCACTTGCAGTGCAAATAACATATGAAAATATTTTATATTAAATTAATTTTGCTTTTTCTGAAATTTAGGTTGGAGGAGTTGAAGAATATGAAGTGTGTGATGCTTTAAAAGATGGGCGAATCACTAAGCCTTTAGTTGCTTGGTGCATTGGAACTTGTGCAAGGATGTTTACATCAGAAGTGCAGTTTGGTCATGCTGGTGCATGTGCAAATAGTGACAGAGAAACGGCTGTGGCAAAAAACAAAGCATTATCTGAAGCTGGAGCTTATGTACCTGATACATTTGATAACCTTGGAAAGACTATTCAGTAAGTCAGATTTTAATAACAGTTAATAAAATTATTCTAAGTCAAGAAAAATGTAAAGTCTTAATATCGTGAATTATAGCAATTGCCACAATATTTTTATTGTTTGACTTTTAAATTTTCAATTAAATTTCAGATTGCATTAAATGTGTTTCAGAAATGTATAATTTATTTCATATTGTTTCACTTATTTACTTTGTTTGAGTACTTTTAACAAATAATCGAGATAAAGTGATGTCTAGTTATTACATTTTGTTTCATGCTTTATCTTTCATTTTATAAAATATCCTATATCTGAAAGTATGTATGGGGTAATTTATTTTTAAGGGGAGTATATGAGGATCTTGTTGAACAAGGAGAAATAATTCCTCAACCAGAGGTACCACCTCCAGCTGTGCCAATGGATTACAGTTGGGCTCGGGTGAGATTTAAAATTAGCAGTTTTTTTTAATCTTAATATTATATAATTGTTAATATGCAGCATGAAGGGTTAAATACATAGTATTTTATTTGCAGTTATGCAAAACAAAATATTTTAACTCTGTTATTTATTTTCTAAAATTGAACTCCAATACTTATTAGAGATGGTTTAAAATTAAAATTTGTTAGTTCAATATTTACATAACATATGTGTGTGGTTGTATTATATGTAATATATAACAAAATACAATGGCTGCTTTAAAAAATAATTGGCAACCTTAAAATTAACTATTTTAGATTTTATGCTCTCCACCTAAATTCATCTGTTCTCCCAAATTCGAAATCTTTCCATGTTGCATAACAACCTAAAATTAACCAGTCACAGCTTTGATGTACTTATACATCATGCTTAGTATAAATACTCTTTGCAAAACAACTACGTCATTCCTTTTCCTAGCTTTCACCATGCTGACAAATCTGAACTGTTATTCTTTTCTGTCTAAGATGCCTATGTCATACCTTTAAAAACCAGTCTACATAAGAATTATTATATTTAACTATGATTGGATAAATGCCTTGTCTACCAAAAAGAGATTTGATACGAATTGTCGTGGAATAAAGTTGTGTTTAGAAATGGCCATGTCTGGAAGTTACTGCATCTAACTATGCATCTACAATACTATATGTAAATATATATATATACACATATATATATGAATGATTAGATTGTCTTGTAGGGAATGTGAAGAAAATTTAGATAGTGAATGAGACTTGGAATAAGTAATTAAATAAATTGGTATTTGTAATTTAATAAAATGCTGAATTGATAAGTTTTTTTAAAAAAAAAAGAATATTTAAACAATTAAAAATATATTGAAACAATTAAAATCATTGTGTTGGTTCCACAGATAGATCCCGACTTTTTGTGGGGAATTGAAATCTTTCTATATACGAGTAATCGCCAACAATTCATTTGGATTTTGTTTCGTCTTTTCTGCATTTCTCAGCAAAATCCTTATTCTAAATTTAAATTTGCTAATCAATATTGAATGAAATTCTTTATTAAAATAAAATTGTTAATTTCTCTATCAAAATTAATCTTAGAAGCGATAGCACAGGATTTATAGTAATTTAATATACAGTAGATCTAAGAAAGTTTTGTACTTCTTTGGAACTAAATAGTTCTTGTATTCCTGGATCAATATATGATGTAAAGCAAGCTCCATAATTTATTAAATTTTATATGTATCTTACTACTTTTGACTATAAATTTTTTTAGCTTCACTGTTTTTAAGTTAAATAAGAAGGGGAAAAACTATATAAAATTTTAATGTAGCATATAAAAAAATATACATATAAATATACAGCAGTAGATCTGATCTAAGAAATTTTAGTTTTGTACTTCTTTGGAGCTAAATAGTTCTTGTATTCCAGGATCTGTATAATATGATATAAAGCAAGCTGCATAATTTATTGAATTTTATATATATCGTACTTCTTTTGACTGTAAATTTTTAGCTTCATTTTTTTAAACTTGAATAAGAAGGAAAAAAAACTATATAAAATTTTAGTGCTTATGGCTTATGTATCAGCTAGGTATGTGGTCAGTTTGTCTTACAGACATGATTAAATTCTTTCATAAATATGTATGCATGTTATGTGCATTTTTATTGCACATATTTATATACTATAATTAACAAATTTTATATCATATTTTTGCCCTTGTGTATGTAATGAATATTTAAATAGATGTTGAGAGGTTAAAAAAAAAGTCTTTAGATTATTTAAACAATTAATTATTTGTGCCATAAATTTGAATTGCAGCAGTTTTATCCTTTTACCATAATACGCCTTTAGAAATAGAGAGTATAACAGAAACATACATTTCCTTACTTTAACCCTCCGAATACAGCCCCGCTATTTTCATGGATCCGAAATCTGTCTTATAATATGCGTTGCGTGAAAATAGTGTCAGTTTATTTCTCTGATTTTCAATATAGATCCTGCTTTTTCTCCGTGTAGGCTAAGAATATTGTAATATTCATATTACATTTCATTTTGCATCTAGATGGTACTGCAGGTTTATATCATTGTAAGCTGAACACGATCAGCACTGTTGCTTCTTTCATTCTTGACGGGAACTTTGTCATTTATGCGGCAAACAAGTGCAAAAATATGGATTTGCCAGCTTGCAGTGGTGTTTTACCTGTGAATAAAAAACGAAACTGCTGATTATGAAGACAGGAATAGTGATTCTGAATATTCCATAAATTTCGAGACTGATGATAATACAGTCAAAAGTCGTTAATCCGGACTCATCAGGATTTCGGCAATTCCAGATTATTGATTTTTCCGGATTATAGATCATCAGTTTAAATCTGGTAAGATGGCATGCAAAAATTATAAAATTAAAAATATGAAACCGTAATTTATGAAATAAAGAACAATTATGATCTAAAGGGTATCAAAATTTACAAAAAAAAAAGCTTAATATTTATTTGTTTACTTTATTAAACATTTCATTCAGTATAAGTTGTTTAAGTTGCTTCATTTTTTATGTGATAATACTTACTATTTAATTCTATAAACAGACATAATTTCTTGTTCAGTGACAAAGTTCTGCTGTTCAAGTCCTATAATTGCTGTGTCGAGAATACCGACTAATTTGTCAATCGAAATTTTTTAGTTTTCATTAACCTCCGAGTCACTTTCTTCGCTATCGGAAGCGAATTATAATGATGAGGAGTTGATTTAAATCATATCAAAGACAGAGTATATCCAGATGAAATACTACATTTAGTAAGAAATTATAAGCCAAATAAAATAAAAACATCTGCCCTGAAGATAAGGATAGTGCTGACAGATCAACTTCCAATTCATTGCGCTGAGGCGTTAAAGATAAACAAAGTTTAGATAAACAAACGTTAAAGTTTAGATAAACAAAGGATATGCCTTTATCCATTTTTTGCAGAAATTCCACTTTTTGTTTAATGGACTTCGAAACATACTTTCACTTTGTAGATCTTTTACATATTAGTAAATATATATCAGAAATTCTATTTGACATAATCGAAAGTTCAAGCTTACTTTTATAAAATTGCTCTAACAGTCTGCAAAAAATAATAAGCCGGATCCAATTCGAAGATTAAGGAACAACGCAATCTGCAACATTAACTGAATTAGATAATTTTAGCTTAGCTTATACCATCCGTTATACATTAAACGCGCATGCGCACACGCATATTCGCAGTCGTAAAGGTCTTACGCGCATTCGTCAATGCGACGCATGCGCAGAAAGTTTGTAGCTTTGAGGTCCGGATTATAGATCATTCTGGATTATTTGTGTCCGAATTAACGACTTTTGACTGTAGTGAAAATTCCTCAGGAAGTCAATCCTTTGGAAGTGAAACTAAACAAAAGACTCTGATGATGATGATGATGATGATGATGATAGTGCAATTCTGAGTGCACGTATGTGGTATGATTCTAAAGTATTAAACTGACGAAGATGAGCCTTTTGAATTTTTTAATCAATTTGGTAGTAAATTTAAACTAATAGATTTGCATATCAACATCCTGCTAATGTTGACAAAATGTTATTTTTTACACTTTTATTTTTGCAAGGGATTGTAAAAAAGGAAGATTATCTTTGGTATTGGTCGAAAAGGCAATCTATAAAAACACCAGTATTTTCACAAATAATGTTACTTAATCATTTTTGTTCCTTGATGAGAAATCTTAGTTCTGTTGAAAACAAAAGTTATGACCCTTCAACTTACTCTTGCCCTAAGTTGTGGAAAGTTTATGATGTCATTGAACATATTAGGAAAACGTTTTGTGAAACACTCAATCCTGAAGAATAGGTCAGTTTGTTTGTCATGGAAACAGTATATTTCTTTGAAATATTCTCGCAATTTGGAATAAAGTTTTTCATGTTATGTGAAACCTCATCAGGTTATATATGCAATTTTCTTTTGTACACAGGAAAAGGCATGCGTTTCATACATGAATACTCAACATATCCACAATCAAATGCTGTTGTTCTTCAAAGAATGTTGTATAACTCTTGATAATTATTATACATTGCCATATTTTGCAGATATTCTTGTTCAAAAGAAAAACAAACATATATGGAACACTTGGTAATACTAGAAACCAGGTTTTTTAAAAGAAAAAGTGGAAAAGGGACAGTGCATGGGCATATGCGCATGGAAAAGTTACAATGCTAAAATGGAGAGAAAATAGTAAATATGCTTAGTTCTTTTCATCATCTGTCATCTGTATGTTTATTCAGGGATGGTAAAAGAGAAAAACTAGAGAGTGATTTATGATTATAAATTTACAATGGGTGGTGTCGACAGATGCGATCAGGAGCTTATGTACTACCCTAGTACCCAAAAGCAACTTCATAAATATTACAAGAAAATATTTTTCCATATATTGGATCAGGTAATGTGGAATTCGCATGTAATATACAGAATAACAAGAAACACTAAAAAATACCTTCTTGATTTCAAGCTAGCCAGTGATAGAGGAAATCTTTGACAAATACTCTTCTGCTCTATGTTCGTCAATATGGTCTCTAGTGATGATAGTATGAACTTTATTCACCTTGTAGGGAGACATTTTGCAAGCTATATACCACCAAATCCTATAAAAAATGAACCTAGAAGACAATGTGCCGTGTGTTGCTCCAAGAAAGAAAAAATGGGGAAAAAATACGTAAAGAGACTCGCATTTGGTGTGAAGAATATAAAGTTGGATTATGCGTAGAGCCATATTTCAAAGTTAACCACACTAAAAATTTTTTTGTATAATTATAGTGAGTACAAGTAATATTGTACAAATTAGTTGGCATGTATATTTATCAAAATCAAAAAGATCCTGTGTATTTTTATTCCATGCACGCTGAAATTGTGTCAGCCGCATTGTATGTTTTTAAAAATTAAAAAAGGATTAAAATTCCTGCATTATACTAATTTTGTTTATAAAGATGTGAATATTAATATATAAAGATAAAGAAAATAAATAAACACATATTTAAGGACCATAATGCATCAAAATCGAGCAGTAGATGGAAGGTTAAAAAATGTTTAAAATAATAAACTTGACAAAATGTTTAAAATAATAAATTTGACAAAATGTTTAAAATAATTTCTTTTAAACGTAGCATAAAAAGAATTACAAGCATAATATTTTGAGCTCAACGAGAATTGCATAATGTTATACCATGGTGCCTCTGAAGATTACTACACAGTTGTTTTCTGCTATATCTGCCAATGGCGGTACAATCCAAATTTTAGGGGAAGAGAGCAAAGTCTCTCTGGCAACCCCATAATGAGGGAAGAAAAGTTATACAGTTTTGGGTTTGTTACAAGAGCTTCTTCATTTTTAAATTAAACTCATGAGCATTTTTGCATAATACACATATATTTATTGATATTTTATGTATGTACATTACTGAAGTTTCTTTTTTAAATTTTGAATAATATTCATTGTAATGTTGTGTTCATGCAGGAATTGGGGCTAATTCGCAAGCCTGCTTCCTTCATGACAAGTATTTGTGACGAGAGAGGCCAAGAATTACTGTATGCTGGAACACCTATCACAACAGTCATAAAAGATGATTTAGGTATAGGTGGAGTACTAGGATTACTGTGGTTTCAAAGGAGATTACCATCATATGCAGGGAAATTCCTTGAAATGGTTTTAATGGTTACTGCTGACCATGGACCTGCAGTTTCTGGGGCTCACAATACCATCGTATGTGCAAGGGCTGGAAAAGATTTGGTTTCATCACTTGTGTCAGGTCTTTTAACTATTGTAAGTACTTACTTTTACCTTGCATAATATGTGGAATAAGAATTTACTTCTCTATGTAAATAAATAAAAGTTAGCTGTATGGGGGAGGGGGAATTTTATGCTATGTTCTTTTAACAAAAATTAAGGTTCCTTTAAAGTAGAGATCTATTTTATTACACCATTGCATGCATATTGGTTTGTAGTAGATTTAATGCACATGATAGGTTGACAAAATTTATTTTATCAAAAGAAACACTTTGGAGATCTGGAACTTTCCACAAAAATAGTTGTACAACTAACTCTTCACAATATCACAGAGTACAATCAGTAGTTGCACTTAAAACTGCTTAAAATTATGCATAGCAATGCATAAAGCAATGCAAAGCGCAGCTAAAGAACAAAGCTAAACCAGAGATAGTACTTGGAACTCTCACTTGGCTATCGGCTAACATTAACTGAGAGCTCTCCAGCTTTATATAATTTTCACCCGGATGTCAGCATATTTCTAGTACTTTCTGCTTCTCGAAATTACTGGAAGGCAAATTGAGGGTCAAATTATGATTACAGCTAATATAGTGATCAATTACATTTATTCAATTCCAGTACCTATTATGGTGATACAGGGACTGTACTAAAATGTTGGCAAGTCGGGCAACTTTCGTCGATAAAAATTAGTCTCAAAAACTGTTGCCAGCTTGTCGATATCTCGCTAAATTACCCAGAACCCATTTATGCAATGTTAAATGGACTTGCCCTTGTATTCTTACTATTTCAGCATAGCTCGTCTCTTTAGATTTTACATTGTGCAAAAGAAATACAAGAATTTTACTTATCATTCCAGTAATATTAATTATTTAAGTACTGAATTCGTAGCAACATTATTTGGCAGTGCCACTCATCATAAAATCCAGATTAACTAAGAAGTTCAGTTATTTATAGATATTATGATTTCACTTATCACATTTTGGATCTTTTCCAATAAGTATTTTATTAAATGATTTATGTACAGTTACTCAAAATATAGGTATTCAGACTTCTTTTCTTTGATTTTATATTCTGCTAGTTTATGCAGTAGTTTTAATGTTATAGATATTTAGCTTACACAGTTAAATTTTGGAATTTGGTCCAATGATCATCTTACCCATCACATAAAAACTGTAAAAGGTGGATGATAGACTTATTTTTATATGAAAGGTTCTTCACATATTTTTGATGAGTTGTTTAGACTAGGATCCTATGCGCTAAAATGAGATTTATTGAAACTCCACATATTCTATGAAATTTTGAACATAATTGTAATACATTCCTTTGTTTGTTACTGTCACAGTACTTAATTAAAATGAAAATTTGAGGATGGATGTTAATGCATGAAAATGTTTAGAGGAGTGCCTTATAATTTTACTTGAGAAGATTATTCAATAATTTTTTTAAATATTATTCTAGGAAATGTCAAGAAGAAAATTGAATACAAGGGAAATTTTCCCATCTCTCTTCTTATGAATTGCCAAAATGTGATGCAAGATGAGGCATGGGAATAAAAGGACAATGTTTACTGCATTGCAGTTTATATAAACTTTTTGTTGTGTTTATATATATATATATACTTGCAGTGGTAAATGATATAAAATTATAAACTAAATTGCATTTAAAGCTCAATGACAGATGTAAATTTGATAAATAATTTCGAATGTTTTCTTCAAAATAAATTTAGCTTTCTATGATTAAAGTATTAGGCAAGTTTTAGAAAGACTGCTTTGTAGATTCTTGCCTCATTAATATAAAACTATTATCAAAGTACTTTTGAAGTATTTGATTTATAATATGTCTTTAGGGTGACAGATTTGGAGGTGCATTGGATGCTGCAGCAAAGTTGTTTAGCGAAGCATACGACAGTGGAATGATACCAATGGAATTTGTAAACTCAATGAGGAAAAAAGGTCAATTGATTATGGGAATTGGACACAGAGTTAAATCGGTGAGAAATTCATTCTTATCTATGTAATTTGGGAGGGATGGAATTGGACATTCATTATATTAATTATTTACAAAAATAATTGTAATGCATTGCAAAATGAATTGTAATTTTCATATTTACATTTCAAAATATAAAAATTATGTTTTAGACCTTGATATTCTGTAGCATAATTTGTAAAAAGTTCAGTAAACATTCAGTTTACTAAAAATGTTTTTCAGGGCATACTATCTAAAAAAGTCTTAAAATAGGAAAAATATAACCAGTGAAAAGTATCAATGTCAGATTTGTGTAATATAATATAATCAAATTGTTTATATTTACTCTTTTACCTTTAGTTGGAATACATAAAATAAAGGAATTCTGAATCCATAATATCATTGTAATTTTTACATTGTAAAATGAAAAGCTGCATAAATTCTGATCCTTTTTTATTATCTGAAATTTAACTTTTCCTATTTCTAAAATAATCTAAATAGAAGTATTAAATACAGTTTTATCAAATTAAAACTGAGCTTTCAAGTAAGAATGTGAAGACTGTTTTAGTAATAAATTCACAAAGTATGTTCCAAATTCCAGGCAGTAATTCTTTTTCCATACTTAGTAATTGGGCCTTATTCTTGATCTCCATATTCAATTTATTTGTGGCTTTGCAGTTGACTAGTTTAAGAGGCATCTTAAAAATTGACAGAGTGTCAAAGACTGTTGATAAAATTTTTGCTAAGCAATACATAAAATTTTATTTATACAGTACCGGAAATCCTAATTTGTTACTCATTTTTATATGCATGTTAAAAATTACAGTAATTCACTCCTGAAGACTGAAAATATGATTCTTTGTTTTTCTCAAATGACATAAAGCATCTTTCTGTCAGATATGTGCATTTATATATTGTCTTTATGTGACACTGGGTCTGTTAAATCTATTAGAATCAACAATTTGAGGTCAAAAAGGGAATGTTAATTTTAGGTGATGTTTTCTTTTTTTTCCTTACATCTTAAGATCATGAATAAATGTTTATTACATATAGGGTTATAAAAATTATTCTAAAACAGCAGCTGAAAATTTTATTTCTCTATACTCTGTGTGATATATTACCTATCACTATTACACAGTCCAGTCACATTAATGTGACCACCACGTACTTTCCATGTCAGAGTTAAATAACCAATCACAGAAGGCAGGTGGCAGCACAGTGCAGTTGAGCGTATATAAAGGGTGTGTGATGGCTTCGGAAAACATTTCAATCGTTGGCGTAATGCAGAAACGAAGCGACGAAGCGATTTATCCGACTTCCAAAAGGGCATGATCATTGGCTTTCGGGCCAAGGGTGGAAGCATTTCCGAAACGGCTGAGTTTGTGAACTGTTCGCGTGCCGCCGTGGTAAAAGTGTACCGTGCATGGCAAAATGGGACTGTCCAAAATCAGCGACGTGGCAAATGTGGTGCACCATGGGCCATAGATGACAGAGGCGAACGACGGTTGCGGAGATGCGTTCGGGCAGATAGACGGGCTACCGTTGAGCAACTGACCACCAAAATGAACCAAGGGGCTACCAAAAGTGTCTCCCAAAGTACTATTCAGCGAACATTGCTGCGTCTGGGCCTCCGAAGCAGATGCCTGGTTCGTGCACCTATGCTGACTGCTGTTCATCGACGGCGAAGGCTAGAATTTGCACGCCAGTACAGCAGCTGGACGTCCACTGAGTGGCGACAGGTTGCGTTTTCGGATGAATCGCGTTTTATGCTCCATCGGACAGATGGACGTTGGCGTATAAGGCGTGAAACCTCTGAAAGGAACCACCCTGCAACCATTGCCGGAACGGTCCAAGCTGGAGGCGGGAGCATTATGGTCTGGGGAATGTTTTCCTGGCATTCTCTAGGTTCACTGATCATTGTGGAAGGCACAATGGATCAATACAAGTACGCATCTGTCCTTGCAGACCATGTTCACCCCTACATGCGCATTGTTTTTCCTCAGGATGATGGCATCTTCCAGCAGGACAATGCGAGGTGCCATACAGCTGCCAGTGTACGTGCGTGGTTCAAAGAGCACCAGGATGAGTTTACCGTCCTCCCCTGGCCAGCAAACTCACCTGACTTAAACCCAATCGAGCATCTGTGGGACCATCTCGATCGAGTTGTTCGCGCCATGGATCCTCAACCGCGTAATCTAGCGCAGCTGGCCACGACATTAGAGTCGGCATGGCTCAACATCCCAGAGAACACCTTCAGGGACCTATGTGACTCTCTTCCTGCACGTCTCGCAGCAGTCCGCTCTGCGAAAGGTGGTTATTCTGGCTTTTGACAGATGGTCACATTAATGTGACTGGACTGTGTAATTTTCAATTGAATGTTTCATTTTGGACTTTAATACAAAGGTAATACTTTAATACAGAGGTTACAGTTGACTCCTTCTTAAAGAAGTTAAAGCACTTTTTTAAAGTTGGCCTACCCCCAAAAAGCTAATGCGACTTTTAGATAATTCATTTTACAGTGTTTGTTATTTTTAAAGTTATATCTGTTTTACATATTTATATCAAATGAGATGCATCATAATAAAAATGTTAAATTATTGGAATTGACTGTGACAAGGTAGTGGGAGTGCAACTTGGCAAGATTAATGTTGTTTTTTTTTTTTTTTTTCCCCTGCAAGGAATTCTACATCTTATTTCTTTGTTTTGTTAAAATGAAACATGCCTAAAATCAACTTTTATATGTAAGCTTGGAAAGGCAAATAAAAACTAATATACCTCGTAAAAAATACGTGCATATGTATATAATAGCAGGAAATTAATTGTATAATTTATTCTTTCCACTCCTCGAGTCCAATTTATCTCTGTCACTTTGGAGAGCCTTCTTTTGATACCCGAGACTTTTTTTGATATTTGTTCTTCATTAACTTAACATAATTAAAAATAAAAAATATAATATTAAGCATAGCATTTGATTACAGTATCAAATGTTGTAATCAGTGATGAACTATATGTTAAAAGGATTGATACTTTATCTTATAAAAAATAGAAAATGCAGTGGATAAACAAGAAAACATTTTAAAATAAAGCTTTAATTTTTTTTAATTAAAACATGTTAAAATCTAGCAATTTTATGTTTACAGGAAATTAAAAAATAGTAAAATAAAAATATATATTCAAGATAAAAAATATGAAAGCAAACTACTTATTTTAATTTTGCAATAGCTTCTTTATTCATTTTAATTTGGGTACTTCCTCTTTCTGTCCTAAAAATAGTATAACTGTTTATGATATATCAGTTTGAAGTGCATCATTTTTAATCCACATCATAAGATCTTGCATAACCTAGCAAATAACTTTTATTCAATCACTGAATAAGATTTCTATTCAAAACGGAAACTCTTCCATGTTCCCTTCTGAATGTGTAGCATTTGTTTTGTTCTTTGCATCTGCTAACTTGCCATTGCCTTTCAAAAATATATTTTACACGAAGTCTATCAGTATTGATTTGAAAATTCTATAAGAATAGCGTGCTGTAATGACCATATTACTTGTGTTGTCTTGATGAAAAATGCGTGTCAACCATGAATAAAAAGGAAATAATTGAATTTGGCCACGTCTTTAAGCTTCTGCTCCTTTTTGCATTCATCTACTGTCCCAAGTTACTACATATATATGTATCAAATTTTGGATATTAAAAAAAAATAAAATTTGTCTTTATGCATATTCATTCTATATCTCCTAATATATTTTAAGATCTATTTAAAAGTGATGAGTGAATTAGCTTTCCTCTTATCGGCAATAATTCGGGAGAGAATGAATTTTATACTCTCATTTCTTCCAATATAAAACAATTTCCAGAATACGATATTACGTTTAGCTGAATAATAACCAATAAATCTTCAGCAAAATTAGTTTGCAATGAGTATAATTTTGTCTTTCTTAACTACTGTTGCTAATGTAGAGCTAAGGCAGATTTAGCATGTGGCATAATAGTTCTTGAATGTGGCAACACTTTTTTTAATTAAAAAAAAAAAAAAACTGCAAACACATCAATTTAATAGCTATTGGATATTACTGTTTAAGAAATGTGCTAAATTCATCTTTTAATCCTATCACAATGAAATTAAATTGCATTGTCTTTTAGATGATCCAATTGCAGTTTTTACATTTGCATAATCTGTGATGCAAATCATTAATAAAATGTTTGAAATAAGAATGCTTTCTCTTTCTGTGTGGATGGTATTTTGGGCTTATTTTAATGTGCAGTGGGTAGCTTCTTTTCATTTACATTTAAGATACCATTCAGGAAAAAATTATAGATTGACAAGTCTGGTGAGCTAGGAAACCATGAAATGATATTATTCTTAGATATGGTGCAGATTCCAAAAGGATGGTGTACAACTTTGAAATTCATGCAAAATGAAACATAACTTGATAGATCCAGAATAAGCTCATCTGAAAGGAAGCATGCAAATTCATATACAAGAAAACGTATATAGTACTTTGGAATATCTATGAGATATTCTGTGATTGGCTGTCCTTGAAAAAGTATGGGCCATTTTTTTTTTTTATTGAAGACATAGCACTTGTACTGTCTCTTGATTTGTCACTGATACTAAAATGGTGGGCCAAATATTCAAAACATGAACATGGCTATATGTTTCATAAACAGAAATGTGTAAAATACAGTGGATATCTGATTTTTTCTTTAAAAAAAGGTAGAAATACTGCTAGTTTAAAAAATGGTCATTATTTTGCTACATTGTGTGTGTCTTCTTTAATAATATATTTAAGATACATTTAGATATTTTATTATGATTTCATTATTTTACAAGGTAGAAATTTTGAAGTAAGGTTTTATAAATGCATAGAACATGACAGTAAAGCATAAAACTTTTATGAGTCGAGCAAAAAATTAAATAATTACTGATAATAACAGTTCTTCACTATAATTCACTTCTTAAAAAAAATACACAGTTTTATCCATATTGGGCTGGTTTAAGTTTTAAACAAATTTTAGTTCCCCTTGAACTTTTTTATACCAAGAGTTAACTGTATATTTTATATTGATTCTGAGAAGACTCTTTTAAATACTAGTTATTTTGCAAATGTATTACTTTGTATCTTTTTATGAATATTAAAATTATAAAATAATTAAATTTTATGAAGCTGAGTTGATTCCATTGTAAATAGATTTCTATTGTGTAGATCAATAACCCTGATATGAGAGTTCAAATACTTAAAAGTTATGTGAAAGAGCATTTTCCTGCTACACCAGTGTTGGACTATGCTTTGGCAGTAGAAAAGATCACAACTTCAAAGGTAAGAAAAAAAATTAAGGCATCTATCCTAAGATTAAAACATTTTTAAAGTGGAAAGTGTCTAAATTTCAGTTTTACATAATTCTATTATTTTCAGTTGCACTGTATTCTGCTGTTCAGTTCAGATTTCAGATGTGGTCGATGTTAAAAATTTAGATTTACTTTCATTTTTGTTAAAATAATTTTGACTATTTTCAGTGTAATTCTGTTAATTTAAATGTTCAAGAAAAATATTTTTAACTTAATGACTAAATGTGCATTTAATTTTTAATATTGATTTTCTTATACTTTATCCATTCTAAAATTATGCCATTAATTCTGTTGCATGTTTTGTAATATACAGTTTTATTCACAGGGCTGAGGTTATTTTAAATCCTTAATGAAGATTTTTCATTCCCAGGGAAATAACATGCACAGCATAACTTTAAAAACCATTGATAAGAACGATGCTTTGATCACTCTCTGATCAATATTATTTGTCTCAAATGTCAAATTAAAAATAGATAGTAAAGATTAGTCATAGATGTCAATTTAAAAATGTCTCATTGAAAAAGGTAAATCTAAACAATAATTAGATCAGTCATAGCTTTTTGTAATAATTGGATAACTGATGCAGGATTTAGGAAGCGCTATTTGCAATGGCAGTGTGCTATTGAATGATGTTGAATTGCAATTGAAATAGGAATTAGTAAACTGGATATGATGTTTTAAATGAACAAAAAATTGGCATTGTGATAACATTGAGTTATGATAGAGAAGGCAGTTGGGGGGAAACTAAAATCTGGTTGAGTAAAAGAACATAAAAACTGTTATTTATAAAATAAAGCAAAAGATAAAGGGTGGGGGGGAATTTTGTTTTGATACATCACAAATGTTAAAGGAATCTCCATAGTTTGATAATGAAAATATTGAATTCTAATGTAGCTTAATTCTGAAGTCGATCATCAGTTTCTTCAGACCAATTAGTCTATTGAGTGATGGATCTGAACAGTTTAATTCCATGTAAATTTGTCATAACAATTGGAATTTTCTGTAAATTTCATATTTTTAGTATTAAAGGCCAATTTTATAATTGTAATACTCATACAGTATACAAACAAGTATAGTTAATAATAATAGGGTGGTCTGGTTTATAAAATTTTTATATATGTTATGAATTTTTTGCGTGTGTGTTCAATACTATGAATCATAATTTATTTTATTTAATCTGTATCTCCTGTACATTGACCAGATATTGCTTATATAATAATACAATTCAAATTATATTTCACTGTAATATTGAATAAATGTAACAAAAATCATGTTATTGAAAAATTGTAAAATAAATGCTGTCACTCTAGCAGTATTTAAATTCATATTTGGTGTAATGATTAAATCGATAACGCAACCTTAAAGTAAAATCTCAACACTAGAACCATGTAGTTTCTTCAGTGCTTACAAATTGTAACAGTAGTCGGGGACAGTTATTATTAAATTAACAGTGCATTCTAAAAGTAAAGGCATAATTATTAAATTGAATTATTGGCAGTTTTAGAAAGGTGCAAGATTGGCCAATTTTTAGAGTAGTGAATACAGAAAGATATCTAGATAATATTCAAGATGTTTATTGAATCACTTAGTCAGAGCAACAGTGGTGTAGCTAGGGTGGGGCAAGGAGCTCCAAATTGATGTTACGAAATTTTTTAATGAAGTATTTTCCATTTTTGGCACACAGAAAGGGGCGCAAATTCTTAAGTTGTCCCCGGGCACTGAAAACTCTAGTTATGCAGAGCAAGTATGGAAAAAAAATCTCCCTTAGAGAACAAACATGCCAAAGTCCATCCTGACAAGAACTCTTAGGATTTTTTCTTTGCTTTCAATCATGATAGTAGTCATTTTGACCACATTAAGAAAACCTTTATAATTAAAGTATGGAAACTTTAAGCAGAAATATTGAATATTGTAACAAAATTGTATTGTTTCAGAATTAAAAAATACTTTTTCAAAAATATACACCTGTTTTCAAATTTATTTTTACACATCATAAAATAATGATGTTTCCATAAAATATCCAATCGACATATTTTTGCAGGAAATGTGTGTTAGCACTGATAAAAGACTTAAAGCATTTGACGTGTGCAGGCAGCTATTGTATCAAATGAAAGTTTTATGGCAAAGATTTAATTGATGATTTTGAGAGTTTCAATATGTCTTCCTGGCATCACTTAGATTATTTTAAAAGTGACTGTTGCTCTATCATAAAAAAGAAAGTGATGAACCACAGCTCAGCGGGTAGCAAATGAGTTTCTTGCTGCCACAAGACAAAAGATGTCCTGAAAAACTGTAGCTGGGCATTTGGGAGAAAGACTTTAGGCCCATAGACCCGTTGTATGTGTCCCATTGTCTGTACAGCACTGTATTGCCCGTTTGCAATGGTGTTGTGAGCATCGCAGTTGGACTGAACAGAAGTGGGCTTGTGTGCTATTCTCAGATGAGAGTAGGTTCAGCCCAAGGTCCATACAGTGAAAAGGTTCGCGCATAAGAGGAAAAACACGTTGAATGGTCAACCACATCGTGAAGTCACAGGGAGACCTCTGTTGCTTTCTCTGATACTACGAGGGTAGAAACTATGGTAGGCGCTTGAAACGAATTTGCGCTTATTTGACTGTTCTTATTTGCTAGGTGTTTACATTAAAATGTTAAAGAAGGATATTAACTAAATCATAATTTAACATGTATAAATATCTAATAAACATTTTTTATCGACATACATACGACTTTTGAAATATATATTTAAAACTAAACGTATCGAATAAATACGCAAATCAATGAATGAACACTAACCTGAAAAATAAATTTGCATTGTACATACCCTTATTTCTTTGACATATTTTATACTTGAGCGTATATTTTTTAAGACAGTATATAAAGATATCTTATAAAAATAAACTTTGAATAATTTAAAACCGAGGGCAAATTAAGTTCAGAACCCCAAATTATGTGCTGTAAATTGCATAAGTTTAGTGGCTATATTTATTAAATTCTAAACATAATCCAAGCTAATTCAAATATCATACTGAATAAGGAACTGGCACATGAATTCGCAAATGCTATTGTAAAAAAACAAAATACATTTTTGTAGTTGCAGATTTTTTTATGTCACAATTCGCTTTTTCAGAATCAAAAATATTTTTATTTATTTATTTTACATTATGAAGATGTATTATATTTATATACATATAATATTTTACACTAAGATATATGCATTTATTATATATATATATATATATACACAATATTATGAGATGAATGTTTAAAAAATATATATATATATCAGATAATACGTAATACAAAATATATTTTTCTTTCCAAAAGTAACCAGGTATTTGCATCTAAAATTTAGTCTAGTTACGTAATTTGGATCAGTTCTGTTTAATAAAAAATATTTTTCAACAGATGTGCTGGATACACCATTTTTTCCGCAGCTAAGCTTTGCTTGAAGAAAAATTTTAAGTATTCCTTACAATGGTTAGGCTAAAAAAATAGCGCACCTAAGATAACAAAACAAAAGATAACTCGATTTATATTCAGTTAAAGAAATAATTTTTTGATATTACGAAATTTTCTTCAATTTATTTTTTCTTTTCCGCGTTATGTCACAGTTTTCGTCGACTGAATTTAGTCTTCTTTTTTGTGCTTTCGAATATTTTTTATTAACTAATTTTTGATTTAAAGTCCTTAATCGTATGAAAGTTCGAATTCTAGCAAAGGACTTAAGTTTTCATCTGTGTCGGAAAACTGCTGTTTAAGGGTTTTGACAAAGTCCTTTATAATATTTTCTCCCTTTCTTAAAGTGGAACCGTTGAAAATTAAAAATTGTTCTTCCATTTTATGGACCTGCGTTTTCCACTCTTCAGAGGGTTGAATTAGTCCTTCATGAGACAGATGTTCTATCCACGAAGAAATACACTTTGGATCTTCTTTCAGTTTATACGCAATAAATTGGGCAGAACATATAATAGAAGAGTTTGCATTCCATTTATCTTCTCGACGGCAAAGATTTATCCACTTTCTTCTTAATGTAGGATCACTTGGAAATTTGTGATAAACTATGCACTCAGATAAATTTTTAGTTTTTTCTAAACTGTTGTTGCAAAGAGCAATGGCACATCGCATTCCAGGCATCTAGTAAAATTGAACAAAAAGAATTTCAGAATCGTTTTTCTGCACTGTAAGCATTCCATAATATAATATAAAAATATTCAGTAAATATTTTAACCTTTTGATATAGAAAACTATGTTACATTACATTAATATGTATATATGTAACTTTTTAAACATTTTTTAAATACTTTTTTATAAACTTTTTAAAATTCTTTTTTGCATTTAAAGAATTATTTGAAATTTATTAATTACGAATTTCACCTTTTGGTCTTTGTGAAAAGTAAATTTCTTACTTTGTCTTTACTGATAATTTTTTAACAACTTAATGCGCGGAAATACTAGACATGTTTATATATTTTTTTTTTTTTAAATTGTAATTTCATATATATACACATTTTTGTAATCTTTATTCTGTAATTTAAGCTGTTTTGGCACAAATAGATATACAAAATTCGTCTATAAACAAGCTCTGAACTTAAGCTTGTTATTTTACAATTAGTACTGAAGATAAAATATTTGATAGTATAAAACAGAAGTGAATATTACGTAACATTAAAATAAAACAAAAGTACTGAAATTTTACTAACCTTGAAGAAAATATTCTCACTGACAGGAAACAGAGGACTTCACAGGAGTTCAGCATTCGAAAGCAATGACTTGCGTTTCCCTTAAACTCGTATATCACGTAGGCCTCGTCTGGTCGCCCTGTGACGTCATACGTTGAGACTTGACGCATGCGCTCTATGCCTCAGTTTCCGAATACGCGAACCTTTTCACTGTACGGACCTTGGGTTCAGTCTATTATCATATTGTAGAAGCTAATTGAATCAGCCTGAGAGTGGTATTCTTATTATCATCCAGAAAATATCGAGGAAAGGAACTGATAACCAATAATTACTTATCATGGTATGAACTGGCATCTTGATCACTGGGTGCATGCCCTATACATGTGGTTACAGCTGGGACTGGTCAACAATACATTGATGGAATTTTACTGCCTTATATTTTCCTTTTATGCGGTACTTTTTGGCAATTTTCTTTTCATGGACAGCAACGCATCATCTCGCCGAATGCTTGCTGTTCAGAATTGTCTACACAGCGAGAATTTCCAATGTCTTGTATGGCCAGCATGTTCTCCAGATCTAAATTAAACTGAAAATGTTTGGAATGTTCTGGGGAAGTGACTTGGTGGTCAAAAATATCCTCCAGCAAACAAGACAATTCTCATCCATGCACAGACAGAGAAGTGGGATTAATTACTTCAACATCTGCTGGATTATGTGATGCAAAGTATAAACGATGTGTGAAAAGTAGTATCACAATCCGTGGTATCCGTATCCAAAAGTTTCTGTTGTTGTTCATATCCATTTCTTCATACACAGCATCAAAAGAATACATTTTACTTTTTGGTGTTTCAAAACTTTTGATATTTCCCTGAACAATAAACATTCTTTATTCTAATATCCAACAGTGCTGCAAGAATACTATCCTGATTAGCCTCCATCTCTGCTTGATCTTATGGTATACTTTAATTTGAGATCCATCCTTGGCCATTATCCAGCAATTATGCATGGAAAATAAACTGCCAATGTTCAGCAGCTTTATCCATTTTAGCCACTTGTGGGTAGAGGAATTTTTGGAAATAACTGAAATTTAACCTTAAAAGCAAAATTTCTTATGAAGTTAGACATGAAATGTATTGTAGATTTGGTCCTAATATCATTAAATATCAAAACTTTCTGCCAGTCTTCTGGTATTAGATAAATTTTGAAAGTAGTACTGTTTTAAATAAATTACTTGTCTTTAATAGAAAGACCTATAACACATTTAAGTCCTCCCCCCCCCATTTTTTAGGAAATAAATTGCTTACATATACCTTTACTTTATTCTAACATTAAAATTGATTGTGAATGCTAACAAAATATTTATACATCCATCCATCCCCAAAATCTGTTTAGATTTTATTTTAGCAACAAAACTGTCATTTGAACATTTCTCTCTCCCTCAGAAACCAAATCTCATCTTAAATGTGGATGGTCTCATTGGTGCTGCAGTTGTAGATCTTTTGAGATACAGCGGATGCTTCACCCCAGAAGAAGCTCAAGAATACATAGAAATTGGTGCATTGAATGGTCTGTTTGTTCTGGGACGCACAGTTGGCTTTATTGGTGAGTGTACGATTTCTCATAGTAAATAAATAGATTTCATTTTAAAATAAGCATATTGTGCAGATATCTGAGGTTAATGCCATAATCACAAGTAATATCAAAACTACTGTAAAAAATTTTACTGCTATTTTTAAATGTAATGTAAAATTACTTTGCTGACTGCTGATATTTATTTTTTAGCATAAATGTTCTTCTGTTTTATTTTATCTTATGAAGGAAGTTCATGGTGCAGTTGTAAAAAATGTCTCAAAATACAGACTATAGCTTCAGGAACTCAAATTTTAACAACATGCACATTTGATATCTTAAATAGTCACTCAATCCATCTATTACGTACCCCAATATTTAAAATATGATAAAAATAGTTTTCTTTAGTTTTAAAGCTGTTTTTCTTGTTCTCGTGTATTATAAATACATGAATAATAACTGGGTTTCAAAAAATTAATTTCCAAAATAATCGTAGAGTTAAAATTAAGATAAATGGAAATAATAAAAAATAAACATCATGCATCTAAGTTTCATTGCATCTCTAATATACAATGCTTATTTTATTTCTTTACACTTTGAACGAATTGCATTCACGTTCTTCTGTCCTTGGTGCAAGGGCAATTTATCACATCTTTCATACTTGGTTGTTTCGAATTTTATGTATTCATTTTAATTCTTTGTCAAAACTTCTGCTTTTTGTTTTGCATGCAGTACATCAATTTCTTGGTAAAGTCTTTCTTGGTCCCTGATCTTTGTTCAATACTTTTTTTCATTAATCGTAATGCTAAGTCCTTCAAAAACAGACTTCTGTTTCTGGTTGGTGGATTAGGAGTTGAATGTAATATAATTCAAGCATTTACTACAGCAACGTTCAGTGCCGGAAAGAAAAATTACCATTGGCCACCTCCTTGTTATTCTGGCAATTGAATAACTGGCTGACATTTCATCCCCCATATCCACTGCTCCTTTAGTCATATTATAAAAACATATAATTCCTGATGTTTTATTTTCTCCAATAGTATCATCTATAGTATGATCGTTATATAATGTTGAAAGCATAAGAACAGTTTTTCCTTTTTTAGGAACATTAGGAATTAATGTTTTATCTTTTTTGAAACCAAAACAGTGTAGAAAATATTCCTAGTTTCATCTTCCAGTTTCCGAAATGCAATCTTCATCGCTTTCGAATATTTCTAATAAATCTCACAGGCATTGCATCTCCAATTCATAGGGAGTCATTTTTTTTGCCATAATGCGGTTAGAAATTTTCAAGAATTTAATATCAAGTACTTTAAAATCACTTGCGAGTAGAAATATTTTTACTGTTACACTCTAGAAATAAATTTCTGAACTAAATATTATGTCAGAAAAACACTTATGTTTACAGGTGCATGGGGTGTGTCATACCCCAGTTCCAATAAAATACCAATAAATCTTTTTCTGAAACACATAGGCAAAGAAAAAGTGGTTCTGAAAGTCAACCACAACTAGAAACTCAGCTACTGAATGCAGCACAGAATTTTAGTTTCACAAGTTAGGAATATTCCACTTTTATGCAGGGGTGGGATATGATACACCCCACACGCTTTCCCGCGGGTTAAATCTAGCATAATCAAATGTGCTCATAAAATAAACTGATTTATAGCTATCATAACTTTTGTTAGTCACAGCTTTATACAATATATAAAATTACATGAAATTGTATATTATTGATTGTTGGTTAAATTTTACTTTCTCCATGGTTTTGTTTAGTTGCATACTGTGTATTAAATTATATATTGATACTGGAAGAGGATCTGTTATATATTGTTTATCATATTATAACAGATTATGAGGTTGTCAGTATGTAAAATATAAGAAAGTTTCCTAACCTTTTATGTGTGCATTCTAACAGAAGATTTTGTTGTGAACAGCATGATATCCAGATCAATAATCATTGAAGCTAAGGCCTGTTGTTATTTGTTACCAAAACTCAAATGCTATTCATTGTATGTAAAGTATTTATGAGTGAATGAAATGTAAAGGTAATAAATTTTCCATTGCTGGCAAAATGTACACATTCCCTGCCAGACCGTTTCTTTGAAGACTTCCCGCGCCCCACGCTTTACATTTGTATTATTTTGTTTCTGGCGTATGCCTTACAATAATTAAAATAGCGCAAAAATCATAATTATCAAGGAAAGGTTGTATAGTTTAACATGCATAACACAACAACCAATAATTTTATTTTTCTAGGAATTAGTTTAACAAATACCTGGCTGAACATTACTATGCCAAGCAACTTGCATCCTCACACATAATTTTTTTATCGTACGTATATCAGTTTTAAATATAACATTTTAGTTAAATTCAAGTTTGTATGCAATTACAAAGGGATGTTATGATGAACTTTATTAAAACATGGCAAACATAAGTGTGGTTTATCCACACAACTATCGCAGAATGTCGCAACTTTTACAGTACATTTTCTTGCCGATTGGGAACCCAAATTTTTAACATTTCTTTCGTAACAAATTTTACAGCTCCTTCTTGTCGAATTAAAGTGGCCTTCCTTTTCGTCAGAATCATCACTAGAAAAACTGTTGCTGTGTGATGCCATATCTGCTTATAAGGAGTAATTATTGTAAAATTTGGAAAAGGTCTGAAGAAGAAAAGGCGGGAAAAATTGCAACCATTTTTAAATCAAAATATCCGAATTTATAACACTGAAATAATTCCTTCGTCTAACACCATATTTCCTTCGTCTAACACCATATTTCCTTCGTCTAACACACTGAAGAAACACACTGAACTATAAATCAATCCCAGCTTCAGTGAAGCAGTAAGTAGTGTATCAATGACACGCGAATAAATGACTGATTGAAATACGAGGAATGCAGTTGAAACAAGTTACAGAGAAAAAAAAATTACCCATCATGCCGCGTGGAGCGTATACACTCCACGATTAAAATGAGGGTATCAACAGTAGTATTAAGATGCCATAATTGACTGCATAATGAATTTTTTAAAAATTCTTCATTTTACAATGATAATACCAAATACGCCCCACGCGGCAGGGAACATGTTAAAACAATCTAAAGACTGCAACATTTAGTGACTAGCTACCTAAAATTATTTGTATCATAAAATATTCTTGGGTTCAGATTTTGAAGATATTAAATTATATACAGTAACAAAGCTGCCATCTTTTTATCCATGGGATACTTGCAGTTTGAAAACATATTTAAAATATTTTTAAGCTCTCCTTTCAGAAATAAAAATTTGTAAACAGCTGAGTATACATTTCTTTTCAAATCTACAAAAATCATTACCCTGTCTTTATTTTTTGCACCTGTAGGTTGTAGATATATACTTTCAGATACAAAAATGTTTTAAAAGATGCAGATATTCATGTTTAACATTTTAATATTTAAAAAGTTATATAAAAACTCTGAAATCTAACTTATATATGGGCTCCCTGTTCCTTTTACTTATATTTAGGAAAATTTTATAATGATTAAAAAAAAAAAAAAAAGAGTAACTTTTACGTAACAAAAATTGACCAGTATATTTAATTTCAGAATCTTGGGTTTTTGACATTTCCAACTGACCTTCAGTTGAGTTAAATAAATAAATTAGCATGATTTTGAAGTTTATTTTTCCCCTCAAATAATATTCTTTTGTGATTTATTAGTATGTAACATTATTTAATTTTAAATTTTACTACAGTTATATGCTGAAAGGATTTTCATACATGAAATTTAAGTTTTCAAACATTAAAAATTTTATTAATTTAGAACCACAATCTTAAAATTGCACAAAAAATTCATTAAATCTGAAATATTTTTCATTTTTAATGTAGGCAAAAAATGTTACTAGTTGGATATGTGCCAACACAAATTCTGTAAGTTCATATGAATGAGATGCCATCTCCTTTTAAAAAAAATTATATTGATCAATACCTTTTATGATGACTGCATAGAAATGCTTGTCGTTTAATTTAATAATATCAGAAACCTTTTTCAAAATTTATATTTTATTTTATGTATAATTGTAAACATTTTGGTCTTCATATATGGCCCCTGAATGTAATCTCCAACTTTAAAATAAAATATCTATTACATTTTGTTGTACTAGGGTTGCACTTTATTTTTTATAATGAAAAAACTTCCCTAAGTACATTTACAGGGACCAGAAGAAACTATAAAATGTTAGATTCATCATTTTTACAAAACTATTTTCTTGATTGATTTAAAAAAAAAGGACTATTTTAACATTTAAAAATTTTATAAGTGGATATCTATGCCTAACAGTTTCAAAAATAAAGGCCAGGTAAGGAACTTCAGTTGACATTGTGTATGTGTATGAATATTTTCTTCGCAAAGTAAAGAAAACAGATTTATAAAACCATTACTTCAGTATAATTTTGTACTCATTTGTCATTGGCATAATGCTTTTAGACTGTTAGAGTTAATAAAATAAATGAAATACTAAGTATGTAATAAGTGCCATAAGGTGTGATTTCAAATAGTAACAGCAAAATTTGGATTAAACATGTTGACTAAAAAATAAATCAAATAAAAAAATTGATAATTTTTACTCAGTTGACAGTTGTGTGGCTTATAACTATATTTCTGATATTAAGTTTATTGTACATACGCTTTTCTTGTAATGAAACAAGTACATACGCTTTTCTCGTTCTATATTTCTGATATTAAGTTTATTGTACATACGCTTTTCTTGTATGAAAGCCATTTATCAGCAATTAATAATTTTTCAAGTTTTTTTTACTTTTTCCGCAATTAAAGGCTTAATGTTTGAAAACAGAAGTGAGTGAGTCGGGAAAATGTTTTTTGTATTTTGATGTAACATAACCCTGCTATTCTCAGGATCAATTACATATAATAAAGTAACATCAATAATTTTACCTTTGTTTGTTATAGGACATTACCTAGACCAAAAGCGTCTGAAACAAGGCTTGTATCGTCATCCATGGGATGATATTTCGTACATTATGCCTGAAGCTATGATGGATGAAGAAAATTCATGAATGTTTGGAATGATGTATAAAGCAGTTTAGCTGTAGTTATATTTGTTGCATAAATTGTTTTGAGGGCCATATTAGCAACATACTTACTCAAAACAAATATTCTGGCATTTGAAAAGGACTATTTTTTCTTGTAAAATATTGTGTATAAGTTGCAACAAAGATTCTTTTTCAATAATATTTAAATTAAAAATTTATTTCATAAGTTGAATTGATATATTCTTTGGAATGTTTTAAATTGTTATATCATCATCAGATATCTAAAAACAGTTTTCAGAAATTGTACATAAGTCTTTATATGCTATTTTGCTGAAAAATAACAAATTTTAATATTCAGAGTGGCTAAAGTATATTTTATTCTAAGAGAGAGACTATCTTGTTGAGTGAGCAGAAATGAACTTTAAAGTTGTTGTTCTTCATAATTTTCTACATATGATTCTTTTATTTGTCAATGCTGTTGTTACTCATTTTATTTAAATGAATGGTTGGATATGAGTTAACAAATTTGCACATTCCAGTTTATTTATTTACTTTCATTTTCGTGTGAGTGTGGAATTTTGTGTATGTAATATGAATTAAAACACATTTTCATGATGTTGCTTCAAGTTGTAATTTGAACATTTATTTAACATGTTTTTATTCTTTTTTAGCTTTTATACAATATATATTAAATTTCTAGTTGCTGTAACATAAAGCCCAAATGGAACTATACATATCAAATAGAATATATATGTAAGATTGATAAAGCAATAAAACTAATGCTAATTAATACAATCGGTGAAAATTTTCATATATTGTGTCTTCATTGTCTCCCAGGAAAATTTAGAAAAATCCACCTATATTATTGCAAGATTTTAAAATTTGAGTCAAATAATATTTCTTAAACTAAAGTTGACTTAAAAATGGATAACTAATGGATTTAGAAAATGGCAAGATACATGTAAATATTAATAAACTAATTTTTCAAATTAACTCAACTGACAATTTATAAAGTATATAAAAATGAGAACTTTAAAATATGAATATAAATTAAATAGCTTCTAGATTTAACTTCATAGTTATTTATTGGATTATCTATTTCATATATTTAAAAGATCACTTGAGACAAGATGTCACAAAACTTACATATATAATACGTAAAATGAAATCCACTTACTTCATTTTTATGGTTTCTTGCAGCAAGAGGATTTTTGCAAAAGTATTTTAATCTTTTGTAGAGTTGGTTAGGTGTATTATACAGATATTTATCTGTAAAAAATTATAGCTATTAGCATGAAGTTTAAACAAAATGGACAGACTTAGGAAAACATATCAACTTGCATTTTAAAACAAAGCAAAATTCAAATTTAGATTAGAGTATCTGCGTTTTCTCTGAAATTTTCATATAACAGCATCTGTTTCAAAATTAATTTGCTAAGTGATGACTGCAATTTTGTAGCATACGAATTGAATCTCGGAATTTGGTTTTTCATCATTTATCTTTTAAGAAAGTAAGGTTTATTCTTTTAATTTCATAGCATTTTGTGTTACTTTTTACATTGGATATATGCATTAAATGAAAAATGTTTATTTTAATTGAATAATTTATATACATTTAAGAATTTAAGACATCTGATATATATATAAAAAAAGATTTAGTTGCTCTTTTTTGTAGACAAGGGCAGTGGATGCAGGCACCTAACAATGGTTTCTAATCATTTGTTTTTATTATTTTTAAATCATAATGTTTACATATTACACAAAAAAAGCATTAAAATGCTGCTCCTTTTTTTTCTCTCAAAAAAAAAAGGGGGGCAGCATTTTAATGCTTTTTTTTTTTTTTTTTTTTTTGAGAGAGAGAGAGAAGAGAAACATTTTCAAATCATTTTAAAAAGCAAGGTTTTCCATTATTGAGTTTTAAATTCATTTTTAATAAATATAAATATTACTAGTTAAAATTAGTTATAAAAATTCCAAACATTGGTCAATATGAAGGTTTGGACCGAAAATACATAATATACAGATGATTTAGAAAAATACACAATTATAACCGAATACAATATATTTTATAGAGTTACTTGGGATTTACATAAGATGGCCTCTTATTTGAATAATTAAAATCATACTTGGATTTTTATTTCAGAATTGTATCATAAAGTAGGGAGTGTCTGTGTTTATGAAATGATATATTAAGTACCTTATTAGTTGCCGGTACAACATTTATAATAGATAGTTAAAGTGCGTACTCTTATATAACAGAAATAAGATATCTTGTTAGTACTTATGCACAACTAAAGAATTCTACAATCAACTTTGGATATTATGAACTTTAGTATTTGACCTTGATCTGCACACATAGGAAATTCATATTATGATGTTCATTTATCATGAATCTGCAATTTTGATAGCATATGAATTTGTCATTGTGTATATGAGCTTTCAAATGTATTCTTACTTTAGAATAATGGTTAGTGACAGTAAACTGAAAAACTATAATTGGGAGGTGAAAAATATTTATAAATTGCAATTTATATAAACACAAATCTTATAGAATATATATTGTAGCTTATTATCATTAAATGCATAAGAAGAGAAGAAGGTTATTTAAATTAATTTATATATTTCATATAAACAGTTAGATGCCCAGGTGTTGTTCATTAACACTTGTCTTATTGTTTCCCAGAATTCTTAGAGTTGTCAGTCAACAGTTTTGTAGTTGTTTCAGTCGACTGGTTGGCAACTCCTGGCATTCTGGCTAGACTTAGACAGACTCAACTTCTGGGGTAAATAATCAGTCTTCACAGTGACTAGACTCTAAACTATCATTTATTAGGTGGTAGTTTCTGGCTTGACAGGAGGTACTGTCTTGTCTGTCCCTTGATTGGGAGATGTTACATGGTTACATTTTAAAGGTTGTCTTTGGGAGTTTGGCTCCCCTTGGTCAATACTGGGGGACGGAGTATGATGTGCTTTCTTCTCTTTGTTGGTGGATGCATTGATGTCCACCTTGGATTTTGTGTGCTTTTTCCCAGACTGTGTTTTAACCTTGTTAAATATAAGGGCTTCTTATAGCTCAGGCCTGGGAGCCCCTCCTTCCTCCTGACAGAGTTAAAACACAGTATTGTCCTATACAAGTAATCCCCTCCCTGTCTTTTATCAGGACAATACTTCCAATGCTTTATTTAGAAGCTATTCATATTCTTTAGCTATGCTTCTATTTTGCGATATGATCTTGCAGATATTAACACTTACTGTATAGTTCTGCATATTAGTCGGAATTTAACTATATATTACAAACGGGACAAGTAACATCTTTAATCTGGTAGGTTGTTAATATTCAAGCACTTTACTTCTTAAGGCAAGGGGGAAAAAAACTTAAATTTTTTTCAAGCAATTAAAGGAATGTAATTTTTTTCCCAATGTTCAGCTTCACAGAAGATTCTTCTTTTTCAGTGAACGGAATACACAAATCCTTAAAGGTTCGCTGTAAATGAAGCTGACTGTTGTGTGTCTGCCATTTATTTCCCAAGAGAAATAAATGTCTTCATCTATTTCATTATAGAATGACATGAATTTGTCTAATCTCATCTGATCTTATAAAAAGTAAAATAATATAGAGAATTAAATCTTTCAGCAAACTAGTGGTTCACAAATTTATTCAAATGCATAATTTACTATATGCATAATTATTACTTTTAGATTTTCAATATTTAATTATTACTTTCAAGAAGGAAAAAAACTTTGAGACTATCATAATTTTATTTTTTTTTTTTTCAAAATTAATGTGCTAAAATTACGGGTTTGATTATCAACGAAAAAGACTAAATGCATTTAGTATCAACACTGTTTAATGTTTGAAATTTAAAGAATATTTTTTTTAAATGTTCGATCTGATAGCCTTTTTTCTTGACAGTGTCTGCATTGTAACTTCTGTGATAGAAAGGCTTTTCATAAAATTTCGAGGGGTATTGATTTCTGTTTCTCTTTCGTTACTTTCCAACGTCCATCAATCGTGGTGAGTTTGCACTTAGCTCTTTTCAAGAGATTAAAGGCACAGTAGTTTATAGTTGAAACACCAACAGACCTTGCATTAATAAATTGAAAAGATATATTATGCAATACCTGCATCAGTCTTAATTTTTTCAAGGAATGCAGTGGTACTTTTAGAAGTACGATTTGTTGCTTTATCTTGACGAAGTTTCACTCTTTGCGATAAAACAGCTGTTTCGGAAATTGAAATATTAATTGCACCTTAAAATGAATCAAACATGGGTCTTTCGATTTTTGAACTGTTATGCTGATAACTGATTTTTCCGCAACTGCCTAAGAGTAAGACACCCGATTGGTTAATTTATAGTCCATTGCTATTAATTTAGGTGTCTCTGTAGAGATATTGAAAGTCTTAGAGCATGAATTCCTGGAAAAATTCATTATGCAGCATCAGGAACCAGATAGATTAGCTATCTATTATGTTGGTACAAAATAAGAAAATGTGTGAACATTTTATTTCTTTCAAATTATTTTTGTTCCCTTTTTATGTTAACAAAGTGCTTCAGTATTATTTATGACTGACTACACTTTTTAAGTATTAGTTACATGTGTCCATTCATTCACATGGTAAAGTTTATTATATAGCAGAATCCTACTTGGAAATAATGAACGTTTAGTGATGTTCAGCTGTACAATACGTAATGAAAATAAAATGCTGTAAAAAAACTGATTTTTCAGTTCATATAATAGTTTAAATTATTTTTTTACAAACCTGGGTATATTTCTGGATAAGCTAGTTTTTTAGGACAGAGTGGATAACACCCAAAGTAAGCAGCTTCAATCCTAAAATTAAAGCATACATTTAAATACTTTAAAAAGAGAATAAACAAATGTATGTTTCTATTGTTAAAAGATATGTTTTTTTTTATTTTAATGATAGTTTTAACCATAAGTGTTTAATAAATTAATGCTTAAATGTTCATCAATTAAATATTTCTGTATTTCATGTTCATATTTAAGTGAGATAATTTATAAATAAAGTATATCAAAAGGCTAGCAAAAACAAAGTCTCTGATTAAATAAAATATAGTAATAAAAATACTTGTAAGTCTTGACTCTATCAGTTTGCAAAATCAATTTATGAATTTTTGTTCTCACATTTGCAAAGTTTCTCAAAATAAGGTGGAGAATTTTATGAAAGCAGTTTTCGCTCAGTAAGTGGGAGATTATCATAAATATAAAATACGTTTGTATGATCTCTGTAAAATAAAAATTCCAATTGCAATATTTATTATGCATTAATTAATTTAATGTATTCCACACTTCCCAGTTATGAGGGCAGCTGGTTCATATATTGAATTTCAGCTATATGAGTCTTGTCAACAATATTGTTAAACAATCTAATAGTGAAATATCTCTAAAAGATGCAAGAAGAGAATTTTACAATGTAGACACAGACTGGGCTATAGAATACTGTATGGGTTTAAACATATACCTTACATCAGACATTGCCATTTATTTAGACATATTTTAGACTGCAGTCAAGGTGTTCAAGTACAATTCTTGAATGATATTAGACTTAATTATTAAACAGTGCATTCATTTATACAGTTAATTTAACAGTACATATTATACATTTGGTAAATATATGCTAACTTATGATTCAGTTCAGTAGACTATTTATAAAATTCAGGTGATAATTGCTCATAATTTAGTTTGCATATGAAGATAAGATTACATTTCACTTTATAAATTATTATGGTGCAGTTAAGAAACATTAATTTGTGAATATAAGATTACTATACTTATTGCAGAGCATATTTACAGCAAATTGCATGTTTACAATACTGTTTAGTTATGCAACATTATGATGCACCATTTAATGGTAGATGTGTTGCATTACAGTAATGGTAATTATTAGCATTGCTAGCTGGTGCGTTTGGGCCAGATCAATGGAACAACACATTTATTTCTGATCTGCAGATTTCTGATGCTAGGTTCATGCACTCTTGTAATGCTGTTTTGCACATATACATGTTTGCATGTTTCAAGCCAAAAACATGGCTATTCTCTAGGGGTAGCTTCCTTGGATGGAATTCCTGTGTCTCAGAACATTCAAACATATAATATTTGGGATTGCCAGTTCTGCTGAATACACAAGTGTCTCAGTATCCGGGTAGCTAAAGTATGGACCACATCCAGGAAAAAAGTGCATGATCTCTATTAGACTACTTATCAGTGTCATGCTGACCTTAGCTTTATGTATGAACCTGGCACCTCAATGTGAACTGATTTTATATTAAGATATGTAGCTGCAAATTTTGCTGTCTTGTCTGCTAGTTCATTACCACAGCCTTCAGTGTATGCTGGAAATCACCGGAGTTTTGGTCTGCTGCTAACTGGTTGAAAGAATAAGATTCACTGTATGCATCTGATAATGAAGTTTCTGCTGTGACCATTCTGTATAACCCACAGGTTTAGAGCACAGTATAAATGTATATTATGTCGTTATTAAGCTGCTGTTCTTAATGTAACTTACTCAGTTTGAAATATCAAGCTACCTATTTTCAATTTTCTTGCCCAAGTCATTCTTTATTTTGGTTTTATCATTAATCACACAGGAGTCACTACCTGTACTTTGCTTCCTTCTGGACCCTTCTGTATAGTACGCCTGAGATACCTATGCTCTTGGTGGTCTGCATACTTCTGTGTCGAACTCTGCCAGGTGGCAGGATGACAAGAGATAGTTCTGCTCATGATCAGTTTACACATATGTGCAGTTCCACAGTGTGAATTGTAGTATAAGGTTCATGATTACAGTACACTCGCTATGGACCATTAAATGTAAGGAAAGCAATTTGGTGAATATATTCAAAACGTTGGTAGGAGTCGTTGACCCCCCCCCCAGCAAATACTCAGTAAGAATGGTCTTTCAATAATCCATAATGACAAAATGTCATGATATCAAGATAAAAACGGGTATGCTATTTTAAAGGAGGATCAATCATGTCTCTAATCTGATAGCACACAAGATGTTGAAACTATCAATCAATGTGGGATGATTTCATCTCTCCTAAATATAATTTCCCCCACATATTGCTATTACTGAAAGTTCAGCATAGCAATATCACTATATGCCATTACACCACGCTTGGAATAAAGTCTTCATGAGTCAATTTGTCTCTTCAGCAAAATTGGTGACAATTTGGTTGTTGATCAAGCTACAGAAGACTGAATATGCTTAGTTTATTTACACCTGATTTATGCATATAAGATATTTAAAAGTGTAGAAATTTCATAAATACTTTCTGTATTAGGAACTCAATGGAAAATATACAGAAAGCTCCATTTCTTAAAGCTGGGAGCATATAAGACTGCCATACTAAAGGTGACTATCTTGAATCTTATTTGAAATTTTTAAATGAGAAAGAAATTTCTCCAAGGCAAAATGGTGCGCCTACTTTTTTTTTTTTTTTTTTTTTTTTTAAGGCAGACCATGTTCTATGATTTTAACATATAACTATCATTGGTCTGCATTCAGGTGATCTAGTATGGTACTGATTGTGCAGAAACAATTCAAACTGTCTGCATGTGCTGTGATTTGAGGACTGTTAACAATTTTCATAAAATCTAAACATAACGGATTCAAATTACATCAGTAATTATGGCTTTTAGTTGTCAATTTCATCCTAATTAAGAAATAATTGCAGGTTAAATTCATCATTGCCTAAACTCCTTCAGTTTCAGTTTGTCAAAACATGGAATTGTTGCATATTTTCAACGAAGCCTATACTGTGAATTGTAGTCATCTGCTGGTGTCCCGTTATTTATGTTTTCTTACGTTTGACATTCAACATTGTAAGTATATTAGTTTTGGTAGGGTGGACATTGTCATAATGATCATTTTGTTGATTCTTGAACTACAGCCAATACCATGTTAAACTTCCATGATGAATAAATATTTCAAAGTATTCAGTGCTCTATCAAATTTTTCAAAAAATTTCTAGTTTAAACTCTAGTATTATATAACCCCTTTCCTTTTTGTTCCAAGCAAAACTTCAACTGATGATCATCACTTAGAATCTGAATCTTTAATATCCCCCCTTTCAAAAAACAGCATTTTCCACTTATCATCCATGTCTGATATTTAGTTCAGACTTTTGAATTATCTTGTGCATATATATTATATTTTTATCTCACATCAAATTATTTCTTTCATTTTATCACATATCCATGAACATGTACATAAAAATAGTATAACATAAATAAATATTACACTTAAAAAAAAACTCATGTTTATTATCAATAATAATTACGTTGAATCAAGAAAGAATTATTGCTCATATATATTTTCTGCTTGTGTACTTTAAATTTTGTACAGACATTTGATTCAGTTTTCATAACACAATGTTTTAATTTACTGTTATTTCCATAGTTTCATGAACATAAATGAGCCTAATTTCAGTGCATTGTGTTACTTCCATAAGCATAAATACAATGTCTTTATAGTTTGTAACATCATGTAAAAAACTATAATTTGATAACACTTTTACTACCATCATATGAAAATAAAAGTTGTTAAGTCAGTACAGATAAAAAAAGTACTACAGCACCTTCTGAAATAAAGCAGATAACGATATAAGCTGTAAAATTTTAATTCTAAAATGAAAAACATTTTACTTTTTATTAATGAATCCAATATCTATCCTTACATATTATGATAATATAATTTATGTTAAAAAAATCCATGCACCTATAAATATAATTCATTCATGATGAAACTTGATAAAAGAAGTGAGATTATTAAAACTACACAGCAATCAGTCAATTAATTGAGCAAATGTAATCTAGAATGATTATATATTAACAGGTACACTTGTTTTCGGGAACAATGCATGATGATATTAGTCTGATATGAACTCCTATGAAGTTAAATGTACTATGAAATTTGCTGCTACATATTTTGTAATCACTTAGGTAGTTCATGTGCATTTTAAGATCGTTGTAACTGACATCTTAACATATCCCATACATGTTTGAATCTGGAAATACAGCAGGCCAAGGTAAGATGTCATTACACAGACATTTGTCTTATGCCAATGAAAGCTATTTTGAATGTGATATTAATGGAAATACGAAAAGTCGCAAGATATCATCAATGCATCATTGTGCAATTAAAGAGTGGCAAAAGATAGGGACTAAGTATTATAAGCAATAACTCTTTAAATAGCAATAAAAATATATATTGCGCCATACTTCCTCAAATCAGAGTTCTCCTGCCATCTGAGAAGTAAAAATTTTATTCATCATGGCTCCAATCCAAAATACTGGCAGTTTTGTGGCTCTAACAGACTTTGCAAGAGTTGTTCCAACAGCTAACAGCCATCTTGCAAGAGTGTTCCAAGGCATTTAACATCCAGGAAATGTGAGTTAGTTTTAAACTGCAAATATAGCAAAGCTATCAATATATTTATGGCCTCTCACATATGATCTTCCCAAGAGATTGACATCCTAGGCCTGCCACAGTCCTCCTAGTTGCCCTGTTGAGACACATGTCTGACTGTGTCATAACTCTGATCCTTATACCAGGCATTCAATGGTATAATCAATCGATTTTCTGAAAGGGGTAAAGTGATATCTATCAAACTAACTCAAACTAATTGTACTATCACTAAATGGATCTTCAAAGTTATGTTATTTCCTAATACAAGCAACAAATCTACAATGCAAAATGACAAAGCAATAAGTAATGTACCTTGTATGTGCTTGAAGTACTACTCATGAGATTTGTACCTGCTCTATGTGCTTGATTCGCTGTGAATTTTCTATCATTAGCATACCTGGCTAAGAAATACCTGCATGCAAAATTTTGAGATTATCGGACAGTTTTTCTAGGAATGCATTCCCCCCCCCAAATGGTGTATTTCATGAAATTCTACACATTTACATATTATAACTAAATTATAAAATAATAAGTTATAAATAAAGTTAAATGTATAACTGTATTATATCACAAAATTAAAACATCTTAAGAAAACGCACATAGATACTCCAAAAAATTCATGAACTGCAGTAGAAACAGCAACATCAGCAGAGTGTAGCACTTGAAAATATTCTGTTTTCGATTCTTTGTAGCCCCAGTTAATTATATTCTCTCTCAGTCGCAATTCAGCCTCCTCAAATATTTCTGGTAAAATAGATAACAGGAAACATTTTTTTAGAAATACAATTATATAAGGTGTGGTAGAATTCATGGTATATCAATAAAAGTATACCATACACAAACAACTGCTTTTCATTTATTATCCAAGTCATGGCTACAAGAATGCTATTTATCAATCAACTGTCATACATTCTTCCAGTCAATTTTGGAGGCTGTCTCCATTACATATTAAGACATATCTCCAAGAACACTGATTTGGTAAAATGATAGTTAGTCTACATAAAACTGCATGCAATTCTTATAGAAATAGTCAATTGGTTAAAAATTTAAGCACTTAATTTTTAAAAGAGCTTTAAAAATGTATTTTTCTTCGAAACTGCTTCAAAGAAACATATTTTTCTTCATACACTCAATTTTTTTCTACAACATGACAATTACAGTAATAAAAATTTAAACTAAATCATTCCAATACGATAAAATATTTTTTGGCTGAAAATTCTTAACTTGATGTAAAACCTAAAATCATATTATGCATAATAATTTATAGACTATATACATGTGTGTGTGTGTATGTACATTGTCAAGAATATGCAAGGTCAGTTACTACTGTGTATAAAAATTTGCAGAGAAATAGGTTTATCAAAACAAATCAAGATCAGACAGCTGTGCAGGCTCGGGACTGCTACAATCATTTGTAATTGTGCAGTGAACACCAGAAACGTAAGAATACCATATAAGAACATTATTTTATTCGTGAAAATGTAACAACTGAGATATTAAGAAAGATAAAATTAGCAAAGCAACAACTTTTTGTTTGATGTAGACTTAGTCAAGAACTCAACCGATTTCGATGGCAAACAGGTACATGTTCCTCTTCTTCAGAGGCAAAGAAATCTGCAAGACTGCAAAAGATTTCTTTGCTCCTGATAAAGAGGGGCCTGTACCTGGTTGCCCTTGAAATTGATTGAGTTCTTGACTAAATTTACGCTAAACACAAGGCTGTTGCTTTGCTAATTTTATGTTTTCCTTTAGAGTGTTTCTCTTCTGTTTTGACATTAAGAAAGGTCACAGGTGTTGGAAATTTCCACCACAAGCTGCGACATAAGCCTTATATCGGTGTCACATGGAATCACAGATGTTGTGAAATCCTGAGAACGTCTTTCGGAAGGCCGTAGTAGTTACGCAAATGGGTGCGATAAGATCCTCCTCACTATCCATGGGTGTATCACATACCAGATCTTTCCTGAGAATACGGGTAGGGGGAATTCATGGAGGATATGTACAGCAATCGCACCATCAAAATACATTTTTACATCAAAATCATACCATCAAAGTACATTTAAGTGCTCCCAAACAGCTGAAATGGACTAGGACTCTGGAACCATATACCATAGCATGACTGCTGGATCTGTTGCTCATTCAACGATTCAGGCAAACTTTCTCCAAAAACAAAAACAAAATCTTATAACACCATTTGTCTAAATGAAGAGGCAAGAGATATGAATCTATTAAGTGTCCTTCTACAGTGCCAGGCAAAGCAATGACCACAAATCGGTGTTGCACTGCACATATTCGGGTAGCATCATGATTCTCCACCACCCACACATGCGAGTTATGTGCATTGTCACACCTTTCCCTGGTGAAGTATATGCTTCACTTGTGAACGATGCAAGCTGGAAAAAGGCGGCCCGCCACAGTCTTTTGCAGGTACCATTAAGCAAAAGCACCCCTTTGTGGGTAATGATCAGGTTGCAGTAGCTATATGTGCTGCTCATAATGTAAGTGCAGTTAGTTTGAGTCTAGAATCCTCCAGATGGTGGTTTGAAAAACATCAAAGCGAGTAGTGGTTAGTGGTATGCTGGCACGTGGAGTGTTTTCTGCATGACAAAGCACCATATCTTTGATTTCAGGAGGTGCATGCCATTTGTCCCTGATTCATTGCATGTCTCTCATAGGAACCCATGCAAACGTCTGATGGTTCAGAATAAGCCTCATCGGTAAGCGCTAACGGTACAGGTGCACAGTGGATCGGTCATTATAACCAGCAGCTCCAGAAACTTGCATATTTGCTAACTTCATATTTGTGAAACCTTCCATTCTACTACATACTAATAGCAACCTTAATTGCTATAACTAACATTTCCAGCAATAACGGACAGCTTATAAAGTGGCTTGCAAGAATATGTGGTGCAGGACGGCAGACATTTGATCGGCATCACATTCAAATACTGACCAATGAAAAGCATTTCTCTGGTATATATAGAATAATAAACAAAAAGCAGTTATTATACTTTACTTCGAGACTGTTGCCATCCCCCCCATTCGCGATAGTAAAGAATGTCATCATTACTATACAATATTCATTTTTTTTAAGCCATTTGAGACTGCAATGCAAGTAAGCTATCATTTGCATGTTTTTTATGAATCTTAAGGAATTCAGCGAGTCGACCTTTAATTTCATGGCTATTGTTTCTATGGTTTAAATCAAATCAATTAAATGACTTTTAAATTCCTAATTAAAAGTAACATATTATAAGTGGCAAAATCATACTATTATATGCTCTACCGCACCCTCTTATCATGAAAATAAATTATTGTAAAATTTTTTAAATAATTACAGATGCACAACACAGATTAAAACCTCCTTTAAAGGATCACCTAAGTTGCAGACTATTTGGGTCTTTGGTGAGGTGGTCATCTAAAATAACCAAATGTAAATGACATTCAAAATAGTTATTTAATTAATTAGGAACATTGATCACTCTCAAAAGTAATCTTCTTTGGAAGGTGGCTGCTATGAGAGGTTTCAGTGCATTTGGAAATTATAAAAATGAAAGGTTCACAGTCAAATAAACTGTGCTCCTTTTCCAATTCTGCTATTTAATAAGAAAACTAAAATTTTCATCTTTATAAATTCCCTAGTAAAATTAAAATAACGGAGAATTTTTAACATATGAGTAACATAGATTCAACTAATGAAAATTAGTACATTGTAAATTTCTGTTGTTGTTTTCTGGGAGGGCTTAGTTGTATTTTTACAGCCAACTTAAGCCGCATAGTCATTATATATTTTTAAACTGATATAGCAGGGTTTGTTTGAGAAAAATTTGGATTGATGATAAGCAGCAGTTTTTGGTTGGTGCCCTTTCAAACATGGAAAGTGCGAAGCAGCATTTTCGGCATCTTTTACTTTTTTTCTATCAAAAAGGTAAAAATGTTGTTCAAGAAAAAAAAAAAAAATCCGATGTGTGTAGAGAAGATATTGACAGAATGCCAGTGCAGTTTTGATCTTGAAGATGCACCACGTTCTGGAAGGTCCGCTGAAGCTGGTGGAGAGCTTAAGAACATGAGGAACCCATATGCTGAGATTTGAGAGTAAACCTAGGCATTTAAAATGACCATGAACTGTCGAATTTGATAAATTTAATCTCTGCGATTTCACAAGTTGTTATTCCCCGGTTTGCATCAATAATGTCTTTATTGAGTCTTCATCATCTTCTACTGACCTTCCAGAAAGTAGTGCATCTTCAAGATCAAAATTACCAGATCGAAATTTTGCAAATCAGTTTTGGCACTGGTGTTCTGTCAATACATCTCCATACACGTTGGATAATTTTTTTCTTGCATGAACAGCATTTTTACCTTTTCGATAGTAAAAATGTAAAATATGCTGAAAAATGCTGCTTTTTATTTTCCATATTTGAAACGGCACCAACCAAAACTACAGCGTAGAATCAAACGAACTTCCTCACAAACAAGCTTGATATATCAGCTGTCAAAATATATAATGATGTTGGCTGTGAAAAAATAGAATTAAGCGCTCTGTTGGGGAAAAACGACATTACTTTCCAAACAACCCAATGCGAAAGCTAAAGAAATTTACTTGACTAGGGCGTAAAACTGTTTTGAAAATACAAAATTTAACTTTTCTTAATTAGAGCTTAGTTAAAAGCTCAGTTAGAAAATGTTCAAGAGAGGTGACTTATAAAAGCTTATAAAAGATGACAAATTAATAACCCCTGAAAAGTTATAAATGGATCAGATCAGGCGAGATATGAGCAATTAATTACACAGGGGCTGCTACAAAGTTACAAAAAAAAATAGGCATTACAAAATGTTCATTTAATGAAATATGGTTTCATCAGTATTGATTTATTCAATAGTTGTTCCCTAAGACTCAGAGAAAATACCAACGAAGGTTTAATTTTGGTCAAAAATTTGCTTAGAATAGCCAGTAATTTTGTCATGAATTGTATACTCAAAGGTATAATATTCTTACAGTTATGAAAGCATCAAGCATTTTTCTAACTGAGCATTTTGATCTACAGGTTTTATAAAAAGACTTTATAAAAAAATTAAAGAATTATTAAAATAATTCTTTAACATACGTCATCAGGGTTTGTATAATTGGAAGGATAGATAAATAAAGAAATAAAGTGGACCTTTAATGAACACCCTATACGCATATTATATGCATACACAAAGCAATTAAGAGTATTTAATTTAAAAATGTATGAGCAGAATAAATGAACATAGAAAATATGTTTAAATAATAATAAATTTGAAACTGTTTAGAGAAAAAATAGTTAAAAACTCTTACGGTAGCATGGGAGCTTACTTGGTTTTTCTGAATATGTTTCTCCAATAACAGATAAATAAAAGTCCTCACCAGAATCTTTAAGGCGGAATATGACAGAAAAAAATGTTTCAGGATCTTTGTCATGCTCCCTAAATACAGTTATCAATTTATTGTATTTTGCTAATAATATAATTTTTTATAAAGCACATGAAATGCATAAAACTTTTTTTACTATTATTTTATTATTAATATATTATTGTCTTTTTCAGAGACAGGAAAAAATTTTTCTAATAATTGTAAATTATATAGATATTATGTAAATAGATATATAACTCCAAGAAATAATATATAAGATATATTCTCTATATATAAGATGTATATCTTATATCTATATAGAGAGAGATCTCTCTCTATATAGAGATATAAGATATACATCTCTCTCTATATAAGATAGATCTCTCTCTATATAAGATAGATAAATATAACTCAGAGTTTAAATCCATTATGAAACGCAAATGAAATTCAAGCTGTAAGGTATTTTTCCCCTCCTTTTCACAAGTTTTCGTGGTATAATCGGAAGCATACTCAAAGCACATTCAAGAGGTCCAGGGTCCACATCTCGGCAAAGGCAATGCACATTTTTCATGTCTCCAGCATACAAAAAATGCCTAATAATTCTACAAGTGGCATCCGATCTAAAAGTTGGTGAACGATGATTCGTCAGAAAGAGGAAGTATGTAAGGTATTTTTCCCCTCCCTTCAACAAACCTTCATGGAGTAATTGGAAGCATATTCAGCACATATTCGAAAGGTCCAGGGTTTGAGTCCCAGCGAGCGCACTGCACATTTTTCATGTTTCCAGCATCAAAAATCCTCATGACTCAAGAAAGTGTTATTATTATGTCTAAGATTTTTTATTAGCTTATGACCAAATTAAATAGTTTCTTCCAAGCATTTAACATGAAAGTGGCATTTATTTTCACAAGAAACGATTCTTTCATTTTTAAATTCCCTAAATAACCAATTAGTTACATTATACAGTCAAAAGTCGTTAATCCGGACTTGTCGGGACTTTGGCGGTTCCGGATTATCGATTTTTCCGGATTATAGATCATCAGTTTAAATCTCGTAAGATGGCATGCAGAAATTCTAAAATTAAAAATATGAAACCATAATTTATGAAATAAAGAACAATTATGATCTAAAGGGTATCAAAAGTTGCAAAAAGAAAAAGCTTAATATTTATTTGTTTACTTTATTAAACATTTTTTTCAATGTAAGTTGTTTAAGTTTTGTTTTGTTTAATGTGATAATACTTTCTCTTTAATTCTATTAAACAGACATAATTTCTTGTTCAATTACAAAGTTCCGCTGTTCAAGTCCTATAATTGCTGTGTCGAGAACATCGACTAATTTGTCAATCGAAATTTTTTCGTTTTCAATAACCTCTGTCAGTTTCTTCGCTATCGAAAGCGAATTATAATGACGAGGAACTTGTTTTAAATCATATCAAAGACGGAGCATATAGAGATGAAATACAACATTTGGTAAGGAATTATAAGCCAAATAAAATAAAAACATCTGCACTGAAGATAAGGATAGTGCTGACAGATCAACTTCCAATTCATTACGCGCCGCCGCGGCGATCCCCCTGCCGAGCAGCGTGAAATTGATAAACAGATTTCGGATTTCAAAACATACTTTCGCTTTAGATCCTTTACATATTAACAAATATATATTGGAAATTCTATTTGATATAATCGAAAGTTTAAGCTTACTTTTATAAAATTGCTCTTACAGTCTGCAAAAAATAATAAGCCGGATCCAATTCAAAAATTAAGGAACAACGCAATCATCAACATTAACTGAAATAGATAATTAGATAATTTTAGCTTATACGTCCATTATACATAAAACGCGCACGCGAAAACCTATTCTGCACTTGCGCACACTCATATGCGCAGTCGTAAAAGGTCTTACGCACACACGTAAACGCCTATGCGCATGTGTCAACGCGGCGCATGCGCAGAAAGTTTTTAGTTTTGAGGTCCGGATTATAGATCATTCCGAATTATGGGTGTCCGAATTAACGACTTTTGACTATATCCTGTAATAATTTCAGTTGTATAGGATAAAGATGATAATTCATCATAACTGTAGTAAGTACAAGTTCAACAGAAATCAAAATTTCATAAAAATACAAAAACTGAAAAAGGAATTTAAGAAACATTTAAAAACTCCTTATTATTATAAACTGGGTTTATTACACATAAATGGATTCTTTGTTTATACAGTATCCTGAATTAGTTCTAACATAACAACAAATATAACACATGATATCATAATATAACACATAACTTCAAGGATATGCTTTCTTAAAAAGGGGTATGAATTTACTTTGCACAACAACATATAAAAATTACAAAAGTTAAATAAAATATATTAAATCTTTCAAGAGATTTCTTAATGTTTCTATCTTTGCATTATATACACAGGTGTGGGGAAAAAAGAAAAAAAAAAAAAAAAAAACAGAATACATTCTGTATTCTGTACAAACACACATATACTTGCATGCTAACTGGACCATATTCTAGTGGTTGAAATAAAATTAGTTTTACATTACCTGAAACAATAATAATGATTGCACCATCATTCAGGCAATGTAACTGCTTTTTATAGTGAACAACCTCTATTTGATACTGGTGTCAGATGACAGCACGACACATCATTTAACAGAAAAGACTGCTTGTAACAAATTCAATGAGGCTCATTTTTGGATAAAATTTTGTTAACCTAAAACTGCAAACAGGAAGGCAGAAAGCATTATTACAAGGAAGTGTTGATTAAGCTGAGAGTTAGAAAAAAATCCCAAAAATCTGGCAAATGGTTTCATTCAGCATCAACATGATGCTCCTTCACACACAGCACAATCTGAGAAGCAAATTTTGGTTGAAAAACAGAGTGCAACCTTGACACATCTTCTCTATTCCACTTATTTACACTCTTTTTCTTTTCCCAAAAGTAAAATGTGTGCTAAAACGAGCCTATTTTGAAGCATTGGAAACTGTTAAGATGAAAATGTCATAGCCATTAAGACAGTTATCAGAAAACAAACTGCAACATGCCTTTGTACAATGGAAAATAAGAATGGGTCAATGTGTGAGTGCTAATGAGAAATAGAATGAAGGAGATAAACTATCCATTTGCCATAAATAGTAAATAATGTCTTTTTATTCTATGTAACTAGACAGTCCCATTACATTGCAGACAGACCTCTCTCTCTCTCTATATATATATATATAAATTTAAATATATATATAAATTTGAAATAACTTTATATGTATAAGAGAATATTTGTTAAATATATATATATATATATATACATTTCTAATAAGAGATCTTGAGTTATAGTTTACTTACAGATGTAATAGTATATAAAGTAGTTAGATAACAATTATAGCAGTACAAAAGACACCCAATATATCACAGCAGACAAAAACTGGATATGATCAGTTATTTTCTGCCAGCATCTGTAAATCCTACATTCCACATTTGCAAATATTTTAATGAATATAGCAGTAAAATGTGTCATTAGTTGCAGCTGAATGAGTCGCGAATTGCAGGAATAAAAATTTCTTTCAGTTCCTGGATAGTGCATTATTTCAAGAACTGCAGACTTGGGTATCTAAAGTCTTTTCAAGATAATACAAAATATTTAAAGAAACTCATTATCTTTAGAATGTGCAAAAAATACCCTGTCAAGATGAGAGTAACAACACTGTATCCTAATATCAAGACTTATTGGAAAAAAAGAAAAATATATATATATATATATGTGTGTATTGATAGTGTTGTAGTTTCATTCACTAACTCTTTTTTTAGGAAAGCTTGGTGATTAGGTAATTTACATTGAGTCATCTTTCCAACATTTACATTCAGTTATTCTTTCCAAAAGAATATATGCTGAATTCAAAATGTCTCTTGACAACATTTATAACCAGCTTCATTTCAAAGATGTCCAAAGCCTTCAAATCTCAGGACTTTCCCCACATTTCTTATGTGGCTTGTTAGGGTTTTTATAGGAAAATATTCTCCTAGGACATTGCAGGGGTCTTATAGGGCTTGTTGGTGTATGCCAAGTAAATCATGTGCACTTCAGAAATCATCTTCATTGCAACTGGCAAATCAGCCCAAGGAACTGTTTGCAAATATAAAGCACTGAGATACCAGCTGTCTTCAGAAAAGAAGCAGCCATTTTCAATATTTGTTGTCATGTGATACACTGAAGGTCTCTCAAAATGTCAAAATTACATTCAGCTACCTTGTATATTACAAAGGTAGAACAAAATAGCTGGAGCCATCTATAAGTGAAACATTCTATGGTATTATTATACCTTAATCATATTAAAGTATGATTTTATACAAAAGTGTTTATGTTTATAATGTTTAACATTTAAGTCTCCAAGTGTTTCTATTTCTTTGTAATTACTTCTAACACATCTTTCATTTTTTATTGATAAAAAACTAAGAGAGGTTTGATCAAAAATAGCTTGACCTTCATTTTTAATTAATTGTTACAAACTCTGCACATTCTGCATTCATTCCACTGAAGAAAATATAAATCAGATCACTTAGCTCTAAACAAAGTCTTGTGATACAGTCCTATTTTTAGAAACAAAATTTAAGATTTACCTTTTTATCAATATATGTTCACAAATTTAAAGTAATTTGAAAAATTTGCACCAGAATAATGAAATAATTAATCAAAATCGGTGTTTTAAGGTATATTAAAGAAATGGAAAATAACAGTATGTTAGGTATTTAAAGAAGCCTATGACTTTTGAATCTGTAAAATAAAACTAATTATTAAAATGCTTTTATTATGATCATTTGGCAATGATGCAAAAAAATAACAGTAAAAATGCAAAGGCATAAAATAGCTTAACAGCTGACTTTTAAATTTCATAAAATACATATAATACATACCACCGATGAGGCCAAACAATGTGGAGTTTTTCTTGTAATTTCTCTTTCCTTTTTTCACTACAATTCTGGAAGACAGCACCACTTTCCCTAACATTACGTTTTGGAATGTCAATAGGGAAGTACAAAATTTCACATTTAGGCCGAATTAAATCCTCCAGGTTCTTTGGTCTGTAGTCTGGCATTATATTGAAAAAAGTAGACAAATTGCTGAGCAATGATTCCTTATTAAAATATGAATTAAACAAAACTTTGTCAGCTACTAAACTGCAAGAAAAAATTAATTTATAATTCACTTCATTAAATTCTTTTAAGAATTTTTTAAGTTTTGACAAAAGTACAATTTTTGGAAGATTGACCCCCCCCCTAAAAAAAAGACTTCCTATAATAAAGTAACATACATTGCCCTCTTTTTATGTATTTTTTACCTTCCCCTTAAAAAACCATGTTGTAAAATGTTTCTAATTATATATATAAGGCTGAAAAAAAGTTTTATAAAAGAATCAGATATACAAAATGTAAGAAAAAATTGCATGAAAAGAATTTGCATATAAATAACCATATAAGTTGAAGGATTAGAATCAAATTAATCATAAACCTTTTGCTTATTACTTTCATTATCCAAATTAAACGAAAATTCCTTCTAATTTCAAATACATAATCTTTCAATAGCTCAAAAAATCCTTCGATTGTTTGACAGATTTTTAATTTATTTATTATTGTTTAAATTTGTATTTATTTATTTTTTAATGAGAAAGATTTTCATATTTAGAAAACACAGTGCAGTGTATAAAAAGATGATTTAATTTATCAACTAAAAGCAATACTAATGTTTAAAATTTGAAAAAAGAAAAGGGAGAATTTGATTTGAAGTATGGGATTATGCATAATTCAAATGAATGAAACATTTCCTGATATTTTTGGGAAAAGATGTTGGTTGAAATATGAAAAAAACTATACTTATTATATGCATAGTAAAATCTTACAATGTTTTCTTATTTTGCAAAAAGTTTTGGATTTATGATTGGATAGAATAATTCAAAATTTAAAATTTGTTTCTAAGAAGCAAGTAAAATATGAATAATAAAATAATGATTATTAATTGGGACTTTGTAAATAATTCTCTCAAAAAATTTAGACTATTTTACTCTGCTCCATAACTGAAGAAAATATAAATATATCTAAATCAATGGAATAATCTAATGAAAGCAACATGAATTGTTTCTGAATAAACCAAGTTGATGAAAAATACCAATACATAAAAACTATGAAATTTTTATACAAGCGAAAGGAGGATACTTGAAAAACCTAGCATTGTTAATTCATTTTTTAGATCAACTAAAAATTATTGCTAGTTAATGGAAAGTGTCAACACTGCATTTTCTTTATTCAACCATTATAAGGAGAGTCATATTAATAAATATATCTGAGTTAATATGTTTTATAACCTGCAGACTTCTACTGAAAATGTAGCCTTACATCATACAGAAAATTGATGGAATTATGATTCATTATATGCATTGTGCTAAGAAGGCACATTCTATAACAAGTTACTTTTAGCAAAATCAAACAGATACTCTGAATGAGCTCTGCCTTAATCAATTAATCAATCAATCAATTTACCAAAATTGAATGTTTATACTAAAATAATAAATTTATATGACTGCAGATATCTGTAAATTATATTTTGATAATTTGGCAGTTTATAAGATGTTCACTAATTATCCTATGCCTTTAATAGTTTCCCTCTTAATAAATTTTCTTGTTTAAGATATCTGTCTCTAAATGTCTGGTTCTTGAAAAATTTCTTCATATGTTACTACATCATGTGACATCATCTTATAAGAAAGCTTTCTGTCCTCAAAAAAATAAACCTTCAGAAATGCAAGATTTTCTTAAAATATAAGGCCATCTTCTAGTCAATATGATAGTTTTCCTTCTTTGCGAAATTCAATAGTATATAAAGTTTCTTATTCTAACCAACAGTTTCTTTTAAATAATGGCAACAAAAAATTGTTTAGATAAATTAATGTGATTCATATCACACTTTATCTAAATAATTAGCCTTTACACGAAAATCATTCTCTCAATATATAAATTAATTTACATAACATATAATACAACAGCTAGTAATATTAATAAATTAAATGTCATTAGCTATCCAATTTCTGCAATATGCACAAACAAAATACTGGACTTACCATGTTAATACATCATTATAACCATGCTGAAAATATCTTTGCTTTCTCTCTTGAACTGGATATACTAATTGATTTTCATGAAAATATACAATTTTATGCAACCTAGCAAGATCAGGTCTTAAGGCTGTAAATTCTGCTAAAGGTAGAACAGAACTTGCAAATAAAACACTAAAAAAAAAAAAAAAAAATTAATTTTTTTTAATATAATAAACTGTAATATTTTTTAACATCATGCAAATTTTATTTTGTCAAAAGCATACATATACACATAATATGCATGTTATAAGCAAATAAAAAAGCTGACTATGGGTTAAAAAGGTGCAAGATCAAATAATTGTATCCTAGACATAACAGTTTTTAAAATATATTACAAACCATATTATTGTATTTAGTTTCTAATTTTAATGAATTAATAAAGTAATTTTTATCTGTATTTTGTTATTAAATATGTATATATTTGTCTTTGGGTAACTTTTTATATATCTTAATACAGTCAAAAGTCGTTAATCCAGACTCGTCGGGACTTCGGCGGTTCTGGATTATAGATCATCAGTTTAAATCTGGTAGGATGGCATGCAAAAATTATAAAATTAAAAATATGAAACCATAATTTATGAAATACAGAACAATTATGATCTAAATGGAATCAAAATTTAAAAAAAAAAAAAAAAAGCTTAATATTTATTTGTTTACTTTATTAAACATTTCTTTCAATTTAAGTTGTTTAAGTTGCTTCATTTTTTATGTGATAATACTTTCTCTTTAATTCTATAAACAGACATAATTTCTTGTTCAGTTACAAAGTTCCGCTGTTCAAATCCTATAATTGCTGTGTCGAGAATACCGAATAATTTGTCAATCGAAATTTTTTCGTTTTCAATAACCTCTGTGTCACTTTCTTCGCTATCGGAAGTGAATTATAATGCCGAGGAATTTGATTTAAATCATATCAAAGACGGAGTACATCGAGATGAAATACTACATTTAGTAAGGAATTATAAGCCAAATAAAATAAAAACATCTGCCCTGAAGATAAGGATAGTGCTGACAGATCAACTTCCAGTTCATTGCGCGCCGCGATGTCCCCACCACCACCACAGCCACACAGCAGCGTGAAATTGATAAACAGATTTCGGAATGGTTAGATAAACAAAGGATATGCCTTTATCCATTTTTTTTTTCAGCAATTCCACTTTTTGTTTAATGGACTTCGAAACATACTTTCGCTTTGTCGATCCTTTACATATTAGTAAATATATATCGGAAATTCTATTTGACATAATTGAAAGTTCAAGCTTACTTTTATAAACTTGCTCTAACAGTCTGCAAAAAATAATAAGCCGTATCCAATTCGAAGATTAAGGAACAACGCAATCTGCAACATTAACTGAATTAGATCCTTTTAGCTTAGCTTATACCATCCATTATACATTAAACGCACATGCGTAAATGTATTTTGTGCATGCGCACACACATATTCGCAGCCGTAAAGGTCTTACGCGCATGCGTCAATGTGACGTATGCGTAGAAAGTTTGTAGCTTTGAGGTCCAGATTATGGGTGTCCAAATTAACGACTTTTGACTGTAATTACTTTAGAAATTACAAAAATTTCAGATCCATAGAATCAAGGCAAGCAAACCTGAACCATCACTGCAAAATACAGTTAATGCTTACTATAATGACCATTAATTATTATAGTGACTTTTCATTACAATAACCTGCATAAAAAAAGTCCCCTGATGAGTACATAAATCTTATTTCCACTATAATGATCGTTCATTATACTGTTTTTTTTTTTTTTTTTTTTTTTTTTTGTATGGATCTAAAAGGTTGATATGTGAATCTAAACAGCGTAGATGTTTTCCAGATAACAAACATAAAAATTATAGTGAAAAGTATTTATCAGTATTTCTTATGTTACAGTTTGACTGGTAGATTATTTTAAATACAAAAATTAAAATAATGAAAATCCTAAGATAGAAACTGATATAGAGACCATCAGCGGTCGAGGGTTAAAGTTGCTGAACACTGGTAGTTCAGTTCGGGATTTGAATCCCAAAAGAACAGACTGGGAACATGAGCATTTTCATGATTTTTGATAGTATTTGTTTATATAGCATAATTTTAAGTTTTAATATTTTGGCAACATTGATATTAAATTGTAAAAAGAATGAGTTAAAAATGTATCTGGAAGAGAGAGAGTTTCATTATTATGGTTTGGTAGAATGTGGTAAGATTTCTTGTGTCTGATTTTCTTTAATAAAGTTTTCTTTTTGTATATTGCCATAATGTATTTTTGTTACAAGTGGATGATTCTTTTGAGAATGTTATATATATGCCAATCTTAAAAACCAACATATGGTAGCAGAGTGTGGTTGCCCCCTCTGTTAATAAACTTTCAGATAGAACATTGATGTTGTTTAGGCTTAACAAAATCGCCAATTTCTCTAAGAGATAAATTAGACTTGTATTATAATTAGTAAATATAAATTAGAAAATATGGCATATAGTATGATAAATCTGAGTCATATAGAAAAATTAAGTGACGATAATTATCTTATTTGGGCCAACAGAATTGAAAGTTAATTAAGAAGTTTAAAAATATGGAGAAGTGTGATAGAAGCTGATGAACCACCATAACCATATAAAAAGGATGATGTTAATTTTCGAAAATGAAATAAAAACTTGGGAAATATGGGGTGATAATAACGCGATAGCAAGAAATATAATGAATCAAACTATGACAGCTCCACAAGCATTAAAATATGCAAATAAATAGAACGCAAAGAAGTTATGGGAGAAAATCAAAAATGAAATGGCGGCAAGAACAGAAGGTATTCAAATCAAATGTAGAATAGAATTAGCTCAACTGAAAATGAGTCAAAATGAATCAGTAGATGATTATATGAATAGAGCTGTAATTCTGAAAAGTAAAAGTATTCAAGTTGGAGATGAAATAAGAGATAAAGAATTAATTTACTTCATACTAGAAGGACTTAGAAAGGAATTTGAATTTGATGTTAAAATTATTAAAAGCAATAAAGAGAAAGATCTAGCTTTCAATTAGACAAGCTTTAAAGAAACAGAAGGAAAAAACAATAAAGAGAAAAAGAAATAGAAGTAAGTTCTAAGGCAAAAGAAAACTGGATAAAATCAAAATATGAAAGAAGATGCTTTAATTGTGGAAAATTAGGACATTTAATAAAAGAATGTCAAAATAATAATACAGTCAAAAGTCGTTAATCCGGACTCGTCGGGACTTCAGCGATTCCGGATTATCGATTTTTCCGGATTATAGATCATCAGTTTAAATCTCGTAAGATTGCATGCAGAAATTCTAAAATTAAAAATATGAAACCGTAATTTATGAAATAAAGAACAATTATGATCTAAAGGGTATCAAAATTTACAAAAAAAAAAAAAAAAAAAAAAAAAAAAAAAAAAAACTTAATATTTATTTGTTTACTTTATTAAACATTTCTTTCAATGTAAGTTGTTTTAAGTTGCTTCATTTTATGTGATAATACTTTCTCTTTAATTCTATAAACAGACATAATTTCTTGTTCAGTTACAAAGTTCCGCTGTTCAAGTCCCGTTAATTGCTGTGCCGAGAATACCGACTAACTTGTCAATCGAAATTTTTTCGTTTTCACTAACCTCTCTGTCACATTCTTCATGTCTTTATCCATTTTTTTGGCAGCAATTCCACTTTTTGTTTGTTGGACATCGAAACATACTTTCGTTTTGTAGATCCTTTGGAAGTTCCAGCATAGGGAAATTCTATTTGACATAATAGAAAGTTCAATTTTACTTTTATAAAATTGCTCTTACAGTCTGCAAAAAATAATAAGCGGGATCCAATTCGAAGATTAAGGAACAACGCAATCATTAACATTAACTGAAATAGATAATTAGAGCTTACACCGTCCGTTATACATTGAACACGCAGGCGAAAACGTATTCTGCACTTGCGCACACGCATATGCGCAGTAGTCAAGGTCTTACGCGCACGTCTAAAACGCCTGTGCGCATGTGCCAAAGCGGCGCATGCACAGAAAGTTTTTAGCTTTGAGGTCCGGATTATAGATCATTCCGGATTATGGGTATCCGAATTAAGGACTTTTGACTGTAATAGTATAAAGTGCTTTTGCTGTGGAAAATTCGGCCACAAATCAACTGAATGTAAATTGAAAACTAAACAAGAACACCGACAGCAGAGAAATGTAACAAATAAAACTTATAGAATGTCAAGCAAGGAAAGAGAATATGAATCAGCTACATGCTTATTTGAAGTATCTAAGAAAATGGAAAGCTTATATCTTAATCAAGATAGAAATGATGGAAAGAATAAAATAAAATGAATGATGAACAAGAGAATAGAAAAATTAAATGTATTATTGATTCAGGAGCCACATCTCACATGGCAACTAATAGAGAAATATTTACTAAGTTTAAAGATGAAGAATGACAAATAATGACGGCTGAAAAAAGGGGCCATGATCAAATCAGTTGGTATTGGTAACATTAAAATGCAAACTGATAGAAATAAGAACATCTTGAGAGTAGAAAATGTTCTGCAAGTACCGAATTTAAATGAAAATCTGCTGTCAGTATCAAAAATTGTAGATCATATTTTAAAAGTAATTTTTACCAAGAATAAAGCAGAAGTGATCAATAAACAGGGAAACATTCTTTATATAGCTAACAGAAATGGAAATAAATTTGAAGTTGAAGGAAATATTGTTGAAGAAGCTAAAATTAGTTATGTAATTGATGTACTATGGCATCAGAGACTAGGTCATACAAATTATCAAAGGCTGATAGAAATGAAAAAACACTCATCGGTCATTGGATTAGAAAATGTAAAAATTTCTGAAAACAATTGTGAACCTTGTACATTAGGTAAAATAACATGAACATCTTTATAAAAGTGTGAAATTTAAGCAATCTGAAGATATTTTAGAATTATGGCACATAGATTTAGTTGGACCAATTGAGAAATCAATACAGTCAAAAATTAATTTAATAATTAATTAAGTCATTAATTCGGACACCCATAATCTGGAATGATCTATAATCCGGACCTCAAAGCTAAAATCTTTCTGCGCATGCACTGCGTTGACGCATGCACATAGGCGTTTTACGCGTGCGCGCAAGACATTTACGACTGCGCAAGCGCAGAAAACGTTTTCGCGTGCGCATTTAATGTATAACGGACGGTATAAGCTAAAATTATCTAATTATCTATTTCAGTTAATGTTGATGATTGCGTTGTTCCTTAATCTTCGAATTGGATCCGGCTTATTATTTTTTGCAGACTGTAAGAGCAATTTTATTAAAGTAAGCTTGTAAGCTTGAACTTTCGATTACGTCAAATAGAATTTCAGATGCTGGAGCTCCCAAAGGATCTAGAAAACGAAAGTATGTTTCGATGTCCATCAAACAAAAAACGAATTGCTACAAAAAATGGATAAAGGTTTTCCTTTGTTTATCTAACCGTTCCGAAATCTGTTTATCAATTTCACGCTGCTCTGCGTGGGGGGGGACGTTGCGGCGTGCAATGAACTGGAAGTTGATCTGTCAGCACTATCGTTATCTTCAGGGCAGATGTTTTTATTTTATTCGGATTATAATTCCTTACTAAATGTAGTATTTAATCTCAATGCACTCCGTCTTTGATATGATTTAAATCAAATTCCTCGTCATTATAAATATCACGAATACAAATAAAATAGTTTTCTGGTTGCAATTTTTTAATTTCGGCTATGCGTAAGGTATGCTTTACGCATGCGCCGGTTGAAAGAAATGTTTAATAAAGTAAACAAATAAATATTAAGCTTCTTTTTTTGTAAATTTTGATACCCTTTAGATCATAATTGCTCATTATTTTATAAATTACTGTTTCATATTTTTAATTTTATAATTTCTGCATGCCATCTTATCGGATTTAAACTGATGATCTATAATCCGGAAAAATCGATAATCCGGTATCGCCGAAGTCCCGACGAGTCCGGATTAAAGACTTTTGACTGTAGATGGAAGCTGTTATTTTTTAACAGTGGTAGATGATTACAGTAATTTCATATTTGTGATAACAACTGAGAAGAAGAGAAACTTCAGAAGCTCTAATCAAACTTATCATTCAAGAAGAAAGACAAACAGGAAAGAAACTAAAAAGAATTCGTAGTGATAATGGTAGTAAGTTTTTAGCTAAAAATATAAAAGAGTTTTTTGAAAAAATGGGAATTAAACATGAACATACAACTCCTTATACTATGGAAAGTAATGGAAAAGCTGAACATTTTAATTGTACTATAATTGAATCTGCTAGAACTATGTTAATTGATGCCGAATTACCAATAAAATTTTGGTCTGAAAGCGTTAAAGTAGCTGTACATGTGAATAACGGAGTCACAAAAATGATAAAAGGTTTACACCATATGAACTATATAAAGGACGCAAGCCTAACATTACTTATCTTAAAAGATTTGGATGTGAAGCATATGCTCATATAAGACGAGAAAAACGTAGAAAGATGGATCTAAAAGCTAAAAGAGGAATTATGATAGGCTATAGCATGAAGAGAAAAGCATACAAAATTTACATCCCTGAACTAAATAAAATTCAAGAAGTGAGAGATGTAAAATTTGATGAACAGAAACTTGGATCACCTTTACTAAAAGAAAATTATTTAAAATTCGATAAAAATCAAATATTAGAAGAACTTATTATTTTTTATAAGGAACAAACTAATGGAAATGAAAATGATTCAGAAATAACTGACAGATACTATAGAGAAGATAATACAACAGATGAAGAAGCTGAGAAAATTTTGCCATCCAACAGTGATGATGAACATGATGATAACAATTCATTGGAAAAGCCAACTGAGTATCCACAAATAAATGAAGAACCTGGAAATGATAGTCATGGAAATTCTGCACAGAAAAGACAAGCGCGAACTATGAAGCCCCCAGAAAAATTAAAAGATTATGTAGTATACAATACAAATGAAGGATTACCTAAGACGTATGATGAAGCTATAGAATCTGCTGAAAGTGAATTCTGGCTACATGCAATGACAGAAGAATTGAGTTCAATGAAGGCTAATGAAGTCTGGGAATTAGTTGAAAGACCCATCGATAAGAAAGTTATTAAAAACCACTGGATATTCTCAAAAAGGGATGAAAAGGGTAATTTAGAAACAATTTACAAAGCAAGACTAGTAGCAACTGGATTTAATCAAAGAAAAGAAATTGATTATGAAGATGGATTTAGCCCAGTAATGAGACTTGCAACCTTTAGAACATTGTTATCGATTGCAGTTTACAAAAACTAGATACAAAATAAGATTTTTTGATGTAAAAACTGCATATTTAAATGGATACTTGGATAAACCAATTTACATGGAACAACCACCTGGCTTTATATCAGATCCAAACAAAGTATATCTTGTAAACAAAAGTATATATGGATTACTACAATCAGAAAATGCAGGTATGATGAATTATGTAAAGTTCTTAAAGAAAAGAATTTAACTAGACTAAAGTCAGATCCATGTGTTTATATTAATAAAGATAAGATCAAATATTTTATCATAGCAGTATATGCGGATGATTTAATGGTGATTGGAAATTCAAATTCTGAGATAAATGACATCATATCTCAACTATCTAAATCGTTCACATTACAAGAAGTCACTAAAACACAAAAAGTTTTAGGAATAGACATCCGGCAAGAATCTGGAAAACTTATACTCAGTCAAGAAAACTATATAACTAAAATCTTTGAAATGGATGAATGTAAACCTATCAAGACTCCAGGAATATTGGGTGAAAATCTTGATGACATAGCATCTTCGCCACCTGTGTTGAAGACAAAATATCAAGAAGCATTAGGTTCATTGATGCACTTAGCAACAGGCACAAGGCCAGACTTAGCTTTTGCAGTAAGTAATTTGTCAAGATATAATCAAGATCCCAGAGAGAAACACTGGAAAGCTATAAAGAGGATATTTTGATATATTAAAGGAACACAAAATGCTTGTTTAGTGTATACTTCAGACAATAGGAAATTAAATGCTACATCAGATGCAAGTTGGTGTACCACTAAAGATGGAAAATAATTTCGAGGTTATTTCATTAAATTAGGTAAAAATTCATAAATTGGAAGTGCAACAAACAAAGAATAATTGCTCTATCTACAATGGAAGCTGAACTTTTAGCATTCGGTGAATGTGCATGTGAAGTTAAATGGTACATCTTTTTACTTGAAGAATTGGGTCAAGATGATCTAATTGACAAACCAATAGAAATTAAAACAGACTGTCAAGCATTAATAGATTGGATTAAAAAACCAAAACAAAGTAGTAGTTCAAGGCACATTAATAGAAAATATTTCTTTGTTAAGAATGAATATGAAATGAATCAAATCATTCCTCAGTTTGTGTGTTCACAAAATCAAGAAGCGGATATTTTAAAAAAGTATCTACATAGGGTGAAATTAAAAGATGGACTTTTAAAGTATGGACATGACTGACTGATTAAAATTATATCTTTAAATACAAATAAGGGGGAAATTGATAGTATTTGTTTATAAAGCATAATTTTAAGTTTTAATATTTTAGCAACATTGATATTAAATTGTAAAAAAAAAATGAGTTAAAAATGTATCTGAAAGAGAGAGAGTTTCATTATTATAGTTTGGTAGAATGTGGTAAGATTTCTTACGTCTGATTTTCTTTAATAAAGTTTTCTTTTTGTATATTGCCATAATGTATTTTTGCTAGAAGTGGATAATTCTTTTGAGAATGTTATATATATGCCAATTTTAAAAACAACAATTTTCCCCATGTGTAAAGTCGATACGAACCAGTTTCCCTTAGAAAGTCCTCCACGGGCATCACTCCCCTTAGGCAGATAGTCCTTGAAAGCTTTGCCATAGTCATATAAACCAAACCAAGTAGCAATTCATATGGCATTTTCTGATTAAAACTGAATTTATTACATACTTTGTAGCATGCCCTTTCATTAAAAAAAAAAAAAAATCCTATTGCATTTTTGTCTTAATATTACCTGCATTCATGGTCCTTTCTCTGTTAATAATTCTTTACTGAGAAATAATAGTATTCAACAAACTGCAATGCTAGAAAATAAATGTTTGATATGATAAATATTTTAAAGGAAAAATTACTCAAAAAAAAAAAAAAAAAAAAAAAAAGCACCAACCAGAAGTCATGCTCTTTAGGTATTGTTTGAGCTAAATGCAGTGGAGAAGTCAAGGCTTTCCAGTGCCACTTTTTTGCCGGCATCGTATGTATAGAAGATATACTTGGAAATAAGCAATAAATCAAATCAATAACTTGTTTATGAGAACCACCATAAAAGGGTTCGATCAATAATATTCTTTTACCAGACATGAACTCCTCTGTATAACAATAGACAATAAGCACATGAGCAATACAAAACGTTAGCAGACAGCTTTTTGAAATTTAAAAACATGTGACCACCAACTAAGCTGAGTTGAGATACAATTCTCTTATCAGCGCAAAACCACCTACGCCTTTTGAGTTTTAGGTGAAATCTCCTTGGACTTCTTGGTTGATGTCATTTTATGGCACAATTTCCTTTAATCCTCAAGAGAAGTATCGGCAGCATTATCCTTACCGATAACAATAACTATTGCTCTCCAGAAAATGGCTATCCTTATGTGTTCTATGTTAAAGTATTTTTAGGTTGCCTATTCTGATCCCATATACTTTATATGTTTATTTTTTCCGTGCCTTGTTATTCCTTCTTTTAGAGCTCCCCATACATGTGGATTTTTAGCGTCTCTCGAAATGCTATTGAACTATCATAGCAGTGAACTAATTTTAAGATTTTGAGAATATGGGCCCTAGTCTGGACATCGTCGAGATAGAAGAACGGGTCCTTTTTTGCTATCTACTCGACAGAGAGCGAGTCTTGGTCTGGGTAAGGCTCCTCTAACCCCTCTAAACCCTATAGGAGCCTTAGGTCTGGGGTCATCGTCTCGATCATTACAGAGATCGACGCGTCGGAAATTTTTTGTCAGCTGGACAGCTGCCGTTTCTGACTGTCGTTTTAGAGCTAAAGTGAGGACTGCAGAGGTCAAGGATTATTTTTGAAGTGTACGTAATAGATATTTTAATTTCTTAAGATTTGTGAAAAACTCGAGTATTTCGCGATATATTTGATGCTGACGATTCTAACATTATTTATTTATTCTATATTAACAATACTTTAATTAAATTTTAGTGAAAGTAATATATTTGGTGTTTGTTAATAATGCCTTACTTATTTTGTTAGTATAATTTAGCTACCTGTGTATGGCAACAGTAGGAGATATTCAAGTTGGAGAACGATGTAGACGCGAGGAGCGTCATTGTTTCTTTCGTGATAATAAGGTTTGTATTCGTTGAAACTGATTGTATTGCATAAATAATCACCGCAGTTATAGTATTTTGGAACAGCTTTAGTATTGGTCCTTTTGGCGATTTTTTTTATTTGGCGACAAACGTCGGTCGCCAAGGTAGACCCGGTTTTGAAGATCGGAAAAAAATGGCGGATTGTCAACAAACCCGATCTAGACTAAATAACAATCCTAAAAAATAAGCTCTTAATCAGAATAAACAGTCTTTCTCTAATTTTCAATATTTCTAGTACTGCTATGATAAATTCTTGAAACACTACTGTAAATGAATTTATGACAATGATTATGTTATGAGTAATGAAATTTACAAAATGTTAATATTTTTAATTACAAAATATAATGTATTAAACATTAATATTTTAAGTAATTAGGGCTACATCGCAGAATAGGCTGCATCAGTCGATGCTGTGTTTACTTCTCTTACGCGTGGACACGCCTTTTTATGACGTAATATTGGTTACGCCTCTTCTTAAAAACAAGTTATAAGTATGCTATAGCTTCGTATTTAAAGAAAAAATATATTTTAACTGAGTTGAAATGGTACGTTTATAATGTTCTGCGCGAGAAGTTTTTTAAATTATAAATCTACTTTTGTGTGTTGTGTGGTTGTGCAACGAATTATCTCTCATAAATGTATTATTAAGATACCAAACGATTGAAAATATTGAATGCATGCGTTAAAAATTATAACGGTAACTTATGAAAATACAGAAGAGAATTCTTTTGCTTAAAGAATGTTTTTTTTTTTAATTCATGAGTGTGTCAAAATCGGTGCTTACCGCAGAATGGATGAGTATCTGAATCTGGATTTTTTTATCAGTTGGAGGCAAGAGGTAAAAAGAACGTTATTGAGTGGTGTATGGAGAAACGTTTGATTGAAATATCGTATAAGTGCCCAATTTGTGGAACAAATATGAAACTAGTAGAGCAAAAAAACCGTATAGACGGTTTTGAGTGGTGTGCAATGCCGAGTTTGTGCAAGTCTTGGATTTTTTTAAGTGAAAATAGATCGATGTGCACATGGGCAAAGCCAATGCGGTGCGCAATGCCAAGTTTGTGCAATTCTAGGATGTTTATTTAAGTGAAAATAGATCGATGTGCAAATGGGCAAAGCCAATGGGGTGCGCAATGCCGAAGTTGTGCGCGATGTCGAGTTTGTGCAATTCTGGGATATTTTTTTAAGTGAAAATAGATCGATGTGAACATGGGCAAAGCCAATGTGGTGCGCAATGCAGAGGTTGTGCGCGATGCCGAGTGTGTGCAATTCTGGGATCTTTTTTAAGTGAAAGTTAATCCATGTGCACATGGGCAAAGCGAATGCAGGTGCGCAATTGCCGAGGTTATGCGCAATGCCGAGTTTGTGCAATTCTGGGATGTTTTTTTAAGTGAAAATAGATCGATGTGCACATGGGCAAAGCCAATGTGCACGCAATGCCAAGTTTGTGCAATTCTGGGATGTTTTTTTAAGTGAAAATAGATCGATGTGCACATGGGCAAAGCCAATGTGGTGCGCAATGCCAAGTTTGTTCAATTCTGGGATTTTTTTTAAGTGAAAATAGATCGATGTGCACATGGGCAAAGCCAATGTGGTGCGCAATGCCGGTGTTGTGCGCTATGCTGAGTTTGTGCAATTGTGGGATGTTTTTAAGTGAAAATTGATCGATGTACAAATGGGCAAAGCCAATGTGGTGCACGATGCCGAGTTTGTGCAATTCTGGGATGTTTTTTAAGTGAAAGTTCAGCCATGTGCACATGGGCAAAGCCAATGTGATGCGCAATGCCGAGGTTGTGCAATTCTGGGATGCAATGTGGGCAGCAATGTTTTTTTAAGTGAAAGTGCGTGTGTGCATTGGGATGTTTTTTTAAGTGAAAATAGATCGATGTGCGCATGGGCAAAGTCAATGTGGTGCACAATGCCGAGTTTGAGCAATTATCTGATTTTTCTTTAAGTGAAAATAAATGGAGAACATGAACAAGTTTGTGGAATTGGTTTTGAGCGATTTTCTGAGCGTTTCGTTGTGTAAAAGGGGAAAACGAGGTGTGTGTGATGCCGAGCAGTAGTAATGAACTTTATTTATGTGCAATGTTTAACATATCGTTTGTGTATTTTAAATTTGTATTGTTGTTTTTATTGTGAATTATATTTAACACATCATTTTTCATTTAAATTGTATTTTTAATTCTTTGGTTTTGATATGTTTATAACGCTTTCCGACTTACAATATATATCAATAGCCCGAAGATCTACTCAACAGTATTAAAACTGTCTTGAAGTCATATTTTAATACGTCGTGTTTGGTATCGTAATTGCACTTGATAAAATCAGTTCATTGATAATATGTGTGTGCGTATGAAAAGCATTGCTTAGTGTTCCAAGTTTGTATTATTTATTTTTTTATATTATTTTCTTTCATTCTGAGAAATTAGATTTTTTTACTTATTAATGCGTAGAATTCTAGTATGCCTACGGAGAATATGGCGTGATTTAGGAATTTTAGAAACTGATATGAAAGTTGTGTAATGATGTTCACATGCAATAAAAAATATTCTTCTTTTTTTATTAATGTAATGCTTAAAATTTTTAGAAAATAATGAAAATTGTCTAATTATTGGTATGTAAGGAATTATGTCGTTACGTAGCAAGAAGGTAATTTGTAAAAATGATAAAATTGAAATGTTCCACAATATGAATTCAAATTAATTTTTTTTATTTGTATAAATGCTTTAATAAAAATCTTTGAAAATACTGAAGCTCTACAAGTATTAGAGACCGCGATGTTGTTTATCGTTTTAATAATTGGTAGAATTCAATAACCTCCTTGGTAGAATTCGCTCACTGTATCACGGTAATTTTAAATATAAACAATTTATTATACTTATTATCAGTAACGTCTAAGCTTAAATGTTATAAATATAAATTAAAAATAAAGAATTTGATATTAATTTACAATAATAAACAATTTATTATTGTTATTTTTAAGAGAAAATAGAAAGTACTCTTAGTGTAAATGCGAGACTGGAGACTATAGGTTCAGGTGGAAATGTAGTGGGACACCCAATATTTACTATAAGTAATGTAGGTATAGTCCCACTACACTTCGGTTTATTTTTAAAGTTAATATTTAAAAAAATTACATAGTATAATAATATAACACATAATATAACAGTATAAATAGTATATCTCTGTGTCACTTTCTTCATTATCGAAAGCGAATTATAATGACTGGAGACTACATGGAAACTACATTGTGACATCTCAAGCTTAGTCCCACCCATTTAAGTATGTCACACAGCTCCTCCTACTGAACTTTGTTGATGCATCCTATTCTGAGCTTTTACCGGTGGCCCAACTTGTTATTGACAGGTGGTCATAATGTTTTAGCTCTTGAGTGTATATAAACACTACAATGGAATTTTACCATGTCAGTTTGACGATTTTACTATCTATCTCCACGCCTGATTGCGATAACAAAAACAATTTTTTTGCCAGTTTGGTAGTACAATTTTTACAATATTCAATCTGTAATACGTCGAGATGACATTACTATCTACCACACTCCTGGATGGCGAGAACTTTTGGCAGTATATTCAAATCACACTACGTCAGTTTGACATCACTACTTATTTTCCACGCGCCTGCTTGGCAACAAATTCAAAAACTCAGCTAGCAGTTCTTTTTTTTTTTAATAAATGCCGGGATGGCTTACGCATATCAATTATCAACATAAAAATTCAATACAAATAACAGTAAGGCTAAATAATAATTTTAAAATACTTTTTTACCACAGATATCAATTATAATTTACACCTAAATTTTTTGGTATCAGTTATTTTACATAAAAACTTACACTATTTAAATATAATTCTCAAATGTAATACTTAAATTTAATAAACACTTTTTTATGAAACCAAAAGTTAATCTTAGCTTCGGAGATCAGCAATATCCTGTTCTGACAACTCTTAGTTCGGATGCAAGTTATAGAAACACAGAAGATAACCGTTGAATGATCCGCATCAAAATCTGGCTTTAAAACGGCAGACTTCTGACATCCATTTCACCTTA